ATCAGGGCGTACGCCTTGTTGGCCGAAGATGCACCCAAGAAGTGGTATTTCGCTTGCCGCGAATATACACTTCTTGAGGTTGGAATACAACTTATACTTGCGCATAAGTTGAAGAACCTTACGGACGTGAGTTCGGTGGACTTCAACGTCCGTCTTTCCGTCCATAGCCCGGCTATGGACGAACACATCGTCGAAGTAACTCGGTGCGAAGTCTCGCACCGGTCTCAACAGATTTGTGACACATCTGTTGAATGTTGCAGGGGTATTACTCAGCCCCTGTGGCATCACTAGACACTCCCACAGCATCCCGCTGAGGGTACTTACTGCCGTGAACGGGATGTCCCGTTCACGCATGAGGATCTGATAGAATTTATTCATCAGATCCATGGACAAAAAGATGGTATATTTTGACATACCATCTATGATTACGTCCTTCCTCGGTATCGGCGTCTGAGCCGGTACCGTTGCAGCATTCAACTTGTTGAATGCGTGCACTATCCGCCATCCTCCTGTGGCCTTTCGCACACAGAAGGTCGGAGAGATGTGAGGAGAAGTTGACTCCCTCACATGGCCCGCTGCTAAGCGATCGGCAAAGAACTTGTCGATCGCTAGTACTTGTTCACGAGGCAGTGGCCACTGCTTCATAACACAGTACTTCGAGCCCAGTTTGAGCTCGATCTCGTGTCGAGTGCCTTTGTCCTTAGGCAACTCGCAAGGCACAGATTCAGGGAGCACATCCCTGAATTCGATCAAATCCTTATACAAAGGATTTGCCTGAAGTGACTCCCAGGATTGAGACGTGAATCTCTCAATCCGAGTCTTCTCATCGACGACACTTTCGTCCATCGATGAACTGCTGAGAACCCTCTCGGTATCAGTAAACACCGTTGCCGACCGAATATCGGTAACGTACTCGTCCCCCGCGACGAGTGCACATATTTGCTTGACTTTGCCACTGCGCAGATCACGCAAGAACCGTTTCGATTCTAGCGTTGGCAGTTGAGATATCTCCGAAGTTAAATTCGGAGGCACTATCAGATCAAGCGTGTAAGCGCCTACGCTTGATCCATCATTAACCAAGACATTCAATGTCTCGATCACTTCCTGGTAAATCACTTCCACAGGGTCCAGGAGAGCTTTCTACACAATGTAGTGATCATCTACATTGTGTTCTTGTACAGTCGTGCTAACGACCGTACCACAAGTGAGGACATCGCACTCGCTCGTAGTACACCCACGTAAATGTGGGCGCTCCAAGATGTTCGTCAGGTGGTTATATGAGGAACAAGTGGCAGTTATCGTAACCGATATATACTGCCAACTCCCCCTTGGCTCGTATTTCCTGAGCCAAGGTAACCCTAAGATAACGTCGAACTTTTCATCTAGGTCAAGCACGGTGAAATCATCATCGTACTGTTCGCCTTTTAACGTGTAGTGGATTCCGACTACACGTTTCTTCACAGTGATCGATGCGCCTGTCGCTAGGCGCACCGTCAACTTCGTTGGAGGGATTTCCCGCTCCACGAAGTTTAAACTTCCTGCCTCAGGCGACTGGCGACGAACAAAATTGTTCGACGCCCCACGGTCAACTAGGGCGCGAAGCGACAAGTCTTTTGTCACTTCTAACTTCAAGGTGATGATTGACACCTCATCACCAGGTGCAGAGACACACAGAAATTGTGTGTCGGGAGCAACCTTCTTCAGGATATTTGCGAATTCTCTTGATGTTGCTGGATCAGTAGGGCGCTCCGCCCCTAGTGATTTCGACCGTTTTTGATGGTCCACCACGCTGTTGCGACTCCGCAACAGCAACGGACCCTCGCACTCCAGTTCTTCTTGCTGGTGGGTAAATATTGCGCTCAGCACCGCGAGGTTCTGAGCGGGGGATACTGCATTCATATGCGTAGTGTCCCAGTTTATGATAGCGATGGCATCTCACCATTCGCTTTTCATTCGCAGGGCGAGGTTTCTCGCCCTCGACATTACATAGGTCCATTGGTTCTGGACCTCCGACTGCTAATCGTCTCTGTGGACGATGCGGGGTCAACGTAGCGTGAGACTGTCTCACGCTATAATCTTTTTGCTCCGCTGCGAAGATTGCCTCTGAGAGCGTCTTTAGCTCTTTGCGGAACAGGTGGTCTTTAACGGGACCGCCTGAAAGCCCTCGAATGAATATTGTGATCAACACAAACTCACTCACAGGGTTCACTACCATGCAACTTGCAAGGTAGCGTACATTTTGAGCGTAATCGTGAACCTTACGCTTACCCTGCTCGATTTGCAGGAGCTCCGAAAGAGTCCAGAACTCTGCTCTGGGCGGCTCGGACGTCTTACTGAGCAGGGTCTTGAAGACATTTAACGACCCAAACACATGTGAGTCGTGCAACTTGAGGTTCAGGGCCCAAGCTCTGGCTTCTCCTGCCAGGTTAGACTGAGCGAATGAGACTTTCATTCGCTCATCGTCGATGCGACGAGCATCGATGGCATCGTCCAGCTCGACGAACCACCTCAACAGGGAGTCTTCCTCGACTCCCCGATACTTGGAGACCTATAGTTTTAGAGACTCCCGTCGACGCTCACGCGTCGACTCTGCGGACTGAGACTGTTGTTGTCTCAGTGCTTCGGTCCGCTGGTGATCTTGTTGTTGCAACAAGGTCACCTGCGCTCGTGACTCATCAAGTTCTCGTTGCAAGAACTTGCTAATGACGACATGTTGCTGGTCCTTATCCTTTGAGTATAGCATGGCCCAGATGGCTTCCGCGCCAACGGTCGAACTCATTCGTTCGATCGCACTCCATTCGATGCCGCTCAAATGGGATTAGCTTTCACGGGTTCCATGAAAGCTGTCGCCGTCTACATCGTCCAACATGTTCATGTTGGGCGATGGGGTTGTGGTCCTTGGACGGACTACAAAGTGCTATTAGGTGTAACGGGGCACTGTTGACTACGTACCGGTTGACCAGTACGGAGTATACTTCCACTGACGACAGTGGTCGACAGTGCCCTGCTAGGTGTTTTAAGGAAACACAGAGGAAGGAAAGGAGACTAAGTAGTCAGACTAGTCTCTTGGTAAAAGTAAAACTGTATTAATATAATTAAGTCCTATAAATCCTTGAATCTCTGTTGTCCTGACTTAATTATACCAACATAACTATATATATGATGACGTCTACTCACCACCCATTGCGCGCGTCTAGCAGCGATTGATGGGTTGATATCATCACGATATCAACCAATGAGTAGACCCTTCGGTCATCCCAACAATATCACCATGTCTGTGACATTGTTAAAAGAATATTCAACGTAAAATTATTTATTGTCATTTTATCCTTAGTGACAATATCATGTAACTGGCTACCCCGTTACAGATGGTGGATTTCTCGTTAAAGCATATCTCCAAGCCAAAGTCCTTTCCGTTCCCAGCATACGAGCTTTCGAAGTCGTTCTCACTCCGGGCGGATCTCTGGGATTCCCATTGGTTTTTTCGGCGCAAATCACTTCACTATACAGTTACGAACCTTGGAAGATTCTCGATCGACCGATCGAGCCTGTCTCTTTCACAGACCGGGTGGTTCAAGGCTTTAGTGGGAGTATGTCGCGTATTTGAGGATCTTCAGAGACAGGCGTTGTGGGAATCAACTCATGTTCTTCCCATTTCCAGTTAGCAACGCCAGGCGGATCCGGAGTTGGCCACATTTTGCCAAGCGCGTACACCCTTTGGTCACCGCAGCAATATGTCTGATCTTAGTGACATTGTAACGAGAATATTCGAGTGAATATTCTCGATGAACATATCGTCAAAAATGTTATGTTATGTAACGGGCTCACCGAGTTACAGTCGAGCTCAAAGAAGCAAGCCGATTTTGCGTTGTCTACTATGGAATTGGAGCTCATTGCCTGCGCGACGAGCGTGTCTGAATGTTGATGGATAGGTGTTGTGTTGAGATCCCGCTTCCGTCTTTCATGTAGTTTTTGGAACTGATGTTCATTATCTTCTTATGAAATACCTACCTTGCTACTACATGTATGTGGTGTCGTCGTCTCCTAGAGTACTGCAGCAACCTCCCCGTGGGACTTCACACTCTGTTTCCATCAACACCACTTTCCCATACTGCTGGCATATCCATTGAATCCTTCTGTAGTGCGCGACGGATGCTCACCCTTCAACTTCTAACTGCCTGGAAACCCTTGTCGCTCCACTTGTATACTTTCCACAGCAATAAGGCCCCTTCTTCTGGAGCTGCTCAGCATCGAAATTGTTGCAAGTATCATGGTTGACAATCAAAGCGGGATACGAACAATAAAGAGCGAGATGGTGTCAGCTGCTGCAAAGCACATTGCCTCAAGGTACCATTTCATCAAGGGTGAAACCAGCAAAGGACGCGTAGGTGCGAAATGGGGTGCTAGTAAGGACCAGCTTGCCGGTATGTTGAACAAACTGCTACCGCGTCAAACATTCGAGGAGCTGCGATGTCAAATTCAGGCGCCCAAGCGCGTTTTCCAAGCTAAGTAGCACATCACGGTCAGCCCGAGGAGTGTTGCAGGTCGACTGTTGCTGTCACCACCACTTCGCGTGGTACTGATCACGCAAGGTAAGTGGTAACCATATATGTTGTAGTGAACCGATGATGATGACGATGATGGCAGGTCCAAGATAGGTTCATCTCTCACGACGCAAGATCGTGACGAGCAGACGCGTCGTCAACTAGAGAAACCGGCGTGAACAGAGTGTCCGACGTGACTGGTACATGTACGTCCGTGAGAGGGCGTTCGCCACGGCCAATGAACCAATCGGCTGGACGAAAGAAACCAAAGCCGATCGCGGCACAACGAGATTGTATTTCAGCCACTACGACGTCGAGACACGACTTCCGACGCGGCGTACCCGAACGACGACAGCAAACAAACCGACCGACAGCGACATAGCAACGATACACACCTCATGGTCTGAGACACTTCCTCCTCGTGCGGGGCACAACGGCGTCAGGCGCTGACTCGAGCTACGCCGATGCGAGTTTCTTGGCCACGTGGGCAAACGACTCGCCCTGGACCTTGGCCACGTCGTGTTCGAGCTGACTCGGCTGGCGAGCGCCGTCACTGCCCGCCAAAGCGCCAGCGCCCCACGGAGACCCGCCGTGGATCTCGTCCATGTTGAACAGCAGCGGGCTGCGGTAGCCAAGGGGCACGAACGTCATGCCTTGATGGGTGAGGAACGTCACGGTCGTGAACGCCGTGGTCTCCTGCCCGCCTCCTTGTGTACTAGTGCTAAAGAAAATGCCCGCGGGTTTGCCCACGAGTGCACCAGCCGCCCAGAGACCGCCACAGGCGTCAAACAGGGCCTTGACTTGCGCCGGCATGCTGCCAAAGCGCGTGGGGATGCCCAGCAGCACGCCATCGGCGTTCTTGAGGACGTCGGGCGTGGCCACGGCGTGGTCCTGCTTTGGTGGAGCGTGCATCTTGCCCAGCACCTCTTCCGGCAGCGTCTCTTGGACTTGGTACACGTCCGCAGTGACGCCAGCAACCGACTCGACGCCGGACTTGATGGACTCGGCCATCTTGGCAATGTGGCCAAACGTTGAGTAGTAAATGATGGCAACCTTTGTCATTGTTGGTGGTTGAGGTCGAGTGTGGGGGAAGCTGAGCGTGTTCTTTGCCTGTGTTTGTGGGCGTGTTCTCTTCGCTTCTGCAGGACAGCGAAAGTTGAGGAATGAGAGGAGTGATCGGTCAAAAAATAGATAGATAGATAGATAGATAGATAGATAGATAGATAGATAGATAGATAGATAGATAGATAGATAGATAGATAGATAGATAGATAGATAGATAGATAGATAGATAGATAGATAGATACAGAGATACAGAGATAGATAGATCGATAGATAGAGAGATAGGTAGATAGATTGATCGATGGATCGCAGAAAGGCAGGCCACGCCATTGATTCTGAAGAGCGAGCTTCATAGCGTGGGTGTTGACCAAGCCACGATAAAGTATGTGAAAAATCAGACAAGTTTGTAGACCTGTGATACGTCTCAAATTCTGCCGTTCGTCCCGTTTTCGGGCACGGTTTCAAGTTCCCGGAATGAGTGCAACAGGCAGCTCAGGATTTGCACCAACAGTTCGAGTGGGTGGCATCGTGCAACCGGTGCGACATCCAGCGAGCCAAAAGGACTTGAGCTTTGCGCGTCAGCCCGAAACGTGTTAGTAGCGTCAGTGTAGCGTCGTCGAGGTCGCAATCTAAGCGGCATTTGGAATACGTACTGCAAGGGATCACAGCGCAAACTCACGACACGATCGGGGTGTCAGGGCAAGCCTACGATGTTAGTGCATGAGCGAACGAGGTGGGAAGAGTGGTCAACATGTAAACCAAAGAGTTTGACAAAGCATGCGCGCGGGATCAAGAGAGGTAGCTACTTGTACCCATGGAGAAGCAACGGGTCTTGCGATAGGACCAAGCACGGCGCATCTTCGTTCTTTCTCTCTCTCTGCTTCAAGTAGCCAGTCAGGGGGGGGGGGGCTGGTGGGAAGGTCGCGAGTGGATTCAGGTTGCCATCATCAAACACGGCTTTCCAGCGCCCCATCACCTCAGATCCTCCTCACCTGCGTGCAGAGGTGCAATTTTGGGCCCGTCAGCTGCAGCCGTGGCGTACGAATACGTCATACGCGCGAAGATACGTCAACGTATGTGCACACCCGACGAACCGGAGCGACAAAGGATGTTTCCAGCATCCCCGACAAAGCGCGAGTGTCCCTTGGGCGCTGACATTGCGTTAGGGGTTTGTTTGACTGCGCGCCGGTTTGAAACACGTGACTTTTTCCAACTGAGCGGGTCGTTGTCTTACTGAGAGGTCGGCCGCGACAAGGCACCAGATCCGGCACTTGTTCGGCTCGTGAGGCACAAACGTGTGGGCCAGGATTGTAGGTCGATCCTGTAGATGCTCATGAACCTCTCTGCATATACACAAATGTATCGATATATTAGATAGGGCAGGCCGCATCTCCACGGCTGGTCGGTTGTTTCCTGCGTGTTCGTAGAAAGAGGCTGTAGGGCATAAGACCACTTGGTACTTGCACCCAGTCAATGACTGACAGTCGATGACACGCAGACGCGGCCTTAGCGATACGAACGGCGCTGTGTGGTCGAAAACAAAGCAACACCTTTCTTGCTCGCTCCTTTCTTCTTCTTGCCAGGCATCCGCGCTAGTGCCAATGGACTGCTCGACGCACTGCCCCAGGCAGACGGTGACCCGAATCCAATGGGATTCGTACCAGAAAGTCTGGCGTCGCTCGTAGCGGCACCTCCGAGTGCTGGAAACAATCCAAAGTTTTCCGTCCTTCTCTCAAACGATTGCTGCTGCTGCTCCTCCTCCACCACCAATGCATAAGTTCGGCTTTCGAGCTCGGCAGTACTCAAAGAGCAATCATCTAGAGCAGCTTCTTCCAAAGACTCAACCAGCGCTTGTTCATACGGAGATGGCCACCCTGTTCCTTCTTGCTCGAGCGAAAACGCCAACGCGCCCCTTTTGGCGATCGGGGATAACGGAGTCGTCGCGTTCTGCAGCTTCAGTTTTTGCTTCCGTTGCTTGGAGCGCTTCTTGAGTTCATGGTGAAACGCACTAAGCGTCGATGTCGAAAGCTGAGACGTCAGATCGAGCTCGCAAATGTAGAAATCGCAAAAACGTGGTAGATGGCTCAGGAAACGGTAGCGCTTCAGTGCTTCGTCGTCCATGACCATGTGCTCGATGTCTAATACACGTCCGTTGATTCGTTCTGGAAGAAGGTGGTAGCAGGTCGGACGCAGTGGCTCCAAACTCGCTACCTCTTCACTCCAGACAGCTTCTACATCCGTTTTATGCGCGTCGTCCGGACTTTCGCCTTGTTCCTCGCGCTGCTGCTGGTCCGAGAACTCTTTCAGTAGACACTTTACGTTTAACGGGTGAAGAATCACGTACGTCCCATTCGCGATCTGGTAAAACGAATACGCATCACCACTCTCGTTTTCATGCTGCTTCCCTTTTGCACAAGGAGGAGCGATGTATTCATGCGTTCCAGTTTTGCAAACATTGTCGCTCTTGGCAAGCCGCCCGGAAGTATATCGCAACGCCTCTTCCACAAAAGGGAGGTTGTCGATGTCGCCGTTGCTGCGACATTCGGTATCCATCGACTGAAGGTCGCGCATCTCCAAGTACAGCATTTCTTGTAAATAGTCCGGGGTTGCCTCTAAGATGCGAGAAAACGTCGCATCGGCATCATGGACACTTGGCAGCTTCCGGCAGCGCTTACGTTCAGCAACAGTAGCAACTTCCGAGGGGAATAATCGATCCGTTTCACCTTTGGCTCTAGCAGACGGGAGCATAGGAGGATGGGGAAACATGCTGGACTTAGAACGCTCCAGGAATTGAAAAGTTACGCCGGACCCTACGCGAGGAGGAATTTGCAATTGATGAAGCAGTACACTGCGCAGTTGTCCTTTTTGAACGGATTCAAAGCACATTGGGCAGCGGCGCCAATACTTTTCCGTCATCGATAAGTAGCGGAGTATACATGGCCAGCTAAACGACGCAAAACAAGGCAAACACGAAATAGTGAATGCTTACATACCAAGTCTACGTATCGCTTTGTAAACACGCACCAGAAGATGTGGCCACACTTTGTAATCTTCGGAGCGCGGAACGTATCCATGCAAATCGGACAAGTTTGCGGGCTCTCGACGTCATACCACAGCAGCACTTGTTCAACCGAGGACCCTGTACATTTATATACATTTCCGTAGACCGTTACAACACCATCTAATCGCAGAGAATCGACTACAACCTTGTCGCGTAGCTTACACTCAGCAAGGGCTTCAAGATCCCATGTCGGTACGACATCATCGGGGTCAAGTGGTGCAATCACAAAGCGGTAGCTAATGCCGAAAACGTAACATAGCCACAATCGACACTGGTCACAAACTTCGATGCCACACGATTCGTGTACATGTAGTAGCTTGCAGCAGACACGTACTTGGCATGAAGATATTCCATCTGTGTGCGAGGCACTGAGCTCTTCTTCTTCTTCTTTCGATACTGAGAATGCGCCGTCTTCTCACGTTCGGGCATTGAGAAGTTCAGCAGGTGATTAGCCGATACGCCGTTGCGGGTGATACGCGCTTCGTAGTCCATCTTCTTCTTCTGCCGAGACAGTAAGTGTACAATCAGTGCCACAGACAATCCACATCTCCAGCCATCGACTCGTCCAACCTGCTCTCGACGTGGACCACGTCGACTGGAACTGCTGTTCTTTGCGGTACGGCCGCCAGTTGAATTGCTGCACACACGCGCAAGCGCAATCGATTGTCAGTCGACTGACAATCGATTATCGGTACTATTCAAAGGCAGTTCGAAACACGCACTGCATGATATCAGGCGATTGGTCCGTGGCAAAGAGCCGATAGATGCGGAGATCGACAGATCGACAGCTACAGGAGACGAAAAGGAAACAAACGCCCGGTAGACTCCGAGCCAGCAGAGTGGCCGAGCGACAGGGGCGCGGACGGAGTCGCGCGTGAACCGCTGAGCCACACGACTTCTAAAGCGAAACTCCTTTCACTGCTACGTGCGGCGAATGGACGGGTTTCTACCAATGAGAACGCTCGGATCCGTCAGGCCGGAAACACTGGATACCATCATGGCCGACCGCAAGCAAGTGCTGCGCATGTACCGGCGGCTTCTCCAGCTGGCGCAGCAGTACCCGAGCATCAAGCGCCAGTCCATCATCCAGGATGTCAAGACCGAGTTCCGTGCCAATCGGGACCTATCGGACGCGCCAGCAATCCGACAAGAGCTCGCGGCGGTGCAGGCGGGTATCAAGGAGCTGTCCATGTATGCGAGTTTGCACCCGTCGGTGCCCAATTGGACCATCGAAGTGGGGCACGACGCAGCTCCCACATCATTCGAGGCGCACGTTGATGATGACACAAAGGTCGTTAGTGGTGGGAAAACGAAGGACGAGTGAGATGCAGGAGCTGTTGCGGCTCGCAACGTGTGGAAACAAACGATGCCGCTGAGGCGTGAAGGTGTCTGCTATTTGGTCGTGAGTTTCTTCGGACGATTGCACAGAGCATGTGTGAGATCCATTTCAATGAAGCTCTGCATTTGTGGTATGAGCTGAATGAAAAGTGGCTCGTATGTTTACGTTGGCGTGTACCGAAACAACAGGTTGACGGAGAATGCAGGTTGATCCAATGCAGCAAGCAGTGCTAAGCCTTGCATAGGTACGTTGCTCGCGTGCTTTGGACGCAATCGTGAGATATTGTGTCTTTGCATGAGAAATCGAAAGGCCGAAGCGTACACATTGCGCTGGGTAGAGTAAACCTCTGCAGCTGTCGCTGCCTAGGCGCTAGCATCTCTTCGACAGCGCGCTACGTTAGACTTTGTCTCGAAGTTGGATCAGTTGATACGTGGTGCGGTTGACATGTCCTTGCAACTACTTTCGAGCTTTGCAACGAGGATACTCGCACCTTCACCAGTGTCAGACCCTTCTCTTTCCTACTTTGCGACGTACACTCGAGTCTCGAGACTGATACGCATTGACTTGTGATTGTGTTATGCGATGTTGACTGTTGTGCAGTTGGTTTTCTTTTTGCTTTGTTGCGCCGCTAGAGAGCCATCCGTCGAGTGGATTTGCACACGTTGTGCGACGTAACCTCAAGCCGTGAGGCGGTACGGCTTCGTTCACGCAAGAGGGTAGAGCCGTAAGACGGTACGACTTCGTTCACGCAAGAGGGCTACCTTGTACTGGTCAATGACGTGTATTTTTGTTGTTGTTAGCCAACGAGGTCCCTACGATCTCCTCACTGTTTCTCGTCCTATGTGTACACTGTGCAAACGCTTGTCGACATAAATAGTAAGTGCGCGATCAGCTGCTTCGCGTCCGACTTTGCAACGTCCGATGTCAACAACGCGGTGGCAGGTGACCCTCTTCGCTCTGCACGTCGTTCCCGCTTATGCTCCAGCCGTCCTGGTAGTGCGTCCTCTCGCGACTGAGCGCGTTATTGATCGGGCGGCAGCGGGCGTTTAGATGTACACCCAGCCAGACCGCTCGAAGGCCGTGGACGCGTCCGTCTTTCCCAGCTTGAACTGCGTCGACAAAGTGCTGAGACGCTGCTCGAGCGGCATCTTGTCGGTCATGGGGCGGGCGATCACGGGCTTGAATTGGTCGAACATGATCGAGAGAGGCGTTCACTTGACGGAAGGTGGCGGGCTGTGTGGCACGAGGCAAATTGGAAAGTGAGGAGTGACTCAGCGCAAGTCGTTGTTGACGGATGCGAACCAGCGACTGCGGGCGCGTGCACGGGCCGCCGAAACTTCAAGAATCGGTTTCAAGAGGGTATGTATGAACATCAGGTCTGCGGTTGGGTAGTTGACCCACGAGCGGGCAAAACCACGGACGGAACATTAACTGTCAAAGGGAGTCCGCGACTGGCTTGTATCGCGGACGAGCACCGGTGATGCGCACGCGTCACCGACTTTGGCCAATCTCGAACGACGCTCCCTGATTGGTCAGAGTCGCTTGCAGTCGGTTGACGCGTCGCATGTCTCCGCTGCCACGCACTTCAACCCATCTCGGACCGGATGGGCACATCATTTAACTACGAGCTACGAGTGTGCGAGTAAAACCGTCCGAGACGACAAGTGGCTTGCGAGAGGCCGTTTGAGCGCTATCTTCGAGAACGTTCGTTGTGTACGAGAGAGCTGTCTCAATGGCGCGTGCGGCAATTGGATTGCGGTGAGGGGTGTGCACTGGTCCTCTTGCTGACGCGCAACGTCGTCTCGTTTGTTCTCGCGCGCGAAGGCACAACGCCAATGCTTTTGACCAGTGTACAATACAGACCCATAGTGGCGTTGGCAGTTGTTGTCTGCGAGACGTCACAGTCGATTATTGCTCGCTTGCCATGTCATGTCCTGTGTCGTTCGCCATCTCCTGTTGCGCAGCGTTTCCGTTGAGTCTCACGACGGACGCGACATGTGCACTTCGCCTTCCACGCGACCTTAGCGGATCAACCGCATGCTGCTGCTGCTGTTTCCAATGCTTTGTGTTCGATAAAGCGGCAGTCACTGAAGTTTCTCTTCATTGATAAGACGCACGGGGAGGGCGTTCGCTAACGGTAAGTCAACGCTCCCACCCACCTATGGCCAGCTTGCATGAGTCTGCCTGCTGCTGCAATGTCATGCACCAAAATTCTGCTGACCTCAGTGCTGGACGACGTGATGGAAGTAGACACGTTGGTCACTTTTTGCTACATACAGCTTCGCGGAAACTCGCAGAGATCAAGCAGCTGATACGACTACACATTGCACGCACTGCCGAGCCTGAGCTTTCTATCTGACCTTGCACAAGCCTAGTACGGGAGGTGCACACACATATCCTTGTCGACTAGAGTGTTGCTCCTCAGCGAAGGGTATACAACGTATCTTGCCGCATGCAGAGATCGAGGTGACAAGTGTGTACCTGTACTAGACGACACCCCCTGACCAGAGATAGATACGCAGCGTATTGACCGCCAACGGTTACCCAAAAACAGTTGGTGCCACACCGCTAGGAGGTGCGAAATCATTGCGGCTAGAACTCTGCGCTAAAGCGCGTCTCAAACGAGCCCTCGTCCAGCACAACCTCGTTGCTCTTGAAAATACCTTTTCCAAAGTACTCGGCAATGGTGTTGAAACCATCCGCCGCGGTCTCGAGCTGGTTGTAAAACTGTTCGTGATTGCCAGCTTTTTGCTCCAGTTGCGTCTTGAGTCCCAGAATGTGGCGGTGATCCATGGAGCACGCGATACACTCACGGTCTGTCTCCGAAATGCAGTTCAGGTGGTAGCTGTGCTGGCACATGAAGTGCACTGCAGGCAAATCCAAATCGTGGCTACACAAGTCGCACTTCGTTGCCTGGAACACTACGGCACGACTGCTCAGCTGCGCGATCTCCTCCTTCATTTGCTTCGTGTCACTCCGGAACGCCTTGATCTTTTCCTCGTCTTCCTCGATCTTCTTCTCGTCGCTAGCCAGCTGATTGACCACGTACTGCTTGATCACCGACACGGGCAGCTCACGTGACTGACTCAACACCTGGACTACTTGGAGTGGAGGAATTGCCGGATTCGTGTCGATCAAAGCAAGCAGCTGTTGCAGTTCCTCCCACTCCTTACCGCTTGTAGCACCCTTCGGCAAGGGCCCTCGCTCAGCAAAGTACTTCAGCGCCAATGACCACAGATTCGGATCCTTATCTCCGTGCTTGCGCACTTCCTCAAGTATACTCTGGTCGTCGTTCTCCTCAATGTGGAACTGCACCAGCATGTGATACATATGGAGCTTGTTGTACAAGTAGCGCTTGCCTTTCTTCATGCCTCGCATCTGCAGATGAATCAACGCGTGGTCCTCATCATACTTGACGCGCGGGTTGTCAAGAATGCGCAGCACAGCCTCTTCCTTCTCTTCAACCGAACGACTGCCGTTCTCGCCCTCGTCATCGTCGCTGAGGACCATTTCCAGCAGCGTGTTCCCGATCGATGTGTTGCTCACTGTCTCGACCTCGACGATGTACTGCAAAAACTCCTTGAGCTGCGCGCGGTGGGACACGAACAAGTGCAAGAAGTCGCCGGGATCCGACTTCAACGACGGGTCCTCCGGAACATACTTGCCCGTGCAAAGGCGCTTCAGCAGCTCCGTCGCGGGCCCCGGCATATGCGTCACAAGCGTACGACCGTACTTACGCAGGTTTGAGTCAGCTTCAGAAAAGCTGAGGTGCTGAATGTACTCAAGCGCATCGGCTACGCGTTCTTTCTCACTCTCCGATAGAGCGGCCAGGTCTTCTGAATCGACATAGCTTATATGGCCTAGCTGGATCTTCAAGTACCAACTGTGCTCTTCATGCTTCTTCGCCAGCGTCAGCGCGTGCTGTGGATAGTTTTCCCACAGTACACTGATTGCAGTTTCGACGTCAAAGTTCAAATTGGCTCCTCCCCCACCGTCTTTAAGTGTCAAGCCACCGGTATCGCTGTCGATTTTTGTGCCATGTGCCTTCTTGGCATCGATGACCTCGTCTAGCTGAATGAACTTATCCAGCTTCTTGACGTCCTTCAGCTTTGTGTAACAGTTCAAAAGTAGCGTCGTGTGTTCTGCATTCGCGAATGCCTTCTCGTGAAGAGCCTCGAGGTAGGCCGTCAGATTATGGATGCGTTGTGCATCCAGAAAACGACGGATCACGTAGGACGGCTCAACGTGACCAATGGTACGAACGTATTGACGCAACGATCCATCGTAGTCCCCCTTTTGGTACAAGTGGTCTCCATACATTCGAAAAATATCAATGATACTGTTGACGTCGTAGTTCGAGCTAAAAGCCAGGGAAATAGCAATCGAATACAAGTTCTTGCGAAACAAGATTTCCAACTTTGACGTCGTGTCCTTCTCACTTAAGCGGTACACGTGCCCCATTGAAGATACCACAAAGATAGCGCCAAACTCGCAGACCACGTGACGGACTTCTTCCATTTCGTCCAGCCCGAAGCGCGCATCACCGGCGCGAATGTTTGATGCGAGCGGCGGCTTGCGCATAGGGCCTTTCGGATTTGTGCTTGTGAGCGTCCAGTTGAACGCGATAAACTTGTTCTGCAGATCATACACATTCACTTGGTGCCGCCCACGCGGGTCTATGTGCGCCACTAGAAGGTAATGCTTGAAGAAGTGTAGATACTTCTTCTCGCCTTCGAACGCGAAACAAACCGAGCGGTCTTCAGTCGTGTAAAAGTACACGGCGTCGGTCTGGCCAACAGCAATTTCGTCTTCCTCGTTTACGCACGAGCAGTTCATATCCACACCGCGCTCGTCTAGAACCGTCGTCCGGGGCGGAAGAGCTGCGGCACCACCCACGCTCTTCACTAGTGCCGGGTCATCGTGCGAGCAGTGATAACAAGTAAGTCCGCGCCGTGTTGACGCAAACAAGAACACATGGACCAACGTTGCTGTCACTGGTTTGCCGATAAACGACAGTCCCGTGACGGGATACTGCCCGGCTGGCTGAAGAAGATGAGGTGGACGATCAGTGCGTCGCTTCAAGTCGCTGCGGAACAAGATCACAGCGCCGTTCTTCAATCCAACGGCGAACTGACTCAAGTCGTCATTCACCGCAAACGCTGTCACTGCTTCTTCCGGGTATTTCTTGGCGAAAATAGGAATCTGTTGCAGCAGCTTCGGTTTGCCTTCTCTGTCTTGCTGATCTGTCCGCCAAAAGCGCACGACGGCCGTGCTTTTCCCCGTCGGCTTGGGCGTATACAACTGCATCAAACCAAATCGTCACGACCATCCGCTTTCACGTTAGCACATGCGATAGAATAGTGCTACAGTATACACACCTCTTCTGCGTTAGGCGCTCGACCTGCTTCAGCTATAGCTTTTGACTGTTCCCGCAGCTCGTCAGGGCGAGGGTCAATGCCGTCACCAATCGTCGCCAACACGTTACTGCGCTTCATCTGTAGTTCATCGTGGCAATGACGTCAAGTGCTGTCCAATACAACGCACGAGAAGCCGAAGCCAAAGACGAGGGAGTGTGGGGAAGGACGTACCATGACGACGTGTGACACGAATAGCTCGTGCGCCCGAAACTTGCGTGCTTCTAGTGACCGATTGGCCAAATGGACGTATCCGTCAGCGTCTCCGACGCAGATGAGGCCTCGATTAGCGCTCATGCTCGTAATGTCCACACCCTAACGAGGTACGTTCCACTGTTAGCGATCAAAGACAGACAGAGACACGAGAGCAATCGCCGAGCAATCGATCAGCAGAAGCACGAGAGACGCACCTTCATCCACGGCCCGTTCGCATCCTTGAGCACTTCCTTATCAAAGAACGCAAAGCGTCTCCACTGCGCCATGGCGAAAGGGGACCGACCACTCGACTTGGCCTTTGCGCTGGATGCTATTTTCCTCTGATTGTCAAAACTGATACGACAAGTACGCAGGCCGCTGTAGGTACGTACGTACGTACTTAGGACGGAATAGATTGGGGATGGCTTGCTTACTTTGGGCTCCTACGATACAGTCGAAACGGCTTTGTACGAATAGCGCATCACGTGTTTTAGAGTCGAGCACTCTATCCGTCATTCGAGCGATCTCTCTTTCGATTACAGAAAACGACTGTTGACGTCATCCACTGCGATGCAATTGCTGAGCGCAAACGGACCGCAGAGTGGAATGATACGTGCTGTCCGGATATCGATGGCTGGATCGAGTCGGACGAGAGGCAGCATGTTGTTGTTCTCCAGCTGCTGAATAAGTTGGTGCTCGCCATAGCACCTCCATGCTGTTTTTCATTCCCGATGGCAGTCTTCGCGACGCTCATGAAGGCAACAGCGGCCATTCGTCCGCCGGCAGCGTTAGAATCTGGGACAGTTTCGCGCAAGTACCGCACGAACAACGACAACAACTGCCCGCACTACTCCTGCAAAAATCACCTGAACTAGTTGCTAGCGGAACTGACTATGGAATCCGAGAAGTCGCGTCTTCCGACGACGGAGCTGACTGCAACTTCGCTGCGTCTTTGCGCTTCTCGATCCATTGAGGCAAAAGGATGGCAACGGCTGCGTCATTCGTCGCCCAATGGTCCGTTTGCCGAGTCCGAGTGTTCTGCGTCCCGGTCGATCGCGGCTCGGGTCGTTCAGGTCCATCTATTCCTGTACGAGAGCAACGTCACGTTTGCCGCATGCTGTCGCTCATTTATAGTTGTTGTTGTTACTACTGCTGGTGCTGCTGTCTTCTCTCTCTCTCTCTCTCTCTCTCTCTCTCTCTCTCTCTCTCTCTCTCTCTCTCTCTCTCTCTCTCTCTCTCTCTCTCTCTCTCTCTCACACATCATCCGTCGTCGTGCCTCCTCATCGGAAAAAGCTAAATATAGCCACATCTCGAGCCCCAGTCAGTAGCAGTCCCTCGCGACTTGGGGTTCGCTGGTTTCCTAGTTTATCCTACAAACGCATCCCCCACATTGCCCAATAACGTCTCGCGGTGTGAGAGTTCAGTCGCGTTTCGTTGCGTGACGCTCATGATGAGCGACGGCCACGACGAGAAGCCCGTCATGTCACTGCGCAGCACTGAGAGCAAAGTCGGCGTCTGCATTGCGGGTACGTCCTTCTCCTCTGTCTCTCCTTCTCTTCTGTCTGTCTGTCTGTCTCTCTGTCTGTCTGCCTTTTGGTCTCTGTCTCTTTGCTCGTGCTACGACTGACCGCATGGCTCGATACGTTCGTGGAATGGCGTAGGGTGGTACGTCATCAGCCTCATGACGCTCTGGACGAACCGCTACGTGGTGACCACGTTGCAAGTGGACTCGAACGTGCTCTCACTCGCCCAGCTGAGCATGTCGGTACTTGGCGGTCTGAGCTTGGAGCTCTATCTAGTGGGCTGGACAGCCTGCAAGCGCAGTTTGCGCAAGGTTGTGAGCGGCGGACTCAAGGAAATGGTGCTACTTGCTGGCGTGCGCATCCTCACGGTGCTGCTGGGACTCACATCTCTCAAGTACATTGCCGTCTCCTTTACACGTACGTGGCTTCGTGGACCTCTGTCTCTTCGTGCGTTGCGGGGCACTTGACTGTAAGGAACACACTTACAAGGTGGTAAACGCGCTGTGCTAATCTTGACGTGCGTCACTCACTGACTCTGTAGAGACAATCAAGTCGTCGGCGCCATTCTTCACAGTTATGTTGGCCTACTTTCTGCTGGGGCAACGCACGGGGTGGCGAGTGAATTTTTTCGCTCGTCCCTATTGGCACGGGACTGGTGTTTTGCAGTCTGTCAGACAGCTCGTTCCACGTCCTCGGGTTCACTGCGGCGCTCATGGCGAACTGCACGGATTGTATTCAGAACGTATTGACAAAGCGACTGCTCATACGCTCATACACGTACGTGCGAGCTGTGCTTGTCTGCAGTGGTCGACTGCGAGGCGGGTTCGTCTAACAAAAGTACACTTGTATTGCAGGGCCTCTCAATTGCAGCTCTACACCAGTATCCTCGCGGTAGCAATGCAGATCCTGTTCATCGCTTACAACTGGATGGCCACGCCGTCGGACCCAGCACTCGAAGCCAGCAAGATGGATCGCTCCTCAGCGTTTGTCTTCTGTGTGCTCGTGCTGGACGGCATGTGCTTCTACATCCAGAGTGCGCTCGCCTACATGCTCATGAGTTTGGTGTCCCCCGTAACACACAGCGTGGCCAACTGCGTGAAACGTGCGCTGATCATTCTGCTTTCTATCTACCGCTACGGCGAGGACGTGAGCGTGCTGAACTTGTGCGGCATGGCGCTCGTGGTCTTTGGCGTCTACGGCTTTAATACAGCTTCGCGGCTCGAGCGCGATCAAGCCGCCAGAGGTGCAGAGATTGTCCCTGCGAGTCCCGTCTCCGTGTTGACGAGCACTATCACTGCCTTGTCAGAGATTCGGATCGAAAAGGGCAAGTGAATGAAGCTCTTTCCATTGTGCCGACAGTATATCCCGTTCTTGCTCGTGCTGGTGCTGTGGGTGGTGGTACCGTAATCAACAGCACGTGATAACAACAACAACAACAACAACAACAACAACAACGTATCTAGAGCGTTCTTTTGTGCACGTTGATGTACCGTATTGACCGATACTTAACCCAGCTGGACTTTTCGCCAATCATCGTGCTCGCTTTTCCGCCCAGGGCCAGTGGGTGAGCCACGCGGTCAGTCAGTCAGTCAGTCAGTCTCAACAAACGAGAACACATATCCTGCGACGACCCCATCCGACGACGAATGGCAACCTCAATGGACTACGCGAAGGAGCTGCTGCGAAGACAGTTTCTAGGTGCGTGGCACGCTGTGTTCGTACGTCGATGTGCCTCTCGGGGCCGCGCGAGCTCGTTGCACCTCTGCCCGCAGCGAGTTGCACGGGATATCTATTCGTTTGTACGCGCCGAGTTAACGCGAGTTGGATCTCATATGACTGCTAGAAATGAGCCGCAACCCGCCCGAAGGCGTCTCAGTGGGTCTCGGGGACGACGACAATATCTTCAACTGGGAGATCCTACTCGTAGGTCCGCCCGATACGCTGTACGAAGGCGCGTTCTTCAAGGCCGCCCTGGAGTTTCCCCACGACTTTCCCAACATGCCGCCCAAGATGACGTTCAAGTCGGAGATGTGGCACCCGAACGGTCGGTGGTTGTGCGCGCGGACCTGAGTTGTTGTTGTTGTTGTTGCGAGCAGCTGATTGGCAGTAATGAGGAGAGCACTTGGCTGATTTCTTCCAGTGGCTGTGTCGTCTGCGTGCACGTGCAGTGTACCCAAACGGCGTCGTCTGCATCTCGATCCTGCATCCGCCTGGAGAGGACCATTTGAACCAGCAAGAGACGGCCGATGAGCGATGGCGTCCGATCCTCGGCGTTGAGTCCATTCTCGTGTCGGTCATTTCCATGCTCTCGGACCCGAACGACGAGTCGCCTGCTAATATTGATGCTGCGGTACGTTGCTTTCGCACAAGAGGGAGCGATGGAGGGCACACATTGGCACTGACCTCATGTGCGTTTGTGGCTGTGTGTCGCTGCTTGTGTGTTGGTTGGTCCCCGTCGTCCCCAGGTGGAGTGGCGAAGCGACAAGGAAGGGTTCAAAAAGCACTGCCGTCGCATTGTGCGCAAGTCTCAGGAGGAGATCTAGGCCAATGCCCGGGCGAAAACCAACAGCAGTAGTAGCAGTAGTAGTAGCAGGAGCAGCCTCCGTGTCGTGCACGGTCACGGTCGTCGCTTTTGTCCAGACACGTTGCTGGGCTACGCGCACAAAGGTAGAGAATGATGACCGAACAACCCACTGTGTCTTGGCGTCAAGGGCACCGCACGACGAGGAATAAAACACGAGGCGTGTCGACATTGCATGCGCAAGTCGCTCTCTTCCACTGATGTATCTACTATCGCTACCCACCCACCCACCCACGTACCTACCTGCCTGCACTTGAGCTATAGCTCTAGCTCTAGCTATAGCCAGGCGGTCTGCTAATCTGGCTACATTCACCAAACTGCGCTGTATCCATCAGTGTCGCGGTCCTAAACTAGGACCGCGCCAGCCACGAAACGATCTCGTCGCCTGGATCGCCTCCGTCGTCCACACACACACGACGCAGCTCCGCAGTCCGTCCGTCCGTCTCCGCTCCGCTCTCTACTCGCCCCGCGCTGTCCCCAATGGCTCTGTCTCTGCGCCGCGCGATCGCCACGCGCTGCTCGTCCACGAGGCCGTCTCACGCGCTCGTCCGCACTTTGTACCGGCAGCAACAGGCCGCGCAGCACACGCACACGCTCGTGCTCATTCGTCACGGCGAGAGCGAGTGGAACAAGCAGAACCTCTTTACGGGCTGGTACGACGTGCAGCTCTCGGACAAGGGCAACAAGGAGGCCGCTGCGGCGGGCCAGCTCCTCAAGCAACAAGGCTACACGTTCGACGTCGCCTACACGTCGTACCTCCAGCGGGCGATCCGGACGCTGTGGCACGTGCTGGAACAGACGGACCAAATGTGGATCCCCGTGCACAAGACGTGGCGACTCAACGAGCGCCACTACGGCGCGCTCACGGGTCTGGACAAACAAGCGACGGTCGAGCAACACGGCGCGGAAAAGGTCCTCGAGTGGCGTCGGAGCTACGACGTTCCGCCGCCGGCGCTGGACCCGGCGAGCGAGTCCTATCCCGGCCACGACGTCAAGTATCGGGACGTGCCAGCGGCCGAACTGCCCTTGGCCGAGTCCCTCGAGCTCACGGCTGCCCGTGTCTTGCCCGAGTGGCACAACACGATCGTCCCCAGCATCAAGGCGGGCAAGAACGTGGTGATTGCTGCGCATGGCAACAGTTTGCGGGCACTTGTGAAGCATCTGGACAACATCTCGGAAGCCGAGATCACGGGGCTCAATATCCCCACGGGTGCACCGCTCGTCTACCACTTGGACGAAGACCTCAAGCCTATTCCGCATCGAGACGCAATTGCACCCCTCGGTGCCTTTTACCTCGGCGACCAAGACGAGATTCGCAACCGGATCCAGGGCGTCAAGAACCAGACAAAGTGAGCACTTGCTTGGCGACAGCACGAACGGGCAAGCGGACCGAGCAAGCGCTAGAGTGTTGACACGTAAAGCAAAAGAGCTGCAGCAGTTGAACCTCCTTCGGTGTCGCGGCTGTTTTCGATTAGATATTGTGCTCACCAGTCGATCTCCATCCACGTGCTCATTGACCATGCGCTGTTGACGTCGAGGAGAGCTCGTGAGACTACAGTGTCAGCTACACCGGAGATGTGCTTGTCCCATCTCGTGTTGCTCTGCGCGCACTAGCACTTGCAACCCCCTTGGTACTACAAAAAAGACCAGCTACGGCAAGACCTGCTTGGTCGTCTCGTTCGGCTCGACGCCCGCCATCTTCATGAGCGCTGCCACCTCTTCGATCTGCGTGCGACAACAATGACAGCAGCATCAGTACCCAGCGTCAGCAACACTGTCGAACGAGCAAGACGCGACCACGTCGTACCTTATCCTGCATCCCTTCGTCCTTGAGCTTGAAGAGCAGATTGTTGCAGGTCACACGCTGCAGCGATTGTGTCTCACTAAAGACAACAGCGCCAGCAACAACAGCGCCAGCAACAGCAGCAACACTACTCATCAGTATCGCCCATCCATCCAAGACTCTGTCTGAATCGGCCTCAACATGACGTACGCCGCTGTCTTGAGCAGCTCGACGGCTTTTTCATAGTCTTGCTGCTCCAATGCCGCACGAACGAGCACGTCAAACGTGCGGTCGGTATTCTTGACCTTGTACTGGCGTTGGCCAATCTCGTGCAGCGTAAAGACCTTGTCCAGCTCGCCCTTCTTCAGGAACGTCCACAGCACTTTGTTCAGCGACGCTGGCTCCAAGAACAGTCCAATGCGGTGATTGGCCGCCAGCACGTCCAGCACCACGTCGGGCGCGTCCAGCTCCAGCGCCTTCTTCACAAACACTCCCGCAGCCGTCGCGTCTGGATCCACGCGCTTCTTCTCGTAGATCTTCAGAATCTCCTTCGCCTTCTCCAGCTCTTCACTCGTCGTCACTGACTTGAGGTACGACGAGAGCTTTGACCGTTTGATCGGGACGTCCCTCGCAGCCACGCGCTGGATATCGGCCAGCCACTCGGTGGCCGACCGCGTCGGTACCGCCGCTGGAGAAGCAGCGGCAGCAGCAGAAGTAGCAGACGCAGAGAAGGACCTGAGTGACCAGCATAGTGCCACTCGCCGCGCGCCGGGGCGCTGGTCACGCGACAGCACTGCACGACGGAGCGCCTGCAGACCTCGTCCAGCCATCTCGAATGCTATCGGTATTTTAGGACCTATTGGTGTGACAGACGTCGCTGGAGGACACATCGATACCGACTACTGTATCGGAACGGTACGGCTCGGTATTTCTTACCTCCAAGCAAGACGCCGCTCGGTGCACAAGACTGATACCAGTTCGTACGGACTCACGGGCACACTGCAGTCTCGGTGAATAGCGTACGCTAATGGATCAAAACCGGTAAACGTACGGTAAGACCGAGCTTCCTCGCAAGGACTCACTTGACTGACTGGCCAAGAGATGAAGCTGCTGGCGATGCGTCGGGCGCTCGCGCTCCAGCGGTCTGTGGCCGCGCGCAAGCAGCTCGTCGTGCGGGCGTTCAGCGGTAATTGGGAGTACCCGAAGATCGAGGGCAGTGTGGCAGACGTGACGACCGCACTGACGACGATCGGCGCGCGGTTATCGATCGCCACGGCGCCGCTCTATTTCACGCCGTTAAAAGTCGACTTTATCGTGCGCGAGATGAAGGGACTGGACGAGCTCCTGCAGGTGCAAAAGACGCTGCTGCTCTGCGATGCCAAGATGGCCTACCCCTCGGCCTTTGCAGCCGGCAGCTTCTTCTCAGCGTGCCTGAAGCTCGACGCGGCCCATGTGGCGCTCGAGTTTCTCCGTCAAGCGGAGAACGTGCGCCACTACGTCAAGAATCAGAGCTTTGTGCGTCTGGCCGAGCACTATGACAGCTGCGATGACCAGCACGCGGTGGACGAGCTCGTGCAGATCATGCGGACCAAGCGCGTGCCCCTGACGCACAAGATGGCTACATTCCGCGTCCTGCATGCAAAGAAACGGGGTGCATGGGACGAGGCCGTCGCGCTTGCCAAAGAGGCGGCCGCTGACCGTCAGATTAACTCGCATCTGATCATCCAGTTGCTGCTGGATGGCAACGGAGATGTCTGCAAGGAACACGTGCGTACAAGCGGACTACAGAGCCGCTACTCTTTGTTTTCTGTTGTTGACATTGGTGTGTGGACGACGCTGACGGTGATTGCTGTGATGTGGTTTTCTCTTTTGCTGCGGATACAGCTCCCGCTGGCCAGGTACCTTGCAGACAAGGGAGATGTCTACGTGAATGCACGCCTCGCGGACATGCTAGCAGGAGGAGATGGCAAATTGCCGGAAGTCAAGGTGGAGGAGCCGGAGCAGTCTGCGGACGAAGCAATAGCGAAGGAAAAGGACGCTGGTAACAAGTAGACGATGGATCTTGGACTTTGCTGTTTCGCAGCTGGAACTAGGGAGGACGAGCGGTGCTCGCTCTAATGGGTATGATGGTTCAGATGCTACGAGTTGTATATACTGTCTTGATGTGTATACGTGATAGACCGAGTTCCTACAAGTTGGGAGGGCTCGCACCAGTACCGACTCAACTATCGTGGAGCTTTCGGTGGACAGCACGCAGCAAGCAGATACTTGTTGCCAAGTGTTCGCGCTGCGCTTCCGCAGAGAAACACATAGGGCAAGTACACGTGTCAACGAGCATCGCGAATGGACTCGAGAAGTGCACAAGGCGCTTGCCAGAGGTACGACTGACACTGGTAGATCCATCCAGCAGCTTCCCTGACTTCGGACCTGTCGCGCAGCTCTCTGGCAACCGCTTTGACACCTTGTTGACTCTGGGTGGCAATAGTCAAGGGGAGCGATACGACGAGATGCTTTGTCAGTCCGCCGATAGTGTATCAACATGCAGCAGCACGCGGACGACGATAACTGGACGATAGAGCGAAAGCTTCCCTTTGCTGTGGCGGCTATTGTCACATTCCGCGCTGACTCAGTCGATCCTGTTGCATGGAAGGATCTTGCTCGAGACCGCAGCTGTTAAATGTGCACGAACTGATGGGCGTATCCGTTGATACGAGAGACACACCTTACAACGAGGCCCCTGCATACGTGCCTCAATGTTCGAGTGGCAGAATATGCTTTGTATGCACCTTTTTCTTCCTCGCTGTCGTCAGGGCCGACGTCGTGTTTTCGACCACGACGCTCCTTTCAAACCACCTCTGAAGGACCATGCCGGTGTTGCATCGCCTTCCTTCTGGTCAGATTCGACGCCTTTTGGACTACGCACGTTAGTGTCCTAGCGCCTCGATGTTTACTTCTTTACCGCTTTTATTTCTGCGTCGTTTCTACAAAGAGAGGTCTATCTCCATCGCTAATGGACCGAATGACAACATGCTGGATTCCTTTCACACTTACTTGTCGCTTCACGATGGCGTCGTCCCGTTATAACACTTGCCTGCCTATTTCATCATCAAGAACCAATTCTTCAGTCGTTTCCGTACAAATGGCGTATACGCACAGTTTGCGCTTCGAAAGCACTTGCACCTTACATGAGTTGACAACGCGTCAATTTTGCATTCCTGTTTATTTGTGAAAGTTAGTCCATGGATCAGGGGTACTCACTCCAACCGACATGTCGATCATTCGACACGAGACTGTTGCGCGACCCAATTGCAGCGAAAATGAAAAAGTGGGGCAGGTCTTGGACAAGACCGCTTGTCATCCTGAATGCCTTACATCTTCGACGTGCCGACGTAAATGACATTGCGCGAGAGGCAGAGGTCCACCATTTCTAGCAGGGCAGTCTCCAGGTGACGTTTCAATTCCAAAGCGCTCGTCTCTGGGCACGAGTGGTGGCACGTGATGCTCACGTTAATGCGGTCAGGCTGCAACGCATAGCACACACCGTAGCCTTCATTGTACACGGCTGAGAAGCCGCCCCAGATGGGGCTGGCGCCAGGTCCACCACTAATGTTGCTCGTGGATATCAGGTACCTCTTGCTCAACTCGAACGCCCGGTCTGTGAACAACGAGGGCTTTGGCGTGATACCCGACATCTCTGCCACGATCTGCAAGCCCATGAGATGGCGGTCAATGCCATCTCCAGTCAGGCATTTCTTCAGCGTTTCTTTGTGCGCGTCAATGGCTGTGCGCAGCGCGTCCCATTTCGTTCCTTCCGATGCACTGGACTCCATCGTCTTGACGAAGGCTAGCGACTCGTTCGACAATGACCGAATCGTTTCCGTGCGGCCGTGATAGAACATTCTCGTGTGAGCCGACTCGTATACAGCAGGCAGACTCTTGTGCATCTTGTGGTGTGCTAGTTGAATCGCCAGCTGCACGAAAAAGTCCGGAGTCAGCTTATAACGCTTGAGGAAGGCCGACCCGTAGTGATTGAACTGCATCGTCGCAATGTCGCTGTCGTGAATCAGCTTTCCTACGGCTGCACTGGCGCACTCAATGGCCGTGTAAGCAGCGTTGTCCAGCACCCAGTCCAGTCGCTTTGGTTTCAAGTTGAGCGTAGGTTTCAGGTCTGCGCGATTCGCAAACATGGCCTTAAAATTCTCGTTGACATACTTGATGCAGTAGTCAAACAGGCGGACGACCACGAGTGCATCTGCCCACACATGTTGGCCGTTCAACCCGCCACGAGCGTTTTCGTGCATAATGAGCGTAAACGGCTTGTCGTACCAGCGATTGCGTCCATCTCCGAGCAAACAGTTGCGTGCAATTTCGTCGTACGTCGACGCAGAGCTCTCATCGAGAGCCACACAAAACAGTGCCCGCTCAATCAGGTCGAACGACTGCTTGTTGACGTCATCTAGCGCCAAGATATGGTCTCGGGCCTGCACAAACATCGAGAAATGATGACATGAGCCTAACGCTGCATTTTACACAGTAGCTGTTACAAACAGAGGCTGTGGCAGCTGCCATACCTTGGCCCAGTTTGTTCGATTATCAGACGTCAGGACGCTAACGGGTGGATACCGTTCCAAGTCAAACAGCCCCGTGGCCTCATCGCGGACCAATTCAAATTGCCTGCAGCAACAGCAGCACAACAACAACAAAGCCAGCGAACGATACGTCAAGACTTCGTCTCACATTTGCACAGCAACGTCCATGCACAAGCCGTACCTCAGAAGGTCGGCAAGCGGGACCTCGTCGCCATTGTCCTGGATCACTTGCACGGCCCACATGCAGTTGTTCCGTAAGACGAGAATGTGCTTGGCGTCAGGTGGATACGACACCATCTCGTCGCACTCTTCGCCTGGCACCACACACGTATTGAACATGCGCGTGTACGTAAACATACACAGCGGTCGCCCCATCATCTTTTCCGGTGGATAAGTTTCCCTACGGTCGACGCCGCCATCACACAAACAAACAAACAGCCAATCAAAACACCCCGTTACACACCCTCAGCATCACGAGTACACCCCCCCCCTCCCCAACAAGTCACGTCTCTCTCGCGCGCTGTACGCCACGTACGCCAACAGGTTCTTGCGGAACTTGAGCACTGCGTGCGTGAAAATCGACGCCGCTTCGCACTGACTCATGTCCCGAGGTCCCCAGTTGCCAGGCAGGACGCCATACCAATTGACGTTGATCGCAGACGGGTAGCGCGGCTGCAAGTAGGCGAACGTCTCCCACCACTCTTCGAGCCAGTTGCGCTCGGCGTCCGCCCGGTCCTGTAGAACCGCCTGCAGCTGCGGGCCGACGCCGTGGCGAAAGTCGTGGCACACGGCTCTGGTGTGCTCGAGTTCGCTGGGCGTCAGGAGCGGCTCACAGCTCTGTATGTACTGCTCCAGCGTCTGATCCAGCGATGGCAGAGGCAGCGACGGCAGCTCGTCTTGGTACTGCATAGTGCGCTCGCGTTCCTTTCTTGACATGGCCACACGCGAGTCACAAACGCTGTCGGATGTGCGCGCAGTTGTTGTCGTTGCTGCAAGTGGCCGCAGAAGCAAAAGTGACAGGAGATGGGCGGAAATAGGTCTCGCGAAAAGGTCGAGGTCTCTTTTTTAGTCCCATTCGGTCCACACAAAACGCAATTGACTTGTTTTCGAGGCGTTTGTGGAGGCCACAACGCTGCGCACGCAGGGGGTTTTGTGTGCGTGTACTTCAAGCACGGCTCCTCACGTCAATGTCATGCCGCGAACCCGTCGTGATGTATCCCGTCTTCTCCGATACAAACAGAGTCGAGAGCGACTCGAGCCGTCGCACCAGAGCCATCGATTAGAATGGCATACGTTAGAATGGCGTACATACATAGGGATGCAAACATACAGAAGTTTGGCCACGTTGCGACGGTCCGACTCGCACCGGACGATGCTTTCTTTGCCTCACGTCGTGCCTGCAATAGGTAGTCGAGACGAGCTCGAGCCAAGTGGAACAGTCGGAAAGCAATTGCGTCCGAGGCAGAGAGCGACGAGAACAACGCAATGCCTCTAGACATGAAGGCCGCCATCGAAACGGCTACAGAGGAGATCAAGTGGATCGCAGGTCGGGTTGCCTTGTCGCTCACTGCTTTTCACTGCGCATACGCACTGCGTATAGGTGGGCGTGACCGGGCGCTATTGCAGCTGCACACTGTCGTATTGACGCAAGTTCAGCGTCGCCACCAGGCGCTATTCTGCCCTCTCGTGACACTTCTCGTCCCTTGAGCAAGCGGTGATCGTGACGGTCAGCAGCTATGCACCTTAGTGCTCGCTCTACTGAACTCGAAGGTGCAGGGAAGTAGCAGCAGCACCACGTGTGGTCCACATGTATCGCGTCGTTTTTGCTCGGGCGCGAACTCTGGGGACCAACTGAAGTAACAACAGTCGTCATCGCACCCGTTTGGATGTACGACAGACTGACTGACTGACTGCCTGCCATCGGATCGGTGCAACAGCTCCCACTGACAGACTCGCTCGACCGCCGTCGCTGTCTCTCTCTCTCTCTCTCGCTCGTCCTCTCGCTTTGCACTGACGCTGATGCTGTCCCTGATCCGCGCCGCAAAGCCGCGCGCTCTCGCGACGGCCGCGCGCAGTGTGCACGTCGAGCGCCAGTTGGAGGAGTTGGGCTACACGCTGCCGGCGGTGGCCGAGCCCAAGGGCAATTACCGCACATCGGTGCGGTCCGGCAACACGATCTACTTGGCTGGCCATCTGCCACAGCCGGCCGGCGGGGACCTCATCCTGGGCAAGATTGGCCAGGACTTGACGCCGGAGCAGGGCTATGACGCTGCGCACTACGTGGCGCTCAGCCTCATGGCTACACTCAAGCGTGCGGTGCTCACGGACTTTATTCGCCAGCAAACAACGAGACGGCGCTGACGCTCTTTTCAATCTCTGCGTTGTTGCTGCTGCTGTTGTTGTTGTTGCTGCAGAGGAAGTGGGTGATTTGGACAAGATCAAGCGCATCGTGAAGCTCGTGGGGTTTGTCAATTGCGTCGATGGTTTCTCGCAGCAGCCTGCTGTCATCAACGGTGCGTCCGACACTATTGGCAAAGTATTTGGCGACAAGGGCATCCACGCCCGCTCGGCTGTGGGTACGAACGCCCTCCCGCTCAACGTGGCGGTGGAAATCGAGGCCGTCGTCGAGGTTGACGAGTAACGAGCTTCTCCATGATAGCGTCGTGCTCTGCTTCGACGGACGCGAGGGTGGCTTGCCGTGTATACCGTGTGCGAGGCATTGCTTGTTGCATACCCGAAAACAGCTTCACTCAGTACGACGTGGTAGTCAAGGCTTGACATGCTCGAATAAAGTCGCATATGTCGGCCTCGTATTTCGTGCCTTGTTCGTCAGCAAGCGAGACCTTGTCTAGTGAATGCTGGTACAGCCTTCCTGGCCAACAGAGAGATCGCTAGCGAGCCTGACTTTGAATCCGAGATCGAGCCAAGACATCGGAACCAACGACCTCCAGCAGGTAAATAGTCCTAGATAGGAGCTACTGAAGCAGCACTGGTGCGATCACTGCTCGTGCGCCTGAAACCGGATGAAGGTTCAACACGCCGTTGTCCGCAAGACTTACGCTTGATCAAAGCTGGCGTGGAACTGTCTGGTAACTTTATCTCTCGGCAAACGAGGCTTGCATTCTGTCGACCGGTCACTTGTATTCTGATAGTCGTTCCCGCATTAGGAGCAGCGCTAATCGTGCGAGCAAGGGCCGTACATACCTTTCTGTACGTGCTAGATCTCGTTGCGCTCGATAACGAAAGTCACTCGCAAACAATCTGCTCTTCCTATTGTTGTTGGCTGAGGAACTTTGCGGGATGCATCTCACGGTTAATATATCTTGCATCTACTTGTGCGAGCAGTAGTACCATAGAACTTTCGCTGAGATATGGACAATACTGACGGCACGAGTGCAGTAGATTGACGTACAACGGGTCGCAAGGACCTGTAAACGATCAGATAACTTCCCCGACGGAGTGAAAGTCATTGTTTGGGTACCTTTGTATTTTGTGATATCTGGTAAAGCTTCGCACAGCTTCGACCTGCTGTACGCAGACAAAACGAGGGGCCGTAGATACAACTTTGACACATGGCCGACTAGCCAGCTATGAGACGCAGCTTTCCAGTCAGTCGTGACTAGAGCCTTTCAGTGTCGTGACACCAGCTTTTTGCATAAAGAAAAGTACTACACCTTATTGACATATCCAGTATTTGGCGGTGGAGCTGATCGCCGTGCGACATCACCGCAAAACAAAACACGCCCTTTCGCTCCCTTCGTTCGCAAACAGCTCTGATCCGGCAGTAACGATTTGTCAGGAGACGGTCGAGACTGCAAGCACGTGCACTTATCCATCGGCACTTTTACACGTGCATTTGTTCTTTGTGTGAGAATGCAGAGCGTCAGTATTTGTTCACGCCCTCTACCTGTATGACAAGAGGTGGTTCGTCCCGAGTCAAGCATTTCGACATCTTCTGGTAATTTTTCTAGCCTGTCATCCATGAGCGAGCTAATGTCTTGTTCAGCCCCTCCTTCACTCCGTCATCGGTTTCTCGACTTACAGAGTAATGTTGTGGTCTGTCTATGGACGAGCGCGCCGTACCCAAAGACCATACCCGCAACTATTCCGATTCGATGGTCAACTTCGTTGGCATCAAGACGAACGCCTTGGATGTCTCCGTTTGATGCACAGGCCGTACCTAGCGCCACGTTCGTGTTCGCTTCCATTTGATTGACAAGGACACGGACGCTCACGAAGGCCCGGCTTGCGTACCCTACCGTCAACAGCAATGCTAACATCATTCGACTACATGCTAGAGCGGAGAATGCTCTCAACCTAATATCGAGCACATTTTCGCACTGCAATCATAATGCGGCATAAAGTGCTGTAAAGGAAGCGGCACGAAGTACATCGGCAATGCCCGAGTTACGTCATTATCGTTCGTATAATCGCAATTCAGACACGTGCAAAACTCTCATTCTGTGGAAGTTACCACATTTGCGTCTGATTGGGTGCACAACACACGGGTGCGGCAGAATGCACCGAGCAGCCGAAGCTTGGACGCAATTCGGCGCTATAATTGCATCTACTCAAGGTAAAACAGCTCGTGAATGCATGTTCGAGAAGTATGGAGTAGAAAGGGACTGATGTGAACATAGAAACTGACCGGCCGACCTTCAAACAAATGCGTTCAGAGAAATTACTCGTAGGTCGTTCTAGATCGTCTCGCGCATCTACCGACTGTCTGGCTGACACGACGGCTTGACCCACCTCTTAGCGTGTAGCTGAAGACCGTGGCATAAGCGCTTTGAGTTTCTCGGGCGACAATTGCTTAGGTGCAGGGGGCGTTGTTACACGAGCATCCAGCGCTTTCAGCAGTCGGCGTGAGCGATCCTCCATTCCACGTTTCCCAAACTCATTAAGAAAAGCTTCCAGTTCAGTCGTCTCTTTCCAATTATTCAGAAGTACTTCGATCACGGTCTCGTCTTTCTTGACACTCTCGTCTTTCTTGACACTCTTGTCTTTATCGTTAACGAACGTAACACGTTCATCGTCAACGTACTGCAGAAACTGCTTGAAATCATTGCAATGGTTCTCCAAAACACCTTCGGCAGGTGGTCTCATTGAGTTGTACTTATTAAGGTTTGCAGTGGGCATCGAGTAGTATGCGGTTAAAGGTTTCAACTTTATCTCCGCCCACTTTTCATAAAACAAAGGTGGGTATTCAGGGAAAGGTCCGGAAAATATCTTTCGCTCCATCTCAAAAACTATAGTCTTCAAATCTTCAGAACGTCGGAGATGTTCAACAAAACCCACAACGTCTTTTGGTGCGTTAAATTGCACCAGCACAGATGCCACAAAGGGTGCGGGATCGAATAGACCCCAAGGTCCTTTGACGTTATTTTTCTCTGCCTCGACAATGCGTTTTAGGCCTAGCACCACATCATACTCCAACCACTGAGTGAGGTCGAGTTTGATCTCATCCCACAATTCGCTACGTTGGAGCACACTTTCGACATGACCATCCGTTCCAGTAGGCGCGGAAGGACCACTCGTAAGATGACCATCCGTTCCAGTCGACCTCACACGACCATTCGTGAGATAACCTTTCGTTCCAATAGGCATCATGTCGAAGACGACGACAGGATCCGTGTTGGACTTCAGCCACACATCAAACATCAACTTCAGGGTATCCGGGTGCTTCTCACCCAGCGTACCCGTTAAGCGGTCGATGCGAGGTTTGATACCAGTATTGTGAAGACTGAGCAAGAAATCCACCGACTCTTTTTCCCCCCACTCATCCACCAGTTTCGTCACTGTGGCAGCGTCGTCGTACGAGCCACCAAGCTTAGCGTGCTTGTCGACATACTTTATCCATGTCAAAAGCCACTCTTTGACGGCCTCTGCTTCCATGCTGTCTGCACTTGGCTTCTTCAATGCGATAGGCAGCATACTGTAGACTACGTCAGGGTCCACTCCGTCTTTCAGCCATACAGCAATCATGCCACGTGCGACATCTTCGTTTTTCGCAACCAGCGCTCGCTGCAGTTCATCAGCACGACTTTGCATGCCATCCACCTTTCGAAACCGATGAAAAACCTTCGCCAGCGTACGAGCATCCGGGTTTATCGTCAGCAGGTGCTCAACCTCGTCCTCCACAGTACAGTCAGGATGCCCAGCACGATACGCATCGATCTTTTGAGCCCACTCCTGAAGCTGCCAATCGTGGGCACGCTCAAAACTCTCTCCTGCTTTGGCCTTCAACCGTTCAAGCATGGACAGCGGGCTGTGCTCTGTAGCCTGGATCAGGGGTTCCGCTTTACCCAACACTTCGGTCAGAGGTATGAGCGAAAGCTCGCCCCTTTCCTCGTCGCTTTGACGGTCGCGGTCAATCCCTTCCTCGTTGCCGTGGACCTTCACGAGTTCCAGCGCGACAGACGCGTTCATCTTGGAGGGGGAAACGACAGCGGGCAAGTATCGAGCAGTATTGTGCGGTTCACCACCGCTCGCGGTCGTTGAGCGAGCAGCTGTCGATAGAGAGATACCGGTGGCCGTCAACAGAGGGCAAAGCAGACGCATGGCTCAGTCCAACACAAGTGGGGCAAAGTTCGGTCCAACAGAAGCGGGGCAAAGTTCGCAATGGGAGAAGCTCGCGCATCTGATCGCAGCCTGTCGACCACTCCAGCACCAGCCAGCTCCACTCATATTTGGTCCCTGTTCTGCTTTTTGACGAGCATTAAATCCGATATTGATTGCAAATTAGCTGCTAATAAAAATGAGAAAACCACAGCATGTCGACAGCATACGGAGCCTAGACTCACAAGAGTCATGTATTATGCTTCATCGTTTGCTCACAATCATGAACATGCCGTGTGAAACGGGGTAAGCCTATTGCACGACGTTGCGATTACGCCACACACTAATGTGAGCATTGTCGATTCGACAATGTTATTGCCCATCCGGCAGCACATGGCATCCTTAGCCACCAGGGCGTCCCATGAAGGCTAAAAATGCGCGCAAATAGGGGGTAGCAAGCAGGCATCAATCGCCAATAGCTGTAGCCGAATCCAAGGAGAAATCGAAAAATTGCATCAAATCGCGCGACAGTAGGAACCTCGGTACCGTTGTCGCAAAGTATTCCAACTCCCATCATCAGCGCAACCATGGGCCAAGTCTTTCCACACCACCGAAACTTGCTGTACCTTTGTATTGACCAAGTTTAGCGTGGACCTCAGTTATTGTTCTAGACGATGTGCTAAGCAATATCGACCCTAAATTTTTCCATCAGACAATGTGTAAGGTTATACAAGTGGATGAAACGGCTTCAAAACGTTCGTCGACTTCTTCAACGACTTGCGTGTCGAAAGCACGTGGGCTCACTTCACGTACGAGCGCCACTCCAAGTCTGCCCCAAGTGTGCGTGTGTGTGTGCTCCGCTCGTCGACATTGTCGGCTGTCAGTTCGCTGAACACCCGCCGTACTTTTTTCCAGCCGACAAGTCGCCAAGCCCGCTCGTCTACATGATTTTCTTCTCCGAGATGACGTTCCCCGACGCGTCCCGGCCGTAAATCTCTATGTGCTGTACCTTGGGCATACCCCACGAAGTAGTTTGTTGCACGAACACGCGCTCAAACGTGCAGCCCTCTTCGCCGTTAATCGAGCCCAGACTCACGGGCTTGCCGTCCACAATGGACAAATAAACGACGCGGTCTTTCAGCGACGTGAGCGTCACCTCGTACTCACCCGGATGACCCTCGCGCGGCTTGACGGTCGCACCGTACGCGGTCGAGCGCTCGATTCGGTTGAGCTCTTCACGGGGCGCGCCGTCCTGCTCAAACATGATCCAGTACACGTCCAACGGGTTCTTCGGGTCCAATGTGCCATCCTCAAGCAGCCGTGCGGCATACACGACCACGTTCTTGTTCTTGTTGCGGTATATGACGAAAGCCACATTCGCGTCGTACGTCTGGGCAATCACGGGCATGGGGTTGTTCTCTACTTTCGAGAAGTCGAGCGACATGACGAGCTTTCAGGAATGGGCGTAGATGGCGAGTGCACTGGACGTTGCAAGTCAGAGAATGAGACGGACTGACGTGGACGAAAAGTAGAGGTTCAGACTGCAAGAAAAACCGCCCGCCTGCTCTGGCTTTCGGCCCGCATTGTCGCGGGTGTCGTCCCATTGTTGGTGGACGCCACGACGTAACCGGTACGTAGGAAGTAGCGCTCTATCGAATTACCCAACTACCGGTAGAATGTTCCATTGCATAGTCTCGTGCTGTCCGTTTTCAATCGATTTTTAAAGGTCACTTTGCAATTATAGTAAAATCAACCGGTACGTGTCAAAAAGAGCACATGTGTCGAGGGAATGAATGGTAAGCTAGATCCTAGCATCTTTCCGGTATAGCTCCCCGCTCGGCAAGTTTGCTGCGCCATTTTCGAGCTGGTCAAAAGTGTAGGTCACGCCTACTGCCATGGACCAGCCTAAATGTCAAAAAATAGATGTGCTATACAGTAAACGTGGCCTCCAGCTCTGTAGAATGGGTGCAATCGTCAACGTGAGCATTCTGCACCAGGACCGGAGTCCATAGCGTTAAATACTGGCCTTCTACCACAAATTAGTTCGTAACTGCCGCCGAAGCCAACATGAAGCCAACATGAAGCCAACAGACATTTCAGCACCGACGTTACTTCGTCGTTGTTCGCATGCCATTTTCCTTTCTTACTTGAAAACGACCCATGCTTCGCTCAGAGCCTGTCCTTACATTTTTGGTGCACTGCCTGCTTGACTGTGATACGTTTGAGATCATTGTTGCAACACGTCTTTGCATACTTTAACGACGAAATTGTTATAGCTAGTGGCGGTCTCCTTGGATCAAGTTCTTAGCATCGAGAACGTCCTTCCAGGCGAACGAAGATATCTGGTATCAAATAACCGTTTTACTGTGAGTTTGCTCGAAAGCGCTCGACAACTTTTGCGGCACAGGTTGCTATTTCTCGCTTTTCTTCTCATTCCTGCGACAAAGAAGTTGGGCTGTGCCGTCAAGCTCTCGAAACCCGAGACCCTGTACGACTGTAATCATAAAAAACGCGGACTTTCTTGGGTCTTTATAGGACCAAAGAGAGCACGTTCAGCCATCGCATACTGACGAATCAAGCAAACTGGCGACCTCACTCAACTCAAGATGCCCCTAACATCAAACAGTAGCGCAAAACCAACGCGTCAAAAGCGCCTGTTTCTACTCGCATCAATATCTTTCCTTACATCGGCGCTCCTGCCTGCGAGGGTTCACTGCACCAAAACAAACTTCACCTACAGTCTTAGCAGTTGGCTAGTGTTTTTTCGATCGTTTGGCGCGGCCGATGGCGTACAACGAGTGCAGTGGCGTGTCGACATCGGCTTTTGATGTACCGCACTAGTCATTGGAGTGACATAATGGCAGCCTGCACCGCTGCTGGTAGATACATATGACACATGGAATCGACGAACTTCAAAGTCTAGACTAGTGCGGGATGCAGGTCTACCAAGTAGTCCAATTTCGTAACGTTGTTTCTGCCCGCGCCTAAGCAACGTCATCACCTCGTAGTAAGCTGAATTGTTGACGAGCATTCGAACTGACATGGCAAGAACAGTGATTGCCGACAATAGAAGATGCCAACTTGTCGATTGCTTCACGACACGAAATACGATCCTGACGCATCGGGCATCTCATTAGCTCACGATTTAAAGGTTGGTAGAAGACGAAGAGCAAATGCCCTGCCGGATCGAACAACTCAACAAACAATCTTCATTCGTGTCGAGTCAACCTTGACGGATTCATTTTGCGTGAAAAGAAGCTGTGGAGCATGCCGCCACCGCATCGAGGGCGGCAACATCGTTGACGCAGTGAATGGCGTTGTTGTAGTTGCTTGCTTGCACGTACAACTCGCTGTGGTCAGGACACGGGGTATCGTACGGATTCGTCCCTTCGCGCTAAGAGAAGCTGCTTATGCAATCGAGCGTGACGAAGAAGTGAAGCTTTTCAGCTGAAACACCCAGAACAGGTGCTCCCGAAGGAGACTCAGTATCAATCAAGATGTTGGAGAAGTACCGAATGTTTAGCTGTGCAGCAAGCGCATCCTTAGGACAACATTGTACTGGTTGTATAGTCTACTACAACACAGCGTGGCAAATCTCACTTACGCTCGGGTGCCATCGGTGAGGAAAGAGTGAGACTAGTGGTATCACAAGGGCGCGGCTAGTGGTATCGAAAAGGCGCGAGTTATCACGTCCGAAAGCACTGTCGGAGCGTGCAGAGCGCCAATTCGAAATTGAACGCGGAAGTGGTTGTAGGCAACGGATACAGGACGTTACGAGGAACGTCAGCTCAACGTCCAGTTGGCTGCTCCTTTGTCAGACGCGGTCTTAGGACGGACAATCAGCACTCGCGACATCCATAGCATGGCTACATTCGAGCGCCTCGCTATGAGTGTGTCACGTCAATTACGTGCCTTTGGTGTAAAAAAGTTCATAGGCTATGCGAGTGGTGCGAAGCGTGTAGCCCCTCAATTTGCAAGGGTGTCATTTTTTGTACCGAGTCTTTTCATTCGCACGGGTTCGTCAAGTCGACACTTACGACATGAAGCCGCAGACGACAGTTGCGCTGACGCCGATTCTTCGGAAGCTCGTGCCGCTTTGCTTCGTAACAGGTGCAGCGGTCGAAGTGTTTATGGTCAAGACGGGATTCTGTGCGTTCATTTTTCCTGAGTTGAAGCAGACTGTCAGTGTGCAGTACCGTGCCGAAAAACAATTGGGAGAACTAACAGGTGGCTGTTGTGCTGTAGACGAGATCGTCACTTTGAAAGAAGCCGAACGCCGCCAGCAACGTGACGAGGAACGCCAGGAATATTTGGCAGCTAGAGCTCGAAGACAGTGAGCGTGGTTGCTCTTGGGCATTGCCGAGACTCAAACACGCCATGCGGGCTCCTTTTCTTTCTCGTGCGCTGGACCTCTTACTTGTTCATCTCGCTTTTCCAAGCTGCACACGGTCACCAGAGCCGTTCAGTACAAGTGCCACTGCTACATCCTACTCGAGCCACGCTGCTCTCCTTGAGATCGTGACTTGTCTGCTCCTTCTCGTGACGTAAAACTCACCACACGCAGCTCTTGCTAAGCTGCTGAGTGCACAATACGCTGGAGCACCAACTCGATCTTTGGCACGCGGTAACCGCCACGGTCTTTAGGGCGATTTAGCGCGTATCGTGTAGTGATTTTCGTCGTGATGGCACTGTTTTGCATGCGCAGAATCTCCGCCACCTGCACTGCTGCCGTGATGGCCGCCTCGGACGCCTGCAGTCGAACGGTCTCCTGCTTCTGCACCGTGAACTTCGAGTTGATGATATTGGCGTAAAATACTGCAACAATGGCTCGCCATTTACAAGCATTAGTAGAATAGCTCACGAGAAGTAGAAATGCATACGTTTGAGGGTCGCCAAACGTCATCGTACCTGCCGGTTTTCGTATCGACACTGTGACAAGGTCGTCTGTGTACCGAGCAAGGCGAGGTCCAGAAAGAACCTTGTTCAAAGGCTGGAGATCAAGCTCCTTAATTAGCCGGTCAAAGACCTCTCTTGCCGCTGACCAATTTTCAATCTCGATGACACACGAGTGCGACGTTGCCGCCCCCTTTGTCCATGGCATGGAGCCGACGACGACCACGTGATCCACGTCTTTCGCTGCTTCGGTCAACTCGGCAAGATCCGATCCTACCGCAACCTTCACCTTGAAATCATCATACAGCTCCTTTTTGCGCGCGACCAAGTGTACCGGACTGGCCTCGTCGTCCACAAACACCAGCTTGTCAAACACGCCAGCAAAGTGCTGGTCGAGCCACTCGCGCGTCTGTTTCTCCGCAGACCGCGGACGAGCTGTGATCGCCAGCAGTGAAAAGGCACTGCGCAACGGCTTCAACACTTCCGCGGCTCCTTCTACCGCTTCCAGCTCCGTCTCCAAAAAGTGCTTGGACCCGAAGAACGCGCATCTCTTGCTCTCTACATCGCTTTGCTCCCAGGGACTTGCTCCACGTTTTGACCCTGTCTCTTTCACTCCTTCTCCGTCTCCGTCTTCGTAGCTTCCATGCGTCTACATGGCCAACCACAACACATTTTGCCAGTACAATGAATCTAGTGTCAGCTACGACCCACAATGTACTGACTCGAGCGACCCGTAACCGAAAAAAGATCGCGCGACTCAGTGACGCTGTCACGCACGTGCGTCTCGCGCTCTGCTTCCTGCCACGCTGTCATGCACGCGAGCAGGTCGGTCAGCGTGTGGTCCACGTCGACCATCACAACCGGACGCTCGCTGCATCCGTAAAGCGGCGCCGCCCCTGCCGTCGTCGTCGCCGTCGTCGTCGTCATGATCACTCACCCGAGAGAGCGCTCGTGCCAAGTGTCGCACTTTGAAGTTGCGGGCAGAGCGGTGCAAAAGTCGGTAGGAAACCGGTTTCAAACCGGTATCTGTGTGCCGCTCATCGACTCGGCTCTCCCCACCAATGGCGATGCTGAACGTGGGCGCGCTCCTCACGGGCTACGACACGGTGGGGGACCACACGGAGTTCCTCGTCGAGGTGCGTCGCTCGTGCTACTTGCGCCACGCACTGTCCCCCTCGTTCCCCTCCGTGTGACAGTATCGATAACGTGGTGGTGCCGCAGATCTCGTGCAACGGCGGGTTGTGGCGCATCTCGCGTCGCTTTAGTGACTTTGACCAGCTGCATGCGCGTCTCGTGCGGCGCTTTGGCGACCTCATTGAGGCGTCTCTGCCTGAGAAACAGTGGTTTGGACGGTACGGCGACGTGGTCGATCCGTTCGTTTTGACCTGTCTGTCTTTCTGTGGGCATCGGCAGATCTCTTGTCGAGCAACGTGGCCCTTTGGTGATGAGAAGGAGAGCTGTATCGAGCCAATCGAGACGTGGTGCAGCACGTGGAGAAGCGACTGGACAGAGCTCCGGTCCTTGTTGCAGCTGCTTTGTGGGTCGCAAGAGCGCTCTGTTCTGCTGCTGATGCACGCGGCTGGAGGTGTTTTACTGTCTCTCTCTCTCACTCACTCACTCACTCAGTTCCTCACTCCCTCTGGTGTTGAAAAAAAGAGAAAAGGAGGCGTTGTGATTGCCAGTGACTGTAAAACCACTTGATCTTATCCAAAAGAGAGAGATTGAGGGAAGAGAGAGATCGAGAGACGGAACCTTTGAGCTACGAAAGTGTCAATGGCGGGACAAGATGGATGCTCCGAAGCTTCGGTGATAAGGGGGAGTTCTGTCGCTGTGTTGAAGTACATGCTTGGCGAAAAGCTTGTCGCGACAGTCTTCTTTCCGTGCTGCCAATCGTCTCGATGCGTCCATTGCTCTGAGAAGTGCACAATGCTGTGATTGATCGCCGTTGATGAACGAGAGCGATTGTGTGCATGCAAAGAAGGCTGATCTTGTGCTGTATTGAACTGACGTGTCTGGTGCAGATTTGACCCAAACTTTTTGACTAAACGTCAAGCAAGTCTGCAGGAGTATGTTGGTACGTGCATGTACATGCTATACTGTTCAATACTTCATGAGCCAGGACTTACTTCCGGTATATCTTGTTGTTGTAGATAAACTGCTGCAGGTCCCTGGTATTTTGGACGATGCGTCCCTGCAGCATTTTCTGGAGTTGGAGAAGCACTTGGAGTTGCATGGTGAGTCGGGCATGGGCGGAGTCGGCAGCAACGGTCGATCCAGCGGCATATGGTCCGGCAAGGGTGCGTTAAGTGAGAACGACCGATTGAGCGGTATAATCGAGAGCGCGGCACAAGCCTTTATCGACATCAGTGAGGTACCCGAGCCGCTCGAAGCTGAACAAGCTGTCCAGCGCAAAAACGAGATTGTAGTGGCCTCGCAGAACGTTTTGAACGAGCAGAAGTTAGGGGAGCAGTTTGCTGCTCAACTGACAACTCTCCGTCTTCCGCGTGTCCAAGGGCAGGTATCGGACGAAGAGTTGCTCTCACGCTTGGACAGCAACAACGGGGTTGACTTTTCGTATGAGCGGGAGCACGATTATCTTGTGGGCATTTTGAAGCATGTCGAAGCTTCGCTTCAAATGAGTATCACGCCGCCATCGGTCGACTTAATAGCTGTCATGACTGTATCAACGGCACCGGAGACAACCGCCATCAGGTCGAGCCAATCGCTGCCAAGCGGAAATGGTGCTCCAGAAGTGGGATCGCTGGATGATCGAAGCAGCGTCGGCAACGAGTCGTTCAGCTAAATTGGGATGCTTGTTAACCGAGTCAACGCATTCACGAGCGACCAATGCCATTTATTGTTGTCGTCAATCAGAGCCGACCTCAGATTTGTAGTCGATGTCTTTTAGCCTGACGTAATGAACTGACTGACCTAGTCTTCAAGCAGCAGCGTTGGCTACATCTGCTATTTCTCGATCCCGTTTGCTCGTCGCTTCTGGACCGGATTTGCAAGTTTTGATGCCGAGATCCGCGTGTCGGTAATTCTGCTGCCTTCGTCAATCATAATACTTACTTTGTGGTCGAAACAAGCAAGTCGGAACAGCATCAGCATGCTGGTGGGCGGATTCGACAGAGCCCGACATACGGCGCAGCTCATATGGCAGCTTATCCGAACCATGTCATAGCTGGTGTAAAGCAAGCTTTACTGCAAGCAATTTGCAAATTGTCTTGCAAACGCACATGACAGATACGATGAAAACAAACACCTTTGATGATGTGGCTTCGCTGCGCCATGTATGCCCCTTATCGGTAGCAAAAACGACCCTGCGGTGGCCCCGATGCTGTGAAGGTATACCCACGCACAACGGCACTTCCTTGGTCAGCGTATTCCACGCATCTTTTACAACTTGAAATGGCTTTCAGTGTTATGCAGCAAGAATGACCCTCAACACCGTACCAACGCTGACAATTGTCCATGACGTATGCTAGCTTTCGTCTCGTCTTATTGCTGTTGCTCAGATTTGACGAAGCATGCGTTCGACTTTCGAGCATGCCGTGTATTTGTTTGCATTCGATTGTGACCACCTAGCTACCTATAGTACGCTTTTCAGAGGAGCATCAAAAGCACACCAACTCTGAAGTCGCATCAACTGATGTTACGAATGCAAGGATTGCGTACTTTCCTAGTAGCGGAATTGAGCTGAGAGCACAGCTCGGACTACAATTTTGTCGTATTATGTAGGTGCGCATGATTCAATAAGCTGGCGAAGGTTTTCATGACGACACTAGTACAACATGCCGCTACATGTTCTGGCAGGATCCTCATATCACAATCGTCTCTGCTGCATGTCAGCGACACGATAACTATCGGGACCGGTACCCTTGGATGCAAAACTGACGCTGTCAAAAGTCACGCGGGATGAACTTCGAGTCGCAGACTGACATTATGCGACGAAAACTAGCATAAGTCTGGTGAACATGTATTTGCTTGCTTTCCTACTCGGCAACCATGGCTCTCGCACTTCGATTACAACATGCAGTACCGGATTAGCCATGAGCGCAGCAGTAGGAGCTCGCGAGTCGGGAGCGAGGCTCGCGTAACTCATCGATGTCGTGAGTCGAGAAGCACGTACATAAGCACGACAGCCATCCCATTCTCATCCGCACTGTACTGCGGTCCGCCGAGAGATAGAAACAAAAGCAACGCTCCTTAACAACAGCCACTGCCGCCACCACCACCACTTTTCTCTGCTTTGCCCTCGAGCTTTCGTCCGCGACTGCGTGGTGCTGTGTTGGACAGAAGCGCGGGATTCTCCAGAATCTAGAGCACAGACACGACCGTTGTCAGTACAAACACAAGTCACCAACAAATGATCCGCTGCATCGCACCTTTTGCACCACTTCGTTGAACACTTGCTGGATGCCGATCTTGGTCTTCGCACTGCTTTCTACAAACAGCATGCCTTTGGACCGCGCCCAATCCTCGGCCTCTCGGCGGCTCACAATCCGATCCTGCCAGTGAATACGTGACGTAGGTCCATGTTGGTCTTTCCGCGCGACTCGTCATAGCTCTCTCTAAAGCAAGCGACGCACCTTATCAATCTTGTTGCCTACAAGCAGTTTCACTACATCGCGTCCACCAGCCGGACTGTACACTTCCACCTCTTGCAGCCATAGGTCCAAGTTTTCGAACGTATCTCGCCGGGCGACGTCGTACACTACTCGCGGCAATAGTACCAACGATAACAATAGCGGCAACGTAAACACTTCCCCGCGACAGATCTGTTTCTCACCAGGCAGCTTCTACTCACCCAGAACAATGCCCTGTGCACCTCTATAGTACGAGCTCGTCAGTGTACGGAAGCGTTCTTGGCCAGCTGTGTCCCAGATCGTCATTTTGATCTTTTTGCCATCGACCTCCATCATCTTGACCTTAAAATCCACGCCTACACGTTCAGACAGTCCACATCGTCACGAATCATGTCGTAGCTCGTCACAGTATCCAATCGAAACACGACTTCTCACCAATCGTGCTTTGCAAATTGTCATCAAACGTGTCGTCTGTAAACCGAAGCAGCATACTATGCCACGACACAGCACAGGACAGCACAACCACCACAACAATGTGCACTTGTACTCAGCAACTCTCTTGCAAAGTACCAAACCAGCTCGGGCGAGCCACGTGCCCACCTGCTCTTGCCGACACCGGCATCTCCAACCAACAAGAGCTTGAAAAGGTGATCGTAGCCGTCCATTGCGCCAGGAGCTGCACGACAGCGACTCAACACACGTTGTAAGCACAAGAAACACAAGAAACAAAAGCGACGCCTTCGAAGGCTCTAAACGACAGCAAATCACGGGGACAATATTTCGCGCGCGAGCGACTGAGCTGCCGTGACACGGGGACACCTACCACAGGTTTACCTGCTGGAAAAGGGTAGTGCGAGGGAGAGCACGCGGAGACTCGACAGCGCGTTCCCGTACTGTTTCGCCCGTGAAGCTGCTGCTGCTGCTGCTGCCGGGCGTAGTGGTATTTATTTGTCTCTTGTCCGACTCGACGAGCGACGGGGTCCATGTTTTTGGCCAATCAGATGGACACAGTCGGACCCGGATGATGGATGTCTTCTCCTATGTTTTCGGCTGCGGGGGGCTAACATTCGCATACAAAAATCCGTAATGTTACGTGATGGTGGTACCCACACGGCGCACTCCATAGAGCCAGCGAAGCTGCGCACGAGGACGGACAGAAAGGTACGGCATGTATCATGAACGACGAAACACAAACGCCGTACTGTGCACTGACGAGCGTTGTTTGGCGACACAGGAGATCAACGGGGTTTCAACAGATCTCGCCGTCACGATCTTCGCTGACCGCGTGTTCATCGCTGTGACTCAACTCGGGACCTTTGGCACACTCGTACACATCAGGGTCTACCCATTTTAGCGCCAATAGCACTAGCTGATGATTGTGTGCATAATTGCTGCTATTGCAGATCGAGGCACGGCAGAAAGAATCAATCAGCGGCAAGCTCCAGCCGGACATCCATGTTCGTCTCGGACGGCGGGACGATCCGCTGTTATTGGTGTATGCCAGGCAGTTCCTGGAGCATTTTGGGTAGGTGGTCTTTTGAAAAGGAAGCGACGAATATGTGCAGTGCAAGTGATTGGAAGGTCTCATGGATTGTTGCGTGGTCTACAACTGATACGCAGTGCTCCTGTCGGCTTGCCGGTCCTGGCAGCTGTTGGTCTGAAGGACCGGTCATCGGAAACCTTCGAAGCTGTTTTGCAGAGTGTTAAAGATCTTGTTAGCCAGTCCCAAGATGCACAGGATCAGCGTGGCGCGCAGCCCGCTCGACCCACGTGAAGCGAATACGATGTTGCGTAGCACTTTGTGTGCCAAAGGTTGGCACAGCATGTGCTGTCGTAAGCTACGTGCTGTCTTTGGGATCTATCCACAACTTTGGAACCACGAAACTTGAAGCTGGTGGTGCTACGCAATAGCTCTATAATCAAGAAAGCCGCATTCTATTCCTCTGTCACTTGAAGTGCATGAGCTAACAAACGAGCGCCACCAACGTAGTGTATCTGCCCTATACACTAATCTTTGCCGGCGAAAGTGTTGGCTGCGCTCGATGCGGACTCGTACGCATTCGACACGTGCTGTCAAGGTATCTCTTTTACAATTGAGTGGTATTTGTGAAACGCCTTCGTAAGTACTCCAAGACAAAATAGACAAACTCGTTCAATTTCATTGTATACCGGCTTGCGACCTCGTATCATCAAGTAAAGATCGCAAGTTCCGCTACTTAAAGCGATCAATTACAACCAGTACTTGTATGGCACACAGTTGCCAACAAAATCGTCCGCACTGCGTCTGTAGCCTATTGCACGATGTGATCCAAGAACATGTAGTCCTTACCTGCTTTACATATTTAGACATGGCTGTCATATTCATCTGGATATGTTTGGCGATTTTAAAGAAGTTCGTACTGCGTATCACAATCTCTGCTCACTTCGGCAGGCTCAATACTCATCGTGAACTTAATGAGAAGTTTTCGACTACGTGTTTCATTAGCATTGAGTGGTGCAGCTGCATCGCGATTTGTCAGTTGTGGATCCACTCGGCAGTTTCAAAAAGCTATAACCCCTCTCTGATCATTCGTACGGTCCACAGATCAATTAAACTCAAGGGGATATCTAAAACGCGCCACAAGATCAAAAATAGAAACGCACCAAGTAATCAGAAGAGTGCACCACAAGATGAAGACAATAAATGTTGAGGCAAATTATGAAATAGGGATACACCGTTGATATTCACAATATGATCAAATATGCACGTACCTGAGATCCATGAATGGATACCGATTTGTTTAATGATGCTCGTAGAGTTTTAGGAGTAAAGTGTGAACACGAGCCAATGATTTGAATGTGCCAGGTCAATTTTTATGTCCACCGATCACAAAGTTTACAACATAAAGTTTTTGACACGCCAGAACATTTGCCACTGGATACAAGAACTCTAGATACAAGCTTCATCCTTCAATGTCCTCGCACGTATAGCCTCACAAAAAGCTACGTGTATGAAGTCTTCGACTCCATTGCCCATTGTGCGTGTATGATCTCTGCACACGAAAGTCGCTACTGGACCTCTCAGGATCAGGAGTCTTTTATCCAAAAACCGAGACACAACGAACTGGAGCTAACAAGATTCTGGGAACTGCTATAAAATGTACTAGACCAATCAAAAATAGAAACATGCACCACAAGATGAAAGAAGAAAGTACTGCATCAAATAATCAAGAGCGAAAAAACATACACCGCTACGTATACTACAAGACACAATGTACACATACCACGGATCATCCATGTACACCCACGTCGATCTTCATCCCATCTCAAATATCACCAAACCTTGCAGTTTTCGCCGACAGTCATTTTGCAAGTAGCAGTAGGAGCATGACGCTTCAAGCGTAACCTGACCTTGATTTTATCGTGCAATGGCAAGGTCGTGATGATTTTATCGCTTGTTCACAGGCCTTGCTGGTTTGGTGTTGATTCATATGCAGCCGTAGCGTTTGCGGTGTCGTTGAATGCGGAGGTAAGGAGACAGCGTAGGATCAGAATGGCGCGCAAGAATGATACAAAGTATACATAGGGTGCGACGCAAGGCTGCAATAGACAACGAGTAATCAAAAACAGCAGAGCAGACATTGTACTGGAGATTCGACAGGAGCTTTGCAATGCTACTACAGGTGGTCACGCAATGCTTGTGAACACGCCGTGCGGAAAGCACGGTGCTAGAGCGCACAATGCCGATGGAAGCGTTATGGTTGTCGCAGAAACGAAGCTGCTCTGGAGGTAGTGATGTAGGTCTTGATCTACATATTGCTGATGGATGCTATGGAAATAGGTGCAGTATTTCCATTGGCAGTGGAGGACACCATGCATACAACCGTAGGTACCTCGGTCCACGTCTGACGCGTAGCAAATATACCGACACTTCAGAATGCTACATTCTTAGCACAGCCAATCTGCTTGTGAAACACAGGGAGAGGAATGCTCGTGTCGTAGAGTTAATGCATCCTGTGGCGGAAAAGAAAAGGTGCTCGCGTGTGAGCAACATCCTTGGTGCAAGAATCAGTAATCAATGAATACAACAAAGATTCTACATCACTCTGCCACCGGGAATCCTCGATCTCTTTCGATTGATCTGACAGTTGTATGTAAATAATCGATCTAGTCGATCTGTTTCGTGTCGGCTTGAGTATGCGTGTATTCGATAGTGTTTATATTTGGTCCATTGTTTATTTTTCGACTAGTTGTTGTAGTTCATTTCTCATCGTGTAGTGCAGTAGATCTGTTATGGTCTTTGCATTTCTGTCTTTACATCTTGTGGTGCATTGTTTTCGTGATTACCTGGTGGGCTTTTTCATATCCCCAAATCATGGTCGAATACTGGCACCATCTGCTTGAATTACACCCGCTGCTGCTCTATTGAACATGAATGCAAGAAAGAACGTGACTTCAGGCCGCTGTCCGCGATACCCCCGTGATAGTATTCGATCAGTTGGTAGCCCCGCACGATACTAGCACTGTACTAGACTCCATATCCTATCGTCGGAGCACGTAGATGCTAGAGCAAGCCAAAGCATGGTAGTATCTGGTTCCCATTTAGCTCTGCGCACGCTGAACCACCGGTGTCTGCATCGTACGAGAGACCATAATCCGATAAACATGACCAGACGCTCTTGGAAGAAGACCCGAAAGCAAGTGTTGCTGGCTGTAACATGTGGACCACCCAAGTACCGACCAGCTCCAATGCTTTGATACTCGTTCTGGCTCTTGACGAGCCAAAGTCTCATCATTCGGAAGTAAAAGTATCGCCAACACAACGAAATTCGAGCTGCCGCGTCCATAAAACGGAGCATCGACCCACATGTTCTCCGTACTATTTTATTTACACACGTGCTCGTGAGCACGCCTGTGTGGTCCGTTTGTTCACGGAATCAGGACAAGCGCTATTTAGCAGTCGACGGACGGATAAGACTCGTGAAGCTGAAAGCAAACGTTTGCGAGGTAATGCACAACGGAGTCAGTTCATCACGATCAATTTGAAAGGGCCATTTCCATCGCTGTCATGTAAGCTGCAGGGTTATCTCCTTGGATCACAAGCCGTATACATTCAGCACGACAAGCAGAACGAGCGACCAGTTGCGATGCAAATGAAGAACAGAGAGCGAAACGTGAAGTAATGTCAGCAACTGGAGCCCTTTCCGATTTGCTCAGTAGTCGCACTTGTCACAGCTCACCGATCCGGGTCCAGGACTATTGCACAAACTCTACGAGGGTCGCGTAGAAGAAAACCTGGTGAGAGGTTATACAACGCTACGAGCAGAGTGGGCGCATGGGCTCATAGCTGCATTACAAGCTGATGGAGGGTCTGTCTTCTCTCGCAACGCAGAAACGTGTGCACCACAGAGATCAATCGTCAATATCTGATAGCTGCAGATGGATCGACCATGACGCACTCTCGCCGTCGCTGCGTTTCTCCGTGGAAGATACGTCTTGGTCTCTCTGGATCCGTTGGGTATTCCCGACCAATGAAGTGGTCATACTTTATGAGCAGCCAGCCAATCCAGTCGCTTTCATTTTATAACTTGTGCGCTGGATGCGATCCTCAGTGCAAATCAGGGATGCGACGTTGAAGTTGCGCCTTAACGGCTACGCCCAATGAAGATCGATCGATAGGTGACGCTACCAGCGAAGAAGGCGCAATCTACAATTTGTCAGCTCGTTCACACACAGCCTCCTTCGCCCCGTGGAGATCGCGAGCACGTGCCCAACCAGCGACCGCTCTCCAAGTTGACATGTCGAACACCTCTTCCGTTGATCATGGTACGTTGCCACGCTGTAAGGTGCCCTCGTAGCGTGTGCGGAATATTGACCGTCCGTCCGTCCCCCCTGTCGCATGTGCACCCACGGCTAGATTCGCCCACCAAGTCCGAGTGCCTGGAGCTGTTCCGGTCGTTGAAGAACAAGGACGAGCTCTCGCGCTCTTGCAAGGAGATCATGCAGATGATCACAGCCAACGACAAGGGCGTCATGGAGAACGATCCACTGAACACTCACGGCAGCAGGAGGACCCGTGGTGGAATCAGCCACGCTGCGCTACAGCGTCGCTTCACGGGCAAGATGTCGGGCGGCAGCCTCTCGGGCTAGGCAGCTGTTGACAGAAGGGAGGTCGAGTCGAGCCGCGTTTACCACGTTGGAACGTGAGTGCACGCGCTCCCGAGTGTCGTGTCGTCACGACGGAAGCTGAACGCATTGCACGCACTGATACTCGTACCTCTTGAAAAAGGTCACGTCGATGAATGTGATTTGTAAGCCATTGACCAATAAACGTACTTTGAAGCACTCCCTCCCTAAGATAAAGTCCCGTTGACCCATCGAAACGCATACACGACAGCGATAAACACTCTGGGACCATGGATCTCATTTAAAAATGCGCAGGAAACACAAATCACAATTTCTGGTCCTCACCTCTTCAAAAGATGGGTCTTTTTTCCTTGCCACTCAATTCCATCCATCCACAATCGACGATCGATTGATCGACATGGAGCTGCTGGTCCGTCGCGCGGCGTCGGCGCGCGCACTAGCGCCTGGCCACGTCCTCGTGGCCACCTACCGCTCGAAGCGTAGCCAAGCGAAGCGTGACGCTGCTCGAGGTGAAAGCAGAGACGTTCCGCTTGCCAACGAGACGAAGAAAACACGAAGAGACCAGCGTCGAGTGCATCGCAAGAGCGATCGTCATGTCGCTGGCTTGCCCACAGAGAAGCTGAAGCGTCCGACGCTGCAGGACATCGACCAAGAGTGGGCGAAGATGCGTGTACGCACCATGACCGTCCCGCCTGCCGTGATGCCGGCACGCGCGCGCAAAGAGATTGAGAACAAGCGACGTATGCGGCGTCTTGGGCTGCTACCGGACGATCCCGAAGGAGACAATGATGATGGTATGATCGGCTTTGACCCGCGTAATGTGGGATTCGTGGGTCGTCGACAGCCGTACAATCATGAGGCGGCCGAGTCGGACTATCGCAGCAGTAGTCGACCGTCCAGGGCCGAGAAGGAGGCGGACGCAGAAAGGTACCGACTGACAGGACGGCTTCCAGCGAGACGCCCTGTGTCCAGAAAGGATAAGCAGTTTACGAACATTCAGTTAGCACCGGACAATGTCGTGGAACGCGAGTTTTTGATTCCCGATGAGCCCGCGTGCCCCAAGGCCTTGGACCTAGCAGTTATTGGTCGGCCGAATGCAGGCAAGTCTTCAATCATGAACAGTTTGCTGAACGTCACGGTGTCAGCTGTGTCGCCCAAGTACAATACGACGCGGGACCGTGTCCTGGGTATTTTTACAGCTGGTGATGCGCAGCTCTCGTTCTACGATACGCCTGGACTAATTAAACCGAAGGAAACACATGAGTATGTACAGACGCTTGTGACGGCGGCAGCGGAGACACTGCAGGGGGTAGATTTGTCTATACTGGTGGTAGACTCGGTGAAGCGACTCGATGAGTCGGCTTTGCATGCGCTGGAAAAGGTTCTGACGACATCAGCGCAAGTGTGCTCGCCGACAATGCTCGTAATGAACAAGGTTGACCTCGTTGGGCAGCGGGAGAGAATGAACTTAGAGATGAAAGTGAAGGAGGTGTCGCAGATGATAGAAGAAATCTACGAGAAACACTACGACGCCGACGGAGCGTCTTTGTCGATCGACCCACTCGCTTACATTGGTGAGAACAGTATCAAGGTCTCGGCGCTGAAGGGCATAGGGATGGATCGCTTGCGAAAGACCCTGCTTTCGCTGGCGGTTGATCGCCCTTGGAGTTACCACTCGTCCATGCATTCCGATCTGTCGGATTTGGACTTGGTGACTGAGATCATTCGCGAGAAGCTCTTTTGCCGGTTCAATAAGGAACTGCCGTATACATTTGAGCAGGAAAACGTCGGCTGGACCAAGTTCAAGGACAAGAGCGTCCGCATTGACCAAGACATTTTTGTACGTTGTTGCTTTGTTTGTGTATCATGTACTTGTTCTCACATTGATTCTTGTTGCATTGGTGTTTGCCACGTAATGCAGGTACCTGCTGCTCGCATTCGCAAGATGGTAGTCGGACAAAATGGCAATACCATCCGCTCGGTGGGCATGGCGGCGCGGGACGAGATTGAGCAGCTACTGAAGTGCCACGTGCATTTGTATCTGAACGTCCGCATCCGCTAGACAACCACTCGCTTCAGCTTTTTTGCAGCAAGCAGAATAGAAGAAACGACAGCCGGCAGCTGCTCGTGTTTGGGTGTAGTTTGTTGCAAGGATAACTAGCACCAATGTGACACGACGATAGGCTACTTACGTAGACAAGTTAACGGTGCAAATAGAGCTCGTCGCTGCCGTTATAAATGCAATATATTGCGTGGTGATGACGCGGTCGTTCATTGGTCTCTACACTGTGGTCCCTGTGAGTTGTCGCAGAGACATTGATAGGATCAGAACATGCCATAGAAGTAAAGGTACTACAACTCGATCGGAGCCCAGTGCTTTGAAAGGCGTAGCAGCAGCAGCGATGATGATACTGTGGGACCGATCGGACAAACTTCGGTATACATCACCGAAAGTGCCGGCATGTAGCCATGAGTCTGTTTCTGCAAACTGCAAAATCTACGTCGCTGCACACAGAACTGACCAGAGCTACTCAGACTTAGGTCGTTTCAAACTGTGATCAATTCATCGAAATGGTCCGAAGAGGGTTTTTTGCGAGGGCTCAAAATCAACTCTGGGCGTTCTAAACAAGTATTGAAATGGAGTTCGCACAAGGGAATGCACTGTATGTAGACGGAGAGTACGAGGAGGCGGTGGCTTGCTACACGCGCGCACTGGAGGCGCATCCAGACGACGCAGATGCACTGTCCAAGCGTGCCGCAGCGTTTCTGAAGCTGCACAAGCCGCACGAGGCCGCAGCCGACGCATCACGAGCGACGAAGTTGAACGCTACACTACCAATGGCGTATATGCGTCACGGGTGGGTCTTTCGAATGCCCTGTTGTTTCTTGGTGCAGGGTTTGGGCTGACGAGTGGACATGACTACAGCATAGCACTATTTGAGCTGGAAAAGTACGTCGAAGCCAAGCGAGTTTTTCAGTCTGGCCAAGAGGCAGCAGCGAGTCCGGCGAAGATCGCGCTGATGAAGCAGATTCAGACGTGGATACGCAAGTGCAACGTTGAACTTGCTTGTACGTGGATGAGACATGTGTGTGGTTGTGAGCAAGACGTGTGACGTGATTACTGTGGTGTGCCAGGCGACGGAGAAGCAGAGCTCATAGTGCCGGATGAACAGACGGTTGCAGAGCCGTGCAGCCAAATCGACGCGATAAAAGATGCTCTTTTGCCAGCGAAGCCAACGATTCGGTGAGAGAAGTTCATTTGTAAACGGTGGTGGTGGAATCCGAGACGTGTCGCTGACGTGCACTGCTAGATATGACTGGTACCAATCAGGGACCCACGTGACGATAGCGATCCTCCAGAAGCAGCTCACGCACGACGATGTCAGCGTTACTTTCGAGCCGAGAAAAGTCATCGTCGAGATGAGGCTGCATGGGGAGTGGACGGAGGCACTGAATGAGGCTCTTTTCGCCGAAGTTGTGCCCGAAAGGAGCGCATACAAGGTCATGGGCGCGAAAGTGGAGCTGAAGCTCGAGAAAAAGTGCAGCGGCGTGCACTGGAACAAGCTCGAGAAAGCTGTGCATCAGTCAAGTGCGCAAATCATTGCCGGCCTTGCCGCTGTTTCCGAGACAAAGTGCCAGCACGTAGCGCGTCCGTACGCGAGCAGCCGTGACTGGAATCAGATCGAAAAAGCCATTAGCGACGAGCTAGAGGCAGAGAAACCAGATGGCGAGAAAGCGATGCAGCAGCTGTTTTGCGATATCTACGCCAAGGCCGACGAGAACACGCGCAAGGCGATGAACAAGTCTTTTGTGCGTCCAGCTCGCTACTGTGGTGTACGTGGTCGCTACTGCAGTGTCCAAACTAACGTAATTTGTCGACGCTGTGCTTGTCTCATTGGTGCAGCAAACATCGGGCGGCACAGTGCTCTCGACCAACTGGAAAGAGGTGTCCAGCAAGGATTATGAACAGGAGCGACCCGCGGCTTGAACACAAACACACGAGCAAAAAGAGTGGGTGGGTGGGTGGGTCGGGTGGGTGTGTCTGTTTTTCCACCTCTTGATTCGATGGTAAAACCCACCTCGACCCGTTTCTATTTCTAACGAGCCACTGGATCCCACGCCTCGATCGCCTTCACAATTATTAATTGTCGTTTTCCTATTTATCGAATGTCGACGTCTGCGGCCGACCGCGACGCCTCTGGCAGTAGCAGCAGCAGCGTCACCGACAGCGGCAGCGACGAGTCGACGCCGCCCCAGTCGCCCGCACCGCCCGGCGCTGCTTCGAAACGCGCTGCTGCACTGCCGTCCGCGTCGTCGTCGTCGCTGTCCCCTCCCCGTAACGTGCCCGCCCGTCGCCCGTCCGTCGCCCCTGTCGGTCGTCAAGCAGCGATCCACGCGACGCCTACGGCCCCACGACGGAAACGGAAAGCTGCGTCGCCTCGTCAACGCGTCGATGCGAGTGCGACGGCTGCGCTCGTGAAGCGAAGAAGGAGACCGGGCGAAGGCGCTCTCCGCGAGATCCGACTGCTGCAGCGCTCGACGAAGCTGCTGCTGCGGAAGTTGCCGTTCGCACGTGTGGTGCGGGAGATCCAGACGGAGTTCACAGGCGTCGGCTATCGCTGGCAGGCCGAGGCTCTCTTGGCGCTGCAAGAAGCAGCGGAGACGTACCTCGTGCGCACGTTTGAAGACGCGTACGTGAGAGAGAGCGAGTGGGGCGTTTGCATCGACCGAACTCGAACGCCGTGACAGCTCACGGATTTTTTGTGTGTGTTGTGTCGTGTGGTTCTCTGTGCTCGGAAATGGGTGCAGGAACTTGTGTGCTATCCATGGGAAGCGCGTGACGCTGCAGGTCAAGGACATTCAGCTGTCTTTGCGGATCCGCGGGATTCGGCCCACGGCCTCGTAAGAGGGGCGGGAGGGCAGAGCGAGCATGTTGTCAGACGGTCTTCTGCTTTCCGATGCATCAAAGTGGTCGGAGGCGAGCAGATGTGTACGTACGTCTTGCGTGTGCTCGCGCGCATGAAGATGTACAGCTGTGCTTGGTAGGTGTGTGTCGCTGCAACATGGTGGATTATTTATTCACTAGGTGTGTCTCTAGAGGTGCGATGTCACGGCGTGATTGTTCTGTAGGGATAGCGAACAAGTCAGTCTTTTTTGCAAAAAGAATCACAAAGACGTGTGACATTGTTTGTCTTGCTAAGCTTGTTCGAGGCGGCTCAAGAAATGGAGGGCAGCGGGAATTACTGGCAAACGGCAAAGCGCTGGTGAACCGCTTGAGACGGTGAACCTGGCCACTCAAACGCTCCTTTGAAACGATCTTGAAGCCGCTGCAGGGAGGCACGAGGTTTCAGAGGCTTGTAAAACGTCGGGCGTCCGAGATGGCGTTTGGCAAGGCCTTGTCCAATGACGGCTAACGTTCCTACGCACTAAAAGCACATTCCAGGCAGCGATCAGCAATCGTAGCTGTGGGCGCTTGCAAAGGAACAGCAAGACAATGACTGTGACTGTACCAGAGAGTGACCATTACGCTGTGGGCAGTAATGTTCACAGCACGCCAGGCCAGACTTGCATCTGCGCAAGCAACATTCACTTTTGTCAGTATAACGGGTTCCTGTAATCTCGTAAAATACGTGACGGCCTTGAACGTACTCTCGAGCATCGAAGAGCTGCTTTGCAGTCCGCTTCCACTCGGCAACAATTGTTTTCGCATCCTTTTTGTTCGGGATGGGCCCGAGTTTGATCGCTGCCTCGTACTCACTTTCCGGGTGTAAGAACTGGTAGTCTTGGTAGAGCTCCTGCACACACTCGGGTCAACGACGACATGAGCGATCCAAAAAAGGGTGCTCGCAAAGCTTTTGACCATGACGCCGTGCACACAGACCTGTTCACCGCTCATTTGGTCTTCGTACTTGTTCCCGGGTTTACGTTCCCAAATCTGCTTAAGTGCAACATATGGAGGTAGTAGTGACGAGCACGACCCGGTAAGATAAGCCTTCACAACAGCAGCTTCCTTCCCGTCGTAACGGCGATCTGCATGTCAATGTGTCAACAAACATTAGTACTACAGTATTCAGTAGACCCCGTCCATGCAGAAGCCGTTGTCATGCGTCGAGACTCACCTAGCCGAAACTCACGAGTTTGCGGATTGTAACCAGTCGCAAAATACTCTGCTGAGCCGATCAAAAGACGGTCTTCCAGCGGGAAATACTTGGACACATCCTCTGATGAGACTGCGATGTCACTATCGGGTGTGACCGCAATCGTTCCTGGGAAAGCGTGCGTCGATGCCTTGAACAGTACCGCGTAACACCAAGCTTGTCGATTACTGACGACACGTGTAGCTTGGTCAGCGTAGCATAACTCGGAGCAAGAATCCATCGAGTGTGACGTGAGCGAAGAAGATCTCGACACCTTACGCGATGGAAGAGTCACCAATCTTTCGGAGCTCGCTTCCTGCATTCGCACATCCTCGTCATTGTCATGTCCATACAGCACTGCTGCATCCGGTGAAGGGGCATCAATGTCGTCATCACGTATAGCTAGCTCCGCCATCTCCACTTTGACACGCTGTATCAGCTTGAGCAGCATACCTGTCCAAATAGGACCAGCAAGCGCAGCGTACGTAAGAGCAGGCGACACGAGTGACAGTCCATATCCATCAGCCTCGAGTCTCAAGTCATCGATAAAACCAGGATTCAAGTAGAGACTGCTCGCAAAGATTGTGCTCGGGTGAACGGTTTGGCAAGCACGCACAACATCAAACAACATGGGAACCTGCTCTTGGAGGAGCTGATCAAATGCCACGTCGGTTTCATGTGTTCCTGATATCGATCATCATCAATCGGTCAAGCAATACTGGGGACAAAGTACCCGGCAAGAGAGTACCTTCAAGCAGTGCAGTTACCAGCGCAGTAGTCTGCTCAGCAAATGCGCTAGCGTGATGAGATCTAGTAAAGCGAGACAAGCTTCGGAGGAATAACGCCGATGCAAGCGCTTTCTGCCAGTACCGAATGCGTCAGACCAATCAAAGAATGAGCTTTCACCAACACCGTACACATCTCCTCCGCAAAAAACTTACAGATAGCGGGATCGTATCAGACGGAGAGCGAATCTCTAGCTCGGCGAAACAGAATCAAAGCAGCAACGTCAGCGAGATCGTATGGATCCGGGCGGCAGAGCAAATCGAGAGATCGTGCCGTACTTCGCATTGCCGCGCTTTCAGCGTCGACCAAGATCTGAACAACTTCTTCCGGCGGTCTTGACAGCGTATGAACCAGTGACAACGCCGTGAGGCCAGATCGGTCTTGGGCTATTGGGTCCGCTCCTCTCTCTAGTAGTGCCCGGACCACCTGTTTACCCACACACAAGCAGCAGGCCCTCATCTGAGCACACTTTTTGACGACGATAACGTTTCGTGCGGCAAAAAAGCTCCATACCTCTGGGTATCCTCCCATTGCAGCAACATGCAACGGCGTCTGTCCAAACTGTCATCCATTTGTAAACACACGTCACGTCTTTCTCAGTAGCAATAGCTTCTTTTGATCCCTTTGCAAAGACCGCAATCTCGCTCTCGTCGCTCTTTATTACCACGTTTCGGACGTTCGGGTCAAAGCCAACGCGGTCCACGAGCAAGTGCACGAGCTTCACTTTGGCATTCTGCCTCGCAGTCGAGACACCAACCGCTGCGTGGAGCAGCGTCGCCCCAGCTTCGTTCCGAATACCCCGGATGTCCAGTCGCCAGTGCCGTAGACCGTCCCGCGTTGGGATCGAGCCAGAGTCCACGTACGCCTTCAACACGGCTGTCTTGCCAGCGCTCGCTTGGTCAAACAGCGCGTGCAAAACGCCATTCGCAGATCCCTTGGCACCTGCGTACTGCGCTGCTTGCATAAACGCCATGTCATCGACCTCTCGTTGCTTCACGGCGGTCTGCAGCTGCCTCTGGAGGTGCGCCACCTGCAGCTGCAGGCGCATGAGAGCGGTCTTGGAGTCCGTGGGAGCGTTCGACTGCCCCGTCGAGATCTCGAGTCCCTGTAGGTGATACTGCAGGTCGTCCTCCATGATCCGAGAGCAATATAGAGAGAGCGAGAGCAAGAGACAGATAGAGAGACAGATAGATAGAGAGACAAAGAGCGCCCGGGCGCTTCGTCCGAGACGGCGTCGGGTTACTGCGCGGCTGGCGATGGATACGACCAGCGGAAGACGAAGAGGTGTCTGATTGGCCGATCGACGGAGCTGCTCACGAGGAGACCCTTGGGCTCGGACAGAGAAGCGGGGTACACCGGACTGGGGTTACACTCCCTGTGTCCCCCGCATCTGATGCCCGACCGACAGAGCCCTCGTGATAAAAAGAAGTGACAGAAAAGACACACGGAGCTGTCGCTAAGGGCGGATCGTCTGCCTAAGCGTGAGCAGCTGTGGCGTCTCCTTGCTCTGCAGCTCGTAGTGCGTGCGCGCGTGCGTGCTTGTGCACAGCCACGCCTTTGGCTCCGGCACCAGCTTTCCGCCGCCAGCGCTGATCGATCTCGACGGCCAGTCACTTTGTATTGACAATGAAGACAGGAAAGGGTCTTCTCGGCCAAAGTTGTTCTTTTCGGGCATTGACGAGACTATGTTTGCACTGTGTTCGTTCACGACCTCGACATGGCAGACGAAACGTTGCTGTCTTCGCACGATACTGGCTGGTCTGTGGGACTTTGGGCTTCCCAGGCTGCCGTAGGTCTCACCAATGATTGGTATCCTGCAATCGCAGCGTGGTCAGCACCTCGTCGCCAGTGGCTACTTTTTCGGTACAGTTATGCAGAGGCTTATTCACGTAAACAAGTCCACATAGCAGCGTGCAACAGCCGCAGCCGCAGACGTTCAGAATATTCCGTCCGTTTACTGTTCAGACGATCGTGCGTGTTTTATCGTTAAGTAGCTTAAACGGGAATGGAGGCCGCTCAGATACGTCCAAGTTGGTATTTCCCGCGAGGGGGATATTCCCCGTTTCAGTATTCCCTCTAAAGGGGATCGATCATGTCGCCACCGAACCTACTCTCGACGTCGCTTTTTGTCCGCTTCTGTAATAATAACAAGCCGTTATCATGTATGCGTGTACAAGAGATGAACCGACGTGAAACAACTTGCTTCAAGTAGTAGGTATATATCATGGCTCGGCCAATGACAGGACACGACCGCCAAGTGTTGTGTTCCTCCCTCGCGACGGCGCGCGAACAATAGTGGGACCACACCGAATAGCTTGTTCGGTACAGCGACGCGACTGGCCGAGCCATACAGTGGCACCGTGCGTCTCAGCCAGCAGGTCACTCACTCGCTGTCCCTCCTCCCAGTCGTCGCCGCAACAGCGGCAACAGTCAGTCAAAGTCAAGGAGCGGCGGAGCGGAAAAAAGGGGCTCCTCCCTCCCCCCTCTCTCTCTCTCTTCCCTTCCCCTCCCCTTTTCCTTCTGCTCGGTCTCTTGTCCGCACGCGCGACCGACCCCTCCTCTGTTCATTTCCAAAGTCGCCCGGGCGAGAGGAAGCGCTGGGGACTCTTAAGCGCGCGCCGAAGCCCACGCCCTGTCAGGCTCGAGGGGCAAACCAACGACGACAACGATGACGACAGTACCGGTAAACTCGCGGTCCAGCGCTGATTTACGTGCCGCGGGGGACGCCCCGCACCAGGCGCCGTTCAGTTTGTCACTGGCTCAGCTGCTGTTGGACGCCAACGCGCCTGCGGTGGGCGTGGACGTACACGGCTGCGTCACGGTCTGGAACAAGCGGCTCGTGGACATTACGGGCTTTGAAGCCGAGTGCGTCGTGGGCCGCCCGCTCTCGGACTTTGTATACGGCGTCCAGCGCAAGCGCGAGATCTTGAAGGTGATCAAGACCTGTGTGGCCGCCAAGCGACCGGAGCTCGAGCTGCGGCTGCCGCTGCTCACGACCACGGGCCGCAACGCCCAAGTGCTGACCAACATGACGCCGCTGCTGGCCGAAGACGGCTCATGTGTCGGCGTCTACGGCGTCGGTCAAGACGTGACCGAGTGGGCGAGTCAGGAGAAGCAGTACGCGACCGTGATGATGCAGGCGAACGCGCCCATCATTGAGCTCGACAAAGAAGGCAACATCACTGTGTGGAACTCCAAGACGGCGTCCATGACGGGGTACGCGAGCGTCGATATGGTGGGCGAACCGCTGCTGCCCGTCGTGGACGAGAGTTTCCGCAAGATTGTGTCGGAGAAGATCGACCAGGCGCTGACTGGCACGCCAGGAGCTGACTTTGAGCTGCCGCTGATGACAGCAAGAGGGTCCCGCGTGGAGATTGTGCTGTGCTTGACGCCGCGGTTTGACACGCTGGGGTCAGTCATGGGCGTCGTGGCGATTGGACAGGATGTGACCGAGAGAAACACGAAAGAGATGGAGTACAGGAAACTGATTGAGACGGCGAATGCGCCGATCTTTGGCGTCGATACGAAAGGAAGAGTCGTGATCTTCAATGCAAAGGCAGCGCAGATCAGTGAGTACACGCCAGAAGAGGTCATGGGCGTCGATCTCGTTGATACGCTGATTTCGGAAGAGTTTCGGCCTGCAGTTGCTGCTGTTTTCCAGAGTGCCTTCCAGGGAACGGAGACGGCAAACTTTGAGTTCCCGTTGGTCACCAAGACGGGTCGAAAAGTGGAGATCCTGCTGAACGCAACACCTCGATATGATCATACAGGTAAACTCGTGGGCGTGGTTGGCATTGGCCAGGACATCACTGACCGTATCATTCAGGAGAAGGAGTACAGCCGCCTCATTGACACCGCAAATGCACCCATCTTTGGCATTGACTGCAACTACAAAGTGATAATCTGGAACAAGAAGGCAGCCGCAATCACAGAGTACACGAACGAAGACACTATCGGCCAGGAGTTGTTCAAGTTCATATCCGAGGACTACCGTGATGCTGTTACGAAAGTGTTTTCGAGAGCGCTCGAAGGGACAGGCACCGCAAACTTTGATTTCCCACTGATCACGAAAAGCGGGCGTCGACTTGAAATTCTGCTGAATGCGACGCCAAAGTACGACCATTTTGGCAACATCAGCGGAGCCGTGGGTATTGGCCAGGACATTACCGACAGACGTGCTCAGGAGCAGGAGTACACTCGTCTCATCGATACAGCTAACGCACCGATCTTTGGAGTCGATGAAAAGGGATGTGTGAACATCTGGAACCGAAAAGCCGCCGATACTACACAATACTCGAACGAAGAGGTGCTCGGGGTCAATTTGGTGGAAAACTTCATTCCGGTTGATTTCCAAGAGGTGGTGTGGGCGGTACTCTCGCAAGCGCTAATGGGGCAAGAAACGGCAAACTTCGAGTTTCCGCTGATCACGAAGGGAGGTCGTCGCGTAGAAATTCTGTTGAACGCCACTCCACGCTTCAATGAGAAAGGTGTTGTGATTGGTGTCGTAGGTATCGGACAGGACATCACCGTGCGTATGGCTCAGGAGAAGGAAACGAACCGGTTGATCCACTCAGCGAATGCTCCGATATTTGGTGTTGATCAAGACGGGCGGGTGAATATATGGAATTTGAAGGTGGCCGAAATTACCCAGTTTTCTTCCGAAGAAGTGATGGGCAAGGATTTGGTGAATCGATTTGTTGCCGAAGACCATCGTGAGTCGGTAGGGTTGCTGTTACGAAAAGCCCTCGAAGGAGAACCCACGGGAAACTTCGACTTTCCGCTTATTACGAAGACTGGGCGCCGAGTGGAGATATTGCTTAATGCGACACCACGCTACGACGAGCTAGGACAGATCTTTGGTGTTACAGGAATTGGCCAAGATATCACTGAGCGTATTGCTCAGGAGCAGGAGTACATCCGCTTGATTGATACTGCGAATGCTCCTATATTCGGAGTGGACAGTGAAGGCCGGGTAAACATATGGAATAAAAAAGCCGCAGAAATTATGCAGTACACGACCGATGCAGTGATGGGAGAGAAACTTGTGGAAAAGTACATAACCAAAGACTACCAAGAGGCTGTGAACAATGTGCTATCTGAGGCTCTGAACGGCGTTGAGACAGCGAACTTCGAGTTTCCGTTGATCACGAAGGCTGGTCGACGCGTCGAGATCTTGCTGAACGCTACGCCCCGCTACAATGAGCATGGCGTTGTAATAGGCATGGTTGGTATCGGTCAGGATATTACCGAGCGTATTGCACAAGAGCAGGAGTACACACGCCTGATACACACTGCCAATGCGCCGATCTTTGGTGTCGATATCAATGGACGTGTGAACATCTGGAATCGAAAAGCTGCCGACATCATGCAATACACGAATGAGGACGTGCTGGATAAGGACTTGGTGGCCGAGTTTATCTCCGAAGAGTACAAGGTGCCGGTGCGCAGCGTGTTGGAGAAAGCGTTCGAAGGGGTCGAGACGGCGAACTTCGAGTTTCCGTTGATCACGAAGGCTGGTCGACGCGTCGAGATCCTGCTGAATGCCACGCCCCGCTACAATGAACGTGGTGAAGTCATGGGCATGGTTGGCATCGGTCAGGATATTACCGAACGTATTGCGCAAGAGCAGGAGTACACGCGCTTGATCGACACTGCCAATGCGCCGATCTTTGGTGTCGATATCAATGGACGTGTGAATATTTGGAATCGAAAAGCCGCTGACATCATGCAGTACACCAACGAAGATGTACTTGGCAAAGACCTTGTAGTTGAGTTCATTTCGAACGAGTATAAGGTACCTGTGCGTAGCGTGCTCGAGAGGGCGTTCGAAGGGGTCGAGACGGCGAACTTTGAGTTTCCGTTGATCACGAAGGCTGGTCGACGCGTCGAGATCCTGCTGAATGCCACGCCCCGCTACAACGAACGTGGTGAAGTCATGGGCATGGTTGGCATCGGTCAGGATATTACCGAACGTATTGCGCAAGAGCAGGAGTACACGCGCTTGATCGATACTGCCAATGCGCCGATCTTTGGTGTCGATATCAATGGACGTGTGAATATTTGGAATCGAAAAGCTGCCGACATCATGCAATACACGAATGAGGACGTGCTGGATAAGGACTTGGTGGCCGAGTTTATCTCCGAAGAGTACAAGGTGCCGGTGCGCAGCGTGTTGGAAAAAGCGTTCGAAGGGATCGAGACTGCGAACTTTGAGTTTCCGTTGATCACGAAGGCTGGTCGCCGCGTCGAGATCCTGCTGAATGCCACGCCCCGCTACAATGAACGTGGTGAAGTCATGGGCATGGTTGGCATCGGTCAGGATATTACCGAACGTATTGCGCAAGAGCAGGAGTACACGCGCTTGATTGATACTGCCAATGCGCCGATCTTTGGTGTCGATATCAATGGACGTGTGAATATTTGGAATCGAAAAGCCGCTGACATCATGCAGTACACCAACGAAGATGTACTTGGCAAAGACCTTGTAGTTGAGTTCATTTCGAACGAGTACAAGGTGCCGGTGCGTAGCGTGCTCGAGAGGGCGTTCGAAGGGGTCGAGACGGCGAACTTCGAGTTTCCGTTGATCACGAAGGCTGGTCGACGCGTCGAGATCCTGCTGAATGCCACGCCCCGCTACAACGAACGTGGTGAAGTCATGGGCATGGTTGGCATCGGTCAGGATATTACCGAACGTATTGCGCAAGAGCAGGAGTACACGCGCTTGATTGATACTGCCAATGCGCCGATCTTTGGTGTCGATATCAATGGACGTGTGAACATCTGGAATCGAAAAGCTGCCGACATCATGCAATACACGAATGAGGACGTGCTGGATAAGGACTTGGTGGCCGAGTTTATCTCCGAAGAGTACAAGGTGCCGGTGCGCAGCGTGTTGGAAAAAGCGTTCGAAGGGGTCGAGACGGCGAACTTCGAGTTTCCGTTGATCACGAAGGCTGGTCGACGCGTCGAGATCCTGCTGAATGCCACGCCCCGCTACAATGAACGTGGTGAAGTCATGGGCATGGTTGGCATCGGTCAGGATATTACCGAGCGTATTGCGCAAGAGCAGGAGTACACGCGCTTGATTGATACTGCCAATGCGCCGATCTTTGGTGTCGATATCAATGGACGTGTGAACATCTGGAATCGAAAAGCTGCCGACATCATGCAATACACGAATGAGGACGTGCTGGATAAGGACTTGGTGGCCGAGTTTATCTCCGAAGAGTACAAGGTGCCGGTGCGCAGCGTGTTGGAAAAAGCGTTCGAAGGGGTCGAGACGGCGAACTTCGAGTTTCCGTTGATCACGAAGGCTGGTCGACGCGTCGAGATCCTGCTGAATGCCACGCCCCGCTACAACGAACGTGGTGAAGTCATGGGCATGGTTGGCATCGGTCAGGATATTACCGAACGTATTGCGCAAGAGCAGGAGTACACGCGCTTGATTGATACTGCCAATGCGCCGATCTTTGGTGTCGATATCAATGGACGTGTGAATATTTGGAATCGAAAAGCCGCTGACATCATGCAGTACACCAACGAAGATGTACTGGGCAAAGACCTTGTAGTTGAGTTTATCTCCGAGGAGTACAAGGTGCCGGTGCGAAGCGTGCTCGAGAGGGCGTTCGAAGGGGTCGAGACGGCGAACTTCGAGTTTCCGTTGATCACGAAGGCTGGTCGACGCGTCGAGATCCTGCTGAATGCCACGCCCCGCTACAATGAACGTGGTGAAGTCATGGGCATGGTTGGCATCGGTCAGGATATTACCGAACGTATTGCGCAAGAGCAGGAGTACACGCGCTTGATCGATACTGCCAATGCGCCGATCTTCGGTGTCGATATCAATGGACGTGTGAACATCTGGAATCGAAAAGCTGCCGACATCATGCAATACACGAATGAGGACGTGCTGGATAAGGACTTGGTGGCCGAGTTTATCTCCGAAGAGTACAAGGTGCCGGTGCGCAGCGTGCTCGAGAGGGCGTTCGAAGGGGTCGAGACGGCGAACTTCGAGTTTCCGTTGATCACGAAGGCTGGTCGACGCGTCGAGATCCTGCTGAATGCCACGCCCCGCTACAATGAACGTGGTGAAGTCATGGGCATGGTTGGCATCGGTCAGGATATTACCGAACGTATTGCGCAAGAGCAGGAGTACACGCGCTTGATCGATACTGCCAATGCGCCGATCTTCGGTGTCGATATCAATGGACGTGTGAACATCTGGAATCGAAAAGCTGCCGACATCATGCAATACACGAATGAGGACGTGCTGGATAAGGACTTGGTGGCCGAGTTTATCTCCGAAGAGTACAAGGTGCCGGTGCGCAGCGTGTTGGAGAAAGCGTTCGAAGGGGTCGAGACGGCGAACTTCGAGTTTCCGTTGATCACGAAGGCTGGTCGACGCGTCGAGATCCTGCTGAATGCCACGCCCCGCTACAATGAACGTGGTGAAGTCATGGGCATGGTTGGCATCGGTCAGGATATTACCGAACGTATTGCGCAAGAGCAGGAGTACACGCGCTTGATCGATACTGCCAATGCGCCGATCTTCGGTGTCGATATCAACGGACGTGTGGACATCTGGAATCGAAAAGCTGCCGACATCATGCAATACACGAATGAGGACGTGCTGGATAAGGACTTGGTGGCCGAGTTTATCTCCGAAGAGTACAAGGTGCCGGTGCGCAGCGTGTTGGAGAAAGCGTTCGAAGGGGTCGAGACGGCGAACTTCGAGTTTCCGTTGATCACGAAGGCTGGTCGACGCGTCGAGATCCTGCTGAATGCCACGCCCCGCTACAATGAACGTGGTGAAGTCATGGGCATGGTTGGCATCGGTCAGGATATTACCGAACGTATTGCGCAAGAGCAGGAGTACACGCGCTTGATCGATACTGCCAATGCGCCGATCTTCGGTGTCGATATCAACGGACGTGTGGACATCTGGAATCGAAAAGCTGCCGACATCATGCAATACACGAATGAGGACGTGCTGGATAAGGACTTGGTGGCCGAGTTTATCTCCGAAGAGTACAAGGTGCCGGTGCGCAGCGTGTTGGAGAAAGCGTTCGAAGGGGTCGAGACGGCGAACTTCGAGTTTCCGTTGATCACGAAGGCTGGTCGACGCGTCGAGATCCTGCTGAATGCCACGCCCCGCTACAATGAACGTGGTGAAGTCATGGGCATGGTTGGCATCGGTCAGGATATTACCGAACGTATTGCGCAAGAGCAGGAGTACACGCGCTTGATCGATACTGCCAATGCGCCGATCTTCGGTGTCGATATCAACGGACGTGTGGACATCTGGAATCGAAAAGCTGCCGACATCATGCAATACACGAATGAGGACGTGCTGGATAAGGACTTGGTGGCCGAGTTTATCTCCGAAGAGTACAAGGTGCCGGTGCGCAGCGTGTTGGAGAAAGCATTCGAAGGGGTCGAGACGGCAAACTTCGAGTTTCCGTTGATCACGAAGGCTGGTCGACGCGTCGAGATCCTGCTGAATGCCACGCCCCGCTACAATGAACGTGGTGAAGTCATGGGCATGGTTGGCATCGGTCAGGATATTACCGAGCGTATTGCGCAAGAGCAGGAGTACACGCGCTTGATCGATACTGCCAATGCGCCGATCTTTGGTGTCGATATCAATGGACGTGTGAACATCTGGAATCGAAAAGCTGCCGACATCATGCAATACACGAATGAGGACGTGCTGGATAAGGACTTGGTGGCCGAGTTTATCTCCGAAGAGTACAAGGTGCCGGTGCGCAGCGTGTTGGAGAAAGCGTTCGAAGGGATCGAGACGGCGAACTTCGAGTTTCCGTTGATCACGAAGGCTGGTCGACGCGTCGAGATCCTGCTGAATGCCACGCCCCGCTACAACGAACGTGGTGAAGTCATGGGCATGGTTGGCATTGGTCAGGATATTACCGAGCGTATTGCGCAAGAGCAGGAGTACACGCGCTTGATTGATACTGCCAACGCGCCGATCTTTGGCGTGGATGCCAACATGTGCGTGAATATCTGGAATCGGAAAGCAGCACAGATTACGAACTACTCGATCGAGGAGGTTTTGGGCGAGAACCTGGTGGAAACGTTTATCTCTCCGGAGTTCCGGCCTATTGTCGCTGAAGTGCTGTCGCAGGCACTGAAAGGTGTCGAAACCGCAAACTTCGAGTTTCCGTTGATAACGCGTCCAGGCACACGAATTGAGATTTTACTGAACGCGACGCCTCGGTATGATCTGAATGGCAACATTGTGGGTGTTGTCGGGATCGGTCAAGACATTACTGATCGCATTGCTCAGGAGCACGAGTATTTCCGACTGATTGATACCGCCAATGCTCCGATCTTCGGCATTGACACAAACGGTCGTATCAACGAGTGGAACCAGAAGATTGAGGAGATTACAGGCTACCACAAGTCAAGCGTGTTGGGACTTTCACTTGTTCACACATTCATTACACCAGAAAGTCGACAACAAGTTCGCCAGCTGCTTAACCAAGCATTGATCGGCATTGATGTCGGTGAGATGGAGCTCCCAATGACGACGAAACGTGGTGTCTTCTTGCTGCTTCTTGTGAACGCGTCGAGTAAGAAAGACATGCATGGAAACATCCGTGGTGTGATCGGTGTTGGACAAGATTACACCGCAAGAAAGCATATGGAGGCTGCTAAGGTGAATTTCTTGGCCTCTTTTAGCCACGAGCTGCGAACGCCGCTGAACGGTGTATTGGGAATGCTGGAACTGTTGAAAGAGCAACCTCTCGATAAATCTATCGAGAGATACGTGCACATGGCATACGTTTCTGGAAGTCTCCTGCTGAATCTGATCAACGATATTCTGGACTTGTCGAAGATTGAGGCTGGGCATTTGGAAATCTCGACAGCGCCATTTCAGATGCACGACCTGCTCGACTATTCGATCGAGATATTCAAGTTCAAAGCCCGAGAACGTGGTCTCCAGCTTGAGCTGAAGTGCGGGGACAATGTACCAAAGGTTGTGATTGGTGACGTTGTGCGCTTACGCCAGGTTTTGCTTAACTTGCTGTCGAACGCAATAAAGTTTACGAATGAAGGCTCGATTACGGTAGCGTGTAGCGTGGTGCATTCTCCTGAGTTACCCCATCAATTCAAGAAGCTGCTGTTTCAGGTCATTGATACCGGCATTGGTATGGATGCAGAGGAAAAGATGCGCTTGTTTTCGTTGTTCACGAAACTGGAGCGCACACGACAGAACAACCCGACCGGCTCTGGCCTGGGACTCGCAATTTGCAAGCAGCTTGCGGAGCTTATGGATGGCTCCATCGATGTCGATAGTGAGCTGGGTGTCGGAAGCAATTTTTTCTTCACCGTGATTGTGAGATTGATTGACGAGGTGGACCCGAAGCGCGCATTCTACTCGTCCGAAGATTGCATGGAGCCGTCATTGTCGTTGGTGTCACCTGACAAAGCTGGCGATGGTAGTGAAATGTCCTCCGTACGCGTAGAGGTTCCAACTCAGGCCCGCATCTTGGTCGTTGAAGATAACGAATTCAACTGGGAAGTGGTGAAATGCTTCCTTCAGCAAGACGATCACTTGCTGCAGTGGGAAGTTAATGGTCGCGATGCCGTGAAGGCTTACAGCGAGAACCATACGGAGTTTGATCTGGTCTTCATGGATTGCGAAATGCCCATCATGGATGGCTACACAGCCACGGCTACAATTCGCGAGTACGAGCAGAAACATAATCTTCCCCGTATCCCGATCCTTGGCTTGACTGCCTACGCCATGAGTGGCGACCGGCAGAAGTGTCTCGACTGTGGCATGGATGAGTTCATGGTAAAGCCTATCTCGAAGCTGAGTCTTCGCAAGGCCATTCGGCAGTGGATGCGTATTCGCTATCTTGGCCAGCACTCCCCCGCACTGGGAAACGTGGCAAACGTCCCTGGTTTTACAAAGCAATCGCTGAAGCCTGTGAATCTGCAGAATGGGTCTGGTAGTACGGCTAAAAGCTCAGTGCGGACCTCCATTCCGCCACCAGGTGCCCTCAGTTCAACGCCATCGTTCGAGAGTGACCTTGAGGATGTCACGCTTACGGGTGCAGTATCGACTGCAAGACTTGCACCTGCGTCACGTCATATGCAGCAACTGGATCTCGCTCAAGCTATTTCGAACTTGGAACTTGACGATCCTATGTCAATCGGTCTTCAAAGTGGCGGGGCCGTTCGAACGGCAACGCCAACGACTTCGATCTTTAGTCTAGGACCGTCGGTGAATAGTAACGCTTCACGAACGGCAAACTCGAACGAGTTGCCAGACTTGCTTCGACTGTCAAGGAACACAAGCTGTACATCTACAATAATGAGCCCACCAGAACAGGAAAAGCACTCGCCGGAGACGTCGACTACACTGCCTAATGTCAAAGTACCTTTTCCAGGGGGAACGGCAAGTCCAGTTCTCGGTGAAGTGCGGTCGTCGCTGCCTGTGAACCCAACGCTTTGGAGCCATCCCCCGTTCAACAAGAAGGACCTACCAACGGAAGAACCGGTCTGTTGGCCCGGTCTTGCGCCAAAGAAGAAGGTCAGCTTTCACGAGGACCTCGACTACGAATCGAGCCAATTGAGCACCAGAGAAGTGTACAGTAGTGGTAGTGGCTGTGGCATGCCATCGGTCTTGGAGCGCATGGAAACTAGCAGCTCGGTCGACGAGGATGGTCCGGCGGTAGCTGCTGTCATGCGTCCAATTGATCCGATGGCCATTGAGATCCCGGAAGGAGACCCGGTGAACTATTCACTAGGAGTTGATCAGTGCGGAGGACAAGAAGGGCTTTTCTTGATGCTACTGGAGAAGTTTGCGACAACGTTGGAGGCCATCATGGCCCGGGTTATCGAAGCTCACGAATGCAACGACTTTGCTACTGCTCGCCGCGAAGCCCATTCACTGAAGGGGTCATCTGCCTACGTCGCTGCCCTTCGTGTGTCCAAGTGCGCCTTCCGCGTTCAAGTTGCGTATGAGCAGTTGATAGCAAAGCAGGTCATTGGCGAGGGTTCTGACACAGTGGATGCGAAGCAGGTCGTAGATGACTCTGTTCGCCTACTCACGAAGGAGCAAAGACTGCTGCGCGGATATCTTCGCCGCAACTTTGAGTTCAAGTCCAGATCAAACGCGTCTCAAGTGCGTTCAGGCGAACATGACAATCACGATAAAGACAACGGCTCATGCCGCGTGATGTGAGTGAATGTGTCGATGAGTACGAAATGGTAACGATAATTGCATGTGATATGTCCCTCTGATGGTCTCTCCTTCTCGCCCACGTTGCCGATCAAGAGGCGGCACATGGCCTCACACAAGAGACCGATCCTCGCGCGAGCTGCCAATATTCGATGGACTCTTTCATTTAATGCGCTTGAGGGGGCACACGACGGACTCTCTTGTCGTTCGTAATGATCAACGACCAGAAAGAAAACGAAACGCTTTTTGCCGTCAGGATCCTTTACTATGATAGCATGCGACGTGCTGCCGTGTCTCGTGTGCGACCAGCCTCTGCCTATCGACCTCACCGCTCGTTGCCTGACCGACTGCTCGCACGAGTTCTGTCTCTCGTGCTTGTGCCAGCACTTGGCTCCGAACAAGAACCAATGTCCTGGATGTCACGTCCAAGTGAAGCGAGTGACTCAGCTACGAGAAGCAGATGCCCCTCGCGCTGCTTCCGTGCGCTTTCGCAATATCGTCTACGTCCTAAATGTGTCCATATGGGCGGTAGACGACCCAGCGAACGTCCTGGCCGCACTCTTTAACTTGTACGTGATGTGCGATATTCACTTTGAGAGTGCCAGGGGCTGACTGCAACAGGACTTTTGACTGCAAACCGCTACAGACAGCAGGCGAGGCTGATTCATCAAGGAAAAGTGCTCAAGAAGGGCGACATATGGCCTGGATCGGTAGTGCAGCTCTTTGGGACCCACAAGGGGGCACTGCCGACCACAGCAGCAGCAGTAGTAACAGACGATTACCTGACGTGGCTTCGCTGCGAGTGGCTGCACCGAGCGAAACAAGTCGTGTGTTGTCCATTTAGTGTTCTCGTTGACTTTGTCAAGTCCCTCTTTGGCCACGTGGGAGAGCAACGGGGTCAAAGAGGGTATGCACAGGTACCTACAAGCGACGCGGCCTCTGTTTCCAGCTTTCGTGAACCAGGACGAGTACCGAGTCCAAGTCATTCGGCGCTGCTGTAGTACCCTGAACGGTGCACTTCCCACGGCTTGGGCTTACACGCCGTCTTCGCTGAGATCACTGTGATCGAGGGCCCATTTTTCGCTTTGGTCTTGAGAGGGGCTATGACTGTATGTCGTCCGGACGACAATACGCAACGATGTTCATACCAAGTCCAAATTTCGGAGCGGAGGAAGGGCTTCATTCCTTGTGTTTGGGCTAAATTCACCGTGTAATCAGCTCACTTGGCGGGGAAGAACGTGCAGCAAACGTGACGCAACTTGGAGAAGCACGTTCCGACAATTGTTTAGCTGAAGAGGTGTTGGATGCGTCGACTGGTTTATCGGTTGCATGGGGCGTCCAACACGATGTTATGTACGCCCCAGCGCATCTTTGGGCATAGTTTTGCTTGTGCGAATTTGAAAGCATAAAATCTCTCTACAAAAGCTTTGTAGACAGAGCGACGACGGTGAATAAAGCTGTGTGACTGCATTCTGCTTGGCCTTTTGGTTCTACATGTACTGCACAGTGTCGCGACGCACTAGCGAGCAGCAGACGTTCCGTTGTTCAGAAGTGGGTAGCAGAACGACCAACTTGTTGCACGTTGGAGCGCCTGAAAGCTGCGTTTTGGACTGCCATTACATACCGTGAAGTAGCCAGACTTTGTCATTCGGGTGCGCTACTGCGCTTTCGAGTATGATGTTGCCGTTGACGTGGCATCATCCCACGACGGAGTAAAGTACGTCCAAGCGCTATGGACGCCAGTGGAGCAGCCTGAAGCGCTATGGACTTCATGCAATGCCTTTTTAGACAGTTTGATCGTCTCTGTCGTACTCAACAGCAGCTTTCGTGGTCAAAGTGTCACCGCTCGCAGCCCAGAGACGCTTTGCTGAAGAGCTGATACGTCTGAGATACATACAGCACGAACCAGATGACTGCTGTGCAGTCGGCACTTGTCAAAGATCAGCGCGTGACAATCAATGCGCAACAACTTCGATACTGTCCGCTCGTCACGCAGCCCTTCCGCCACGTCTGATGGGTTCTGTCCAAGAGGCCGTCGATCACCATCCATCGTCGGCTCCAAAACGAGCCAGTGGAACAACACCTGATAAGGGCTGTCCATGTCCATGTTTACTCAAAGCACAGCTGCACTTGCGCTCTGGAAAGACCGTATCGTATGACACGACTGTTGTTGCATTCCATCGGTCTGGTAGAGGCATCGGCAGTGAGAGGTGTAAAGATCGGAGGACATGAAGCTCGAGATGTAAAAAAGCACGGGGCACAGTCCAGGAGGGCATCAAAGCGGATGCTGCTCGACGACCTGATCTTTGAGGTCGTAGTGCAGCGGACCATTTGGAGCAGAGCTGTATTGCCCCGCGCGTCTCCGGGACCGCGAGCAACAACGACATCAAGCAACACAGCTTTAGTGAAGCTGTTCACAAGACCGACTTGACGAGCCAAAAGGTTTGGGCACCTTCGCATGGCTTGTTCGTACATGTGAACGCTTCCATCAGTAATCAGTACACGCGTTGACCACCAACGTGGCCCATAGATTCCTCGGTGGGTAGAATGATCGATAGACATCGACCATAAAATGTGTTGAGCTTGTGATCAGATGTTTCGCCCTGTGTAGCCACAGACTGATCGACGCAATCGCGTTTCAGTCCCCGCAAACAGCCGTACTACGGAGCCTGCATCTTGTACCTCGCATCTGGTCCGAAGGAACTTGCATACACCCTCTTTGCCGAGCTCGATCTTTGTTGCTGGGCTCTACATGTAGCAGACGAATCGGCGCGAGAGTGCAGCTGACGATGACTTTGTTTATTGGTGCTCGAAACGAAAACGCTGTTCGCGTCCACTGCGCCGAGATCCCACTGCAGGTGTAGAGCAGCGTCTAGAGTCGGTGCCAGATATCAGACCTGCGGGGTGAAGACCACCTTGGCAGCCGACATTGATGCGCAAGGTGTTGCAGCTGAGAAAGGGCACAGCTATGGTCCGGGATGTATGCAATGTGCGACTCGTCTTGCGTCTCAGACTGACACAACCGGCCCTGCCGTATACTTGCATCTGATGTGTATACGTGTGTTAAAAGGTCCAGTCGGTGCTGGCCAAAACCGCAAAAAAGTTTCAAACTCGACTGCCTCTCTATGGCAGATGTGGGTTTATTTTTCTTTTCGGACAGCGTTGAAACGACGAAACGAAATACTCATGCAGCTGGTACACCCCACACCACCCAGGCGTTTGCGATAAAAACAGGACGACGCCACGAATCAAGCGCGATCTCTCTCGGAGCTCGTATGCGGATGGCAGCTGCCTTGCCTGGTATACTGCAAGTGTGTGTAGACAGGGCGCAGCTGCTGGTTTGCGCACCGCAACCGTATGCATTATGAGAACTCGGAAGGAAACGGCGAGTTCACTCCCGAAATCGGTGTCGCGGTCGAGATCAGGCGGACGTTCCTTCCATCAACAGCAGACGAGAGTGGGTCGTCCGTCAACATTGTCATCGACTATCACGCGACACTGACAGACAGACAGACAGACAGACCGACCGACAGACAGACAGAAAGAAGACAGAGATAGAGAGATGGAAAGAAAGAGAGGAACAGAACGTGAGGGGGGCACCATTGATGATGGCGTGATCGTGATACCACAATCACGAGCCCGTCCTTCGTGACGACCTGTCTGATTCCGTGAAACGACAGTTGGCATGGTCGGATTGTTTCTCGTTTCGCTCTGTCCTTCTTCCGACTACTGTAGTGTGCACACACACACACGTCGCGGCCACAGTGTGTATATGGTCCGACGTAACACCGCGTGCTCCATCGCTTTCGCAGCGCTACTTCCTCTGTGGCGACAAAGACGACCCGTAGTGACCGATCCGCGATCTCGTAAACGCTACACGGGTCACGTCGTCTGTCCTGTTTCTCCGCGCCCAAGAACGTTCTCGACCGCCGTCTGCTCGTCCCAGCCAAACGCGTCCTGTCTCTGCGCTCTCTGCAGTCCAGCAGACGCCTCGCGAGTCAGTTCCCGCCTGGCCACCTGCCAAAATCGTAAGCAACGCTGCTATCATTTCCGCACCCGCCCACTCCTCCTCGCCCCCATACCATATACAAAACAAGAGGACCACACCCAGCGCGTCCGTCACGTAGTGTTCTCTCGATAAACTGTCACAGGGTATTACTTCTGCGTTTGTACCACCACCCAACCCGCCGACCGCCCTGTCTGTCTACCGCCCACCGCGGAGCCGAACCCTTCCGTCTGTCTGTCTGTCTGTCTGTCTCGCCGTCGCGCGTGGTCCGCACAATAAGTCGCTCGCTCGCTCCGTCAGTCAGTCAGTCAGTCAGTCAGTCAGTCAGTCCGACTCTCGCCGCCCCACTGCCGCAGTAGCGCCCATGACGCCCCGTGACGACGCCACTGCCGCCGCCACTGCCGTCGTGACGCTCGACGCCGTCGTGGCCGACCCGCACCTCCACGCGCGCTTCCTCCAGCACCTCCTGGCGTCCAACCAGACGGACTTTGCGCGGCTGCTCTTCCTCGTGAGCGTCGAAGAGTTCAAACACGTGCTCGCGTCGCCCGCCGCGTGCGACGAGGCCGCCGACGACGCGCAGGCGCTCCGGCGCCAGTACGCGAGCAAACTCATTGCCAAGTTCATGCGCCCCGGCGCGTTCCTCGACATTGCGTCTGCGAATCTCCGCATCCTGAACAAGTCGGTCGCGAGCTTTGGGAAGCTGCTGCTGCACGACCTCATGCTGTACAATGGGCTGGCGGCCAAGACGGACCTGTTCCAGGACGCCGAAGTCGCGGTGAAGAAGGCGCTGCAGCCCATTTTCCAGCAGTTTGCCGCCGCGCCGGAGTTTGCCGCGCTCGTGGCGCGCTCGCACCTCACGTACGTGGCTGCTGACGACGCAGAGACTGAGCGACTGCAGCCGCCGCTGCAAGAGGCACCGGGCGTGGACAATGGGGTGCTGAGCGGTGACTCCGTGTCGAAGAAGAGGTCCACGTCGTCCGTGGCGTCGATCACTGGCGCGCGGCAGTCGCACGTCCCGAGACAACGCACGGCGACGACGTTCTTGACGCTGGACCGCGTGCTGGGGAACAGGAGACTGTGCAGTGTGTTTTGGGTGTTCCTGTTCAAGGAGCGCACGCATGAGCAGTTGAGTCTGTGGATGGACTTTCGGTACCAGCTCCTGCCTGTGCTCGAGGACTTTATTCGCGTCGTGCAGGCGGAGCGTGTCGACGAGCAGCAACAGAGCAAAGACGAGGCCGATGATGCCGACGATCGACAAGCTGGCGAGCTCATTGAGCAGCTCCTGGCAGGAGGCAGCCGCATTGCAGCCAAGTATCTGATTGTGAGTGCTAGCACGCGCGTCACTTTTGTCGGCGAGGCCGAGCAAGCTCTGTTGCATGACTACGAGGTGCAGGTGGCCTGTTGTCTCGAAGCTGGCAGCTTCTCGTTGGCTGACGCGGAAGAGCTGCTCCAGACGGTGGAGCGCATCCAAGGTGTCATTGAAGCGGACCTCAAGGTGAATCACTTTGTGCGCTTCATGGGCAGCGAGTCCTTCAAGTCATTGGTCGCGTCGTACCAGAGTCGATTGCTCAGTCCGTCGGGCTCGCCGAGCATTCTCACATCTACGGCATGCGACGGCTCGAGCACAGCGTCGGACAGCAGCATGACGACTTTGCAAGAGCTGTTCCAGTGCATGAATGTTGCCTCTCATCAACCGCAGCGAGTACGGAGCAAATCGTTCACGCTGCGCGACCTGTTCCAAGCTCAACTACGTGGCGAAGTGCAGAGCAAGTCGCTCGTCAGCTCCGTCATGAGCTTCCGGCTAGATGTGAGCAACCGGTCTCACCCGGAGATCACCAAGAAAGTGCTGCACACGCTTGCGGAATCGAGTAGCCGGAGTGGGAACTGCAGTGACCTGTACCACCACCACGCGATCCCGGACCATGTTGAAGCTTTCTTCCGACCTTCAGGAGCTGACGTCGTGCGGTCGACAACCCGGCCAACGCCTTCACTGTTTCACATGACGATTGGCAATTCCGACAAGGCGTTTTACGGAGCCTGTCTTACACGATACGTTCCGTTGAACGACTCGAGCAAGCTCGGTCCGTTGGAGCAAGTGTTGCAAGAGACAGAGGGACTTGAAGTGTACGTTCCCGCGGGAATTTGCGTCATCAGCCGGTACCCGATCCTCGACACGCTCAAACAGCGTCTGGACTTGCTGCACGCTGCCATGCAGGACGACGAGTCCTACCTCTCTGACGTCAATTGGTTGCCGTCCGCCGCACAAATGGACGACTTGCTTTGTCCGCTGGACTTCAGCTCGATGATGCCTCCTGACGACCGGACGTCTCTCACGGCACTTGACGACTACGTTGACTTTAGCATGGAGGAGATCTTTAGCTGTCTATCCGTCGAGCACGTTGTTGCTTTGGTCACGTGCATGCTGCTCGAGCGACAAATTGTGCTTGTGAGCTCGCGCTACTCCGTCCTCACAGCAGTCGGCGAGACGCTCAAGAGTTTGATCGCCCCGCTGGAGTGGAGCCACGTGTTTGCACCCATTCTGCCCAAAAGCATGCTCGAGTGCTTACAGTGCCCCACGCCGTATCTGTTCGGCGTGCATGCGAGTTATCGCGGGGAGTTGCGCGAGATGCTTGAGCGAGAGGGCTGTGGCGACGGAATTGTCGTGGTGGATCTCGACGCGGACACAATGAGCTCTCCTGGGCGACCACAGCTCCCCGATTCTATTCGTGGTCCACTGACCTCGCGACTCCTCCAGCTGCTCAAGCCTCGAGTCTACTTCAGCGACTGTGTGCCCATGCTCACCAAAAGCGAACCAGCGGCGTTGGCCTCGCAGTGCTTTCCACAAGGCCGTGTGCGCGTGCTCTTTCGGGAAGCGATTGCAGCGCTGTTACGCACGGTGGAGGAGTTTCGGTTCGTACTGTCGGACGACTTTGACTACGTCGTGGTGTTTGACCGCATCGCGTTCGTGCGCCACCTGCCATCGCGCGAGCAATCCTTTTATCGTAGTTTCCTCGAGACGCAGGTCTTCTCTCACGAGATCGCCTCGGTTAATATTTAAGCGGCGGCTAGCAGTTCCAAAGAATGAGCGAACGTAAATTGAGCTTGTGTTGATATTCTACAGAAAGAATATGCAAAGCGTTTGGATAGCCCATCCGTGTCTTCTTCTTACATGACTCCACAAGGTCCATTCGCACGGTCTTGCGCTGAGTCTTGGGCTGGCAAGGCTGCAACGGAGGAAGCGGTGCCGTCGCCACGAAACTCGAAGTTGCGGCGGAGGTATCCACGCAAGTGTCTGTGCTCTTTCTTGAGCACGGTGATCGAATCGCTCAATGACTGCTTCAGGGACAGCCGTGCCGTCGCGTCGGGTGATGCCGTCAGCTGCTGATTTGCGCCAACTTCCGTTTCATACTTCTGGAGCTGCTCACATGCAGTTTGAACGCGAAACGCCGCCTTCGAAACACGCATTGCAGCGACGTACGCTGAAGACCCTTTCAGCGAATGAGATTCTCGTCGAGTAGTTGCAATATCGTCTCGATCGTAGGCTGCTACGATGCGCGACATGATAGCATCGCAGCTCACAGTGAACTTCTCCAGCAGACCCAAAAAGAGCTCTTCGTGACCGCCGCATTGCTCGACACCTAGCGAATAGTCGACTGGGTCACCCTCGGGAATGTCAATATTGGCTGGACCCGTCGATAAGCGCATTGCGGCGTCGCTTTCTGCGGCAATGCCTGTCGCGTGGTCGGTGCTAGGTGGGCCGCCTATAGCGTCACATCTAGAAGCTGGACTGCTCGTGTTCAGGCACTGTAGCATCGCGGCAATGGGATCGCCTGACGAATGCTCACCCACGCTCTTGTCCAAAGTAAAGCGCTGCAAGTCACTTCCATTCCGGCCTTCTTCGGCCGCTAATTTGCTCCGAGAGCCCTTGTCGTCTGGAACAATACTTGGTGACCCAGGTCGCTGAGAGGACGAAGACGATGGCACGGACTCGTTTTTGCTGCACATGAAAGGCGGGTGGCTCCAGAGTGTTGGATTGCTGTGAGAGGACACGTAATCTGAAGTCTCTGTGCCATCTAGCGGCTGGTCCTTCATGTTCGGCAAGGTCGCGGATGTCTTGTTGATCTGCTTCCAGTCAGGAATGCTAACGATGGCCCCACCGTTGTCACGCTGAAGAGTCAAAAGACTGCTAGAGCGCGTGCTGTTCCCCACCGATGAGCCCAAGCTAAAGATCGATGTTGTAGGAACTGCAGTGCGCACAGTAGGGCCTATCTGACGTCCAATAGCCATGGGGTCATCCAGCTCCAAATTCGAGATCGCACGCGCGAGATCAAGCTGCTGCATGTGACGCGAGGCAGGCGCGAGTCTAGTATCTGGAATCAGAGGCGCGTTGAAGAGATCTCCATCGTCAGCTTCGCTGTCGCATGACGGACACGGTGTCAGTGAAGTAGCCGGGTATGATGACAGCGCAAGGTCTAACTCGTCCCCTCTAGATGACGCTGGTGGAGACACGAAACCTGGTGCTGCAGCAATCATGTAAGCGTTTAAGCCCTCGGACCTTGCACGAGTGTAATCGTCTGATCCAGCGACCGATGAACCAGAGGACTTAGAACCCAGGTAGCGAACCCGCATCCACTGTCGTATCGCCTTGAGCAAACTGTTCTTCGAAATGGGCTTCACCATGAATTCGTCCATGCCTGAGCTCAAGCATTTCTGCCGGTCTCCACTCATGGCGTAAGCCGTTAGGCCTAGAACGGGAATACGCGGTATACCGTTTTCTTGTTCAAATTGACGGATCATTTTTGTAGCCGTGTATCCATCCATCACAGGCATCTCGCAGTCCATAAAGACCAAGTCAAACTTCGTGTGATCCTCCGTGTAAGCGTTGACCGCATCTTGACCGTTCACTTCCCATTGCAAAAGGTGATCCGCATCTTGCAGAAAACACTTTACAACTTCCCAGTTGAACTCGTTATCTTCCGCAACCAATATCCTAGCCTGCCGAGGAACCACAATCTTCGCGTTGTTTGCTCCCGTTGCACTTCCGGCAGCGACATTCGCTGAGCTATCACCTGAGTCCGCATTCAAAATAGCCATATCGGAAGGCTCAGAAATAGAAGCGTCCGATAGCAGGTCGTTTGCCGCATAGAGTAGCCCCTTAGTATCGGTGCTGTCCAGCAATCGAACCACCACCGTGAAGTAAAAGTTGCTGCCTACGTCAAGTTCGCTGTCCACACCGATTTGGCCATCCATAAGCTCTGCGAGCTGCTTGCAAATTGCGAGGCCTAGTCCAGAACCTGTAGGATTATTCTGCCGCGTGCGCTCCAGCTTCGTAAACAGCGAGAATAGCCGCATCTTTTCCTCCGCGTCCATGCCGATCCCTGTATCAATAACTTGGAAAAGCAGCTTCTTGAATGCCTTTGGAAGTTCGGGGGTATACACAACACTGCACGTGACAGTAATCGAGCCTTCATTCGTAAACTTGATCGCGTTCGACAGCAAGTTCAACAGCACTTGACGCAGACGCACAACGTCGCCAATTGCAACTTTGGGAACACTGTCGTCGCATTTTAGCTCAAGCTTAAGTCCGCGCTCTCGAGCCTTGAACTTGAATATCTCGATCGAATAGTCAAGTAGCTCATGCATTCGGAAAGGTGCAGCAGAGATTTCCAAATGACCGGCCTCAATCTTCGACAAGTCCAGAATATCGTTGATCAGGTTCAGCAGGAGCGACCCGGATACGTACGCCATGTGTACGTATCGCTCTGGAGCCTTGTCCAGTGGCTGCTCTTTCAGCAATTCCAGCATTCCCAATACACCGTTCAGCGGCGTTCGCAACTCGTGGCTGAAAGAGGCCAAGAAATTCACCTTAGCAGCCTCCATATGCTTTCTTGCGGTGTAATCTTGTCCAACACCGATCACACCACGGATGTTTCCATGCATGTCTTTCTTACTCGACGCGTTCACAAGAAGTAGCAAGAAGACACCACGCTTCGTTGTCATTGGGAGCTCCATCTCACCGACATCAATGCCGATCAGTGCTTGGTTAAGCAGCTGGCGAACTTGTTGTCGACTTTCTGGTGTAATGAATGTGTGAACAAGCGAAAGCCCCAGCACGCTTGACTTGTGGTAGCCTGTAATCTCCTCAATCTTCTGGTTCCACTCGTTGATGCAACCGTTTGTGTCGATACCAAAGATCGGAGCATTGGCAGTATCAATCAGTCGGAAATACTCGTGCTCCTGAGCAATGCGATCAGTAATGTCTTGACCGATCCCGACAACACCCACAATGTTGCCGTTTGAATCGTACCGTGGCGTCGCGTTCAGTAAGATCTCAATTCGTGTGCCTGGACGCGTTATCAACGGAAACTCGAAGTTTGCAGTTTCAACACCCCTCAGTGCCTGCGACAACACTTCAGCGACAATGGGCCGGAACTCTGGAGAGATGAACGTTTCCACCAGGTTCTCGCCCATAACCTCCTCGATCGAGTAGTTCGTAATCTGTGCTGCTTTCCGGTTCCAGATATTCACGCACATGTTGGCATCCACGCCAAAAATCGGGGCATTGGCCGTGTCTATCAGACGGCTGTACTCCTGTTCTTGTGCAATGCGTTCGGTAATATCCTGGCCAATGCCAACCATACCCTTCACCTCGCCGTGCTCATTGTACCGAGGCGTGGCATTCAGCAAGATCTCAACACGCCGACCAGCCTTTGTGATCAACGGAAACTCAAAGTTGGCCGTCTCGACGCCTTCAAACGCCTTTTCCAAAACACGTCTGACAGCGACGCGGTACTCCTCCGAGATGAATTCCGCCACCAGGTCCTCGCCTAACACGTCTTCAGTAGTGTACTGCATAATGTCAGCAGCCTTCCGATTCCAGATGTTCACTAAACCATTGGAGTCGACGCCAAAGATCGGCGCATTGGCCGTGTCGATCAAGCGCATATACTCCTTCTCTTGAGCAATCCTATCCGTGATATCTTGGCCGATTCCGACCATGCCCATGACCTCGCCTTGTTCATTATAGCGCGAAGTGGCGTTCAGCAAAATTTCGACCCGACGACCGGATTTTGTAATCAGAGGGAACTCAAAGTTGGCTGTCTCTTCGCCTCGAAAGGCTTTCTCCAACACGTAGCGAACAGGGACCTTGTACTCTTCGGATATGAACTCGGCGACAAGATCCTTACCCAATACGTCCTTGTTCGTATACTGCGTAATATCAGCTGCTTTGCGATTCCATATATTGACACGCCCGTCAGAGTCCACGCCAAATATCGGTGCATTGGCAGTATCGATTAGCCTCATGTATTCTTGCTCCTGAGCAATCCGGTCCGTGATATCTTGTCCGATTCCAACCATGCCAATGACGGCTCCGTGTTCATTGTACCGTGGCGTAGCATTCAGGAGGATCTCAACTCTCCGACCTGCTTTTGTGATCAATGGAAACTCGAAATTCGCAGTTTCAACACCATCCAAGGCTTCCGATAACACATAGCTCACTGCCTCCTGGTAATCTTTCGTAATAAACTTTTCCACGAGGTGCTCGCCCATGACGGCATCGGCCGGATACTGCATAATCTCGGCAGCCTTTTTGTTCCAAATGTCAACACGCCCTTTCGAGTCAACGCCAAAAATCGGGGCGTTGGCGGTATCAATCAAGCGAATGAGCTCCTGCTCCTGCGCAATCCGTTCCGTAATGTCTTGGCCGATGCCTACAACACCAAAGATTTGTCCGAGCTCATCATATCTGGGTGTTGCATTCAGCAAGATCTCGACCCGCCTCCCTGTCTTAGTAATGAGAGGGAACTCGAAATTGTTAGTCTGTTCTCCTTCGAGCGCTCTTTTGAGCTCCAACTCGACTGTAGCTCTATACTCTTCGGCAACGAATCGGTTGACCAAGTCTTTTCCCACGACTTCTTCGGCAGAATACTGAGTGATTTCTGCTGCTTTGAGGTTCCAAATGTTCACTCGCCCATCTTGATCCACACCAAATATCGGAGCATTCGCTGAGTGGATAAGCCGATTTGTCTCCTGCTCCTGAGCCATTCGAATGGTGATGTCCTGTCCGATACCGACGACGCCAATTACAACACCTTTTTCGTTGTATCGAGGTGTGGCATTCAGCAGAATCTCCACGCGACGTCCATCCTTCGTGATCAGCGGGAACTCGAAATTCGCCGTCTCTTGTCCTTCCAGTGCTTGCGAGAGTACCGTCCACACTGCCTCTCGATAATCTTCCGGAATAAAGTTCTGGACCAAGTTAGCCCCAAGTACCTCTTCATTGAAGTACTGGGTTGTGTCAGCGGCTTTTCGGTTCCAGATGTTCACGCAACCATTCGCGTCCACACCGAAGATCGGCGCGTTAGCTGTATCGATGAGACGAGTGTACTCCTGCTCCTGAGCACGCCTGTCTGTAATGTCCTGGCCAATGCCCACGGCTCCGCTGATGTTGCCAAAGTGGTCGTACTTTGGCGTTGCATTCAGCAGAATTTCAAGTCGACGCCCGCTTTTCGTGATCAGTGGGAAATCAAAGTTTGCGGTGCCAGTCCCTTCGAGCGCTCTAGAAAACACTTTCGTAACAGCATCACGGTAGTCCTCGGATATGAACTTGAACAACTCCTGGCCGATAGTGTCTTCGTTCGTGTACTCTGTGATTGCGGCTGCCTTCTTGTTCCAGATTATCACTTTGTAGTTGCAGTCAATGCCAAAGATGGGTGCATTTGCGGTGTCAATGAGGCGGCTGTACTCCTTCTCCTGAATGATACGGTCGGTGATGTCCTGGCCAATACCAACCACGCCCACGAGTTTACCTGTATGATCATATCGAGGTGTTGCGTTCAGCAGGATCTCCACTTTTCGACCCGTCTTGGTGACCAACGGGAACTCAAAATTTGCCGTCTCCGTTCCCTGGAAGGCACTCTGGAAAACAGCAGCGACTGCAGGCCGAAACTCTTCCGAGATCAGCGTATCAACGAGATCGACGCCCATGACCTCTTCTGGCGTGTACTCACTGATCTGCGCTGCCTTTGCATTGAAGATCACGACTCTTCCTTTCGTATCGACGCCAAAGATCGGCGCATTCGCCGTCTCAATCAGTTTCCTGTACTCCATCTCTTTCGTGTTTCTCTCGGTCACATCCTGTCCAATCGCCACGACGCCCATGACTGACCCCAGCGTGTCAAACCGCGGCGTCAAGCACAGCACAATCTCCACGCGGGACCCTCTTGCTGTCATCAGCGGCAGCTCAAAGTCAGCTCCTGGCGTGCCAGTCAGCGCCTGGTTGATCTTCTCCGACACAATCTTGCGGAAACTCTCGTCCACGACGGGCAGCAGCGGTTCGCCCACCATATCGACGCTCGCGTACCCCGTCATGGACGCCGTCTTGGAGTTCCACACAGTGATGTTGCCTTCTTTGTCGAGCTCAATGATGGGCGCGTTCGCCTGCATCATCACGGTCGCGTACTGCTTCTCCTGACTCGCCCACTCGGTCACGTCTTGACCGACGCCGTAGACGCCGACACACGAGCCGTCTTCGGCCAGCAGCGGCGTCATGTTGGTCAGCACTTGGGCGTTGCGGCCCGTGGTCGTGAGCAGCGGCAGCCGCAGCTCGAGCTCCGGTCGCTCAGCGGCCACACAGGTCTTGAGAATCTCCACGATCTCCTGTTTCCGTCGCATGCCGTACACGAACTCCGCCAGGGGATGGCCAATCACACGCTCTGCTTCAAAGCCCGTAATGTCCTCCATGCGGGGGTTCCACAGCGTGACGCGGCCGGCGGGGCAGACGCCCAGCGCAGGCGCATTGGCGTCGTGGAGCATGCGGAAGAGCTCCTTCGCACAGGGCCGACTCGTGTCGCTGTGGTCGCGCGCGGCGTGTGGCGGCAGTGCGCACTGCGCGTCGGATGCGGCGCGACGGCCGCGTTTCCCTTTCATGACTTTTCACGGAATGCGCAATGCCAGCGCGTTTTGCGCGCTAAAAAAGGATAAAAAAGAGCCACGAGATGGGGAAGGAAGTGGGTGCGTGGGGGTTGTATGGGCGTTTGTAGGGCGCGAGCGGGTCCCAAACTCGCTCGAGCTACTGCTGCGACTGCAGCTGCCGACCGACCGACCGACTGACGACACGATTGACGGATGGACGCGCGCGAAAGAAAAGAAAGGGAAACGATGACGAACAGGCACTTGTCGCGTAAAGGAAACGAACCGACCGATCGATTGCCAGACGTCGTTAGACATGTCGAGACACGCGCGTCCCCAGTCGAGCGGTTATGACAGACTCGACGTCGAGACGACTGCGTTGGCGGTGGCACTTCTTTGTTGTTGTTGTTACGGCAATTAATGGGTGACGAGAAAGTTGGGTGGAAGACGGCAGCGAGCGGACCGCTTCAGCAGCTGTCGGCGCCGCAGCACGACCAGGGCAGAAAGTACTCGTACCAGCGACAGCCTTTGATGGACGTGTTGGCCTCGTACGGCGGCGTGGCGGCCGTGTCGTCCATTGACACAGACGACGGCTCTCTGATCCCGCGTTCGTCGGCAGCGGCTCGCAAAAGCGGCGTCGATAGTGAGACGCTGTCAGCACGTGCAATAGCGAGCACTGCAACGACGAGCGTGACGGCAACGTGCTTCAACATGGCGGTCGACGAGCGGGAGGCGAAGGAGCGGACTTGAACGGTTGCGGGAAGTTGGTGAATGACCAGAGGCGACGACGAGGCACAAGAAGCGACGACTGGATGTCGATCCTGTTGATGCAAGTGCTGGCGCAAGTGCCGGCGGAGATTGCAAGTGCTGACGCCAGTACGGTCAGTGGCTGTTGCTGCAGCAGTGGCGGACGGGCCGCTGCAACTACGACACCCGGCCATACGCGTCGGACTTGCCGTCCATAATGACGTGGACTTTTTGCTGCGATCGTGCCAGAGCCACTACAAGTGGCTGTCTTCCCTGGGGAACAACAAAATGTATGCTGGTTGCTGGTCTGGCGGTATCGGCGGTGCACGCTGCAGCTTTTGGTGGTACGTGTCAAACTGCTGCAGCTGCACTGGCCGACCAATTAGCAACGAGTACGGCCGTTGCTCAGCGATCAGCGCACATGGCGCGATCGTACCAGAGTTTGGCTGCTATAGTGCGGTCGCGTTCTGTTTGTGTGCAGCACGTCGAGCTCTCTCTGGCACTTGTGCGCTGACAGTGAGCGCCCTGATCGACTCAATCGCATACCCACACACAGTCGCAACAGTGTGCGGCCTGCAGTCAGGTGACGATTTGTTTTGTCCAATCGCATCCTCCAGTTGAGCACCCGATGAGCGAATATCGACAAGCAACAGCGCACGTGGCAGCGCTCGAGGAGCATGTGGCACTGCTGCAACAGTCCGGCAACATCGAACGCGCTACGCTCGACCATAGTCTCAGCTCTGTTTTGGTGCGTTCAGGAGGAACGTTTGTGCACGGCATCCATTGTCATGCGTACTCGGAAGCGAACCCGTTCTGTTTCTGTCATGGCGGTTTGTTGACCGTGATTTTGTGTTTATAGGCTGCAATCAATGGGGACGTGGATTCCATGATGGAAAAGTACCGGACCCGCTGCTGTATGGTGGACCCCGTGACAAGGCAACCCCGACTCGGTCCCAAGATGTTGGCTAGCGTTCAAGACCTGCTACGTCGCTACGACGCTGTGAAGTCGGGGATGGAGGTGGACGCTCCGTTGCGCGTGCAGGTCGAGACAAGGCTTCGTCAGTTGAGAGAGGAAGAATTGGCCCAGGAGGAGGAACAGTCTGCTCTGGCGAGACAACTGGAGGCTGCCCAACTAGCTGCACAGGTAGAGCAGGAACAGGAGCAGAACAGAATACAGCAAGAAGCTCGGGATCAAGAGGCAAGACAGCAGCAGGACGAACAGCTTCGGGTTGAAGCGCTAGCGGCTGCTGCGCAGAAAAAGCGAGAAGAGCGCGAGAGAGAACGTGCAGAAGCGGACCGGCTGCGAAAAGTACAGGAGGAGGAGCGCGAGCGCTTGAATGCGTCCATTTCACATGGTAAAGTGGGGCTCGAGAAATCGATTGCGATGCTGCGGGACAGTACGGGCAGTGAGGTGCGTCTGATTGACAGTCTGGACTGGAAGAAAAGAGAGGAGACCGCTTGACGTGTTATGCAAGCAGGCGCTGTATCGTCAGTCGCTTGCAAAGCTTTTCAGTGTGGTGAGCAACATCTGCTCGTCACCAGAGAATGCAGCGTTTCGCCGCATTTACAAAGACAACGCCAACTTTCACGCTGACTTGGGGCAATACGCTGGCGGGCATCAGTGTCTGCTCGCAATGGGATTCAACGAACTTCAACAGGGAGACGAAACGCAGTCCCGGGCTGTTTTCGTGATGGAGGTGTGCGATCCGGCATCATCCAAGTCTCTGGTTTTGACGCGTGTGTTGTTATACTTCTCACATACTTGTGCTGCTGCTGATGTGATTGTAGGAACCAGATTTGTCCGAAGATTTGGATGCCTGGAGCATATGGTTTGACGAGCTCAGGGAATTGCAACGACTAGTAGAGTCCAAGCTGCAATAAGCACACACATTGCAGCACAAAGGACGCGTGGACGCAGACGTGAGTATCCCGGCACGGCACGGTGGGTTTCGTAGCAGCTTGGTCTGGACAGGTGTTCTTTTGCCGTGACGATCGCAAACGAATCGTTGTCCCAGCGAGGCTTCTGCTGTCGTTTGCGTCATTCTTCGACATTGCGAGAAGGTACAGAAAGCTTGTCATGGGACACCACAAGCTTTCGCTCCACGTCTGTGTCGCCCAAGGGGTTGTCGGTTTTACTGCGGTGAGAATGTGCCTACAATGAGTTTTATCGACGGGTCTGTTCCGGTTCGGATCGTGCCGATCCTGGAGCTAATACCTTTGTAGGCTGCACAGGTGTCTCTTCGTTCCCTAGCGAGTTTCTGAGCCCGTCATGACATCCGCTCTTGGTCACACTCGTTGTGTGTTGCCATTGTAAGTAGTCGGCTACTAGGCAGCCGAGAGACCGCTGTCGGGAGACTAACTACGGCGATACATTTACGAAGAACGACTATTGAGGTGCTGCCTGCTGCGAAATGTTGGTGCAGCTGGCTGGACGTCAGCGGTCTACAAACCGAGCAAACGTGCCCTGCGACTGACCTTGACGCCACTTGGCCGAAGATCGCAGTTGCGTGCACCAGAAGTTAGAGGTCTGTAGGCGATACGATCGCCACATGCGACGATTTGGACAACACCTATACGCCACCACAAAGCAGGCAGTGTGCAATTAATTTGATCCGTGCACACCACATGGGTCTTGCACGACAAAGCTGCGAGTTCGCGTGCAATTGATTTGATCCGTGCACACCACAGGGGTCTTGCACGACAAAGCTGCGAGTTCGCGTGCGGTAACTATGTCGTAACGTTTGACTTGCATGTAATGAGGATAGCCGACCGGTCTCCAAAGCCTAAACAGAATGCTGGCTGTACCGGTGTCGATACTGATCTCTTGGTATGCGAAGTTGCAACATGACGACCGACGCACGCACACGCAGCACAATCACTTACCACATGCAAGTGACACGCCTCCACGTTCTTCTCATCGACCGCTTGATACGATGCCGCGACGGTGATGTAAAAACACTTGTGTTTGTCATAGCTGCGCCTAAAAGTCATTCACGTCGTGCATGTTTCTCTGCGTGAAGAAAGCGGCGCGTGTGGCAGCAACCTTAGGCTTGCCTTGCGTGGATGTCGTGGCGAGGAACGACGTTATGGATTGGGTGCCTGCAGGAGCATTGGCCTAGTGCGACAACATGAGGTAAGCAAAGAGTTTCGTCTGCAACGCACTTGTTCCTCACCTTATCGAGCTCCTTCTCGTGCGGCCACTCGACTTTGACGGCCTTCTCAGAAAACGGCTCGACGGTGCCCCAGCTGAAGCGAATGATATTTGGAAACATGAACACGTCGTCCATATGATTCGCCAGCCACGTCTTCGTTCTGCCGCAAAAGACGAGCGGTCACGACAAGCCCAACAACAATTACCACTGACACACACTTCTAGCGTACTTGGGGTCGCTTGGATACCCCGAGCCAAAGTCCGTCGGAAGATCGAGCGCTGCCGACTCCCACTTCCAGTCGCTGATAACGCGGTCGCGCGTCACTTTGGCCGCAATACTCGCAGCACTCACGACCTACAGCACCGACACCAGTGAGCACGTGCGTTCGCACAATACCACGCCATAACTTCGCCACAAATTCCTCGTTTGCTTCCGTACCTTGAACAGACTGTCTGCCTTCTTCTCCACGCGAAACTCAATGGTTCCGCCAAAGCGTTTCGTCAGAAAGCTCTGGTACCAGCGCGGGTCGCCTACCGTATCCACAAACACCTGCTTCACCACGACACCTTTCTTCTGCACCTCTTGGATCAACTGAATAGCTGCGTCGCGCGACATCTCGTTCAAGTTGCGCGTCTGGCGCTGCATCTTGTCCGAGATCTCGGCGGCCGAAATCAGGCGCACGATCCACCTGCCGGAAGCGCACGGTCTCCGTCATCACAGCGCTCCTTGCAACCAGACGCACCGCTTTGCACCAAAGAACACACGTACCCGAGTCCCTCTGTCGACCGCATCTTGTCAAACAATTGCGCCCGACTCGCGGCGCTCAGCGCTTTCGAGTCGTCAAAGCCCAACGCGCACATGGCGTCGTGCTCGGCCGCGGGCCAATACGCGGCGCCGTAGACCATCGGACCCATGACAGGTCCTCGACCGGCCTCGTCGATGCCCAAGATGACGGGCGCTCCATTGCGACAGCGCAGTGGACAGCCGCTCGCGAGCAGCTCCGTGGTCTGCAGATTCGGCTGCGCCATTCGACGTGGCGATTGAGATACGGCATGCGGTATGCGATTCGTGAGGCTTCTCGCGAATTTCGCGGACGTTGATTATGATGATGCTGCGAATAAGGTCGTCAGCACCTTATTCGGACCCGGCGGCGCCAAGTTTGTTGGTTCGTTTGCTAATCATTGCTGCTGTCGGTGAGAAAGTGATTACGCTCGTGCCGTCGAAAATAAATAGTGGACGCACTGCCATTACTATAGCAGCGACCATTACTGCCGCAGGAACTACAACAATAACAACTACCGTTACTACAGCAGCAACTGCAACTACTGCCGCGAACCTCGGTCCGGTCGTTCCAAGCCACAGATTTGTCGCTCCCAAGATCCGGATCCCACACGGCAAATGCTGGCAGAATATCCCTTAAGGCGGATACCGTCAAGATCCGACACGCTGCTCTCGTTGGCACGAGTGGCTCTGCTGATTCGGGTGCGAGGGATGTAGTGGGAGCAAGGCGAGTCGACCCACCAGCTGGGCGGCAAGCAGTGCCTGCTGTTCGCGACCGAAAGTGAGACGCAGTGAGAGAGGAAGATTCATGGCTGTCTATGGCTCAAGATCACGTGCACGATGTCCGAAAACTTCTCAGACAGGAAAACAGCGCCGCTCCCGGCTGCTGGTCGTCGCGGACCTCTCGAGGTAGCGAGGGGCGGGAGGTCCGCTAGTCTTTAGCGCAGACAGTTCGAGACAGGCGGGGAGAGAGGCTCATGCTTGCAGCTTGTCCCTCCTCAGTCGCGCTTCGAGTGACGAGAAGAAACGACTGGAAGATCGGCAGCTGGTGGGGAACTGCGATATGATCACGAGCGACGCAGCGCCACATAGATGCAAAGCCATTGGCACTCGCGTTGGTGAGTCCACGCAGACAGGCAGTCACCACAACTCGGAATGGATTTGCGTCCAAAGGAGAATTCAACAACGACGACAACAACGACAAGAAGAAGAGCAACAAAACGGGTGTGGCAACTTCACAGCTGTTGGGGTGCGAATGGCCACGAAACGGCACGAGGAGGAGCGTCGCTACTGCCGCTCTCTCGTCTCTCGTGGCCACGTCCTGGATGACGTGTGGTGGTAATGTCCTTATTAATCCCGAAAGCCATTTGTCGCTTTCGGGATTAAGAACACGTACGCACGCGATAGCAGCCGTTGCATAATGGAGACACACATAGTGTCTTGCGCACGACGAGCTCAGCGAGAGCGAATGTGAGCGCCGTCGTCGACTGTCCACACCGCGAGAGACCGCACGTCGTGCGTCCGGCCACAGCCCTCAGCCGGTCGCCTCTGTCTGCCGTTGTCGACTGCATCGAGCCGCTGCGTAGTACCCACGTGTGGATTTTCCTGCGCCCGTGGCCACTCTCCGGCATTGCCGCCACGTTGCGCGCGCGCGCGTCTGTGGTTCATTGGCCGCTCTGTCGGGCACTGGCGCGCCACTCCACGCACACCTACCCGCAGCGTGGAAGAGCCACTGCTGCAGTAATGACATGTCTCAGCTGCACCTGCGCTAGCGCTCGAGCCAGCGCTCTGTTCGGGCGCCAGTGGCCAATGTCGCTGGTAGGCATTTGCAAACCCTCCGCGTCGAGCGCAGGACAACAACCACAACAGCCACAGCGACAACGTCCACGGAGACGTACCCACAGCTGCCGTACTCGACCGCCTGTTGCACATGCCGCACAGCAGACGACCGGGCTCGATGCTGCACCGCGTGCGGACCAAGCACGAGTCGAAGGCGTCGCAGTCGGCGCACCACCGCGCGCCGCAGCTCGTCGTGCGGTCGGCGCATCACGGCCACGAGACGCTGCCCGTGGCCATGGGCGGCACGGCCATCGAGCGCTCGATGGTCAACGTGGGCTCGATCGCCGTGTACCACGTCCGGCCCGTGGTCGCGCTCGATGCGAAGCACGACGCCAAGGCGACGGTCTTTGCCGTGCACGTGCAGAACGCCATCACGGGCCGCAGTTGGGTCGTCCACCGCCGCTTCTCGGACTTTCTCGTGCTGCGCGGGCTCATTACCGAGCACTTTAAGCTCTTTTACGCCGACTTTCCGCGCCTCGCGAGCCGCGTGAACGAGCTCTACTTCCCCAAGAAGCACACGTTCCGCCACAACGTGGACAAAATCGTCGAGCACCGCTGCGACGCGTTCCTCGAGTTCCTCATGGGGCTCCACCGGCTGCTCGTGTGCCACACGTACATTGTCCACCGCGACATCAGTCCCATTGGCCTCTCCATCCTGCGGGGCTTCCTCGGGAGCGCCATCGTGCAGGACCCGAGCCACAAAGCCTACGCGTTCCACCGCCCCATATTGCCCATTGAGCTCAAGCCGTCCGAGCGCACGCCAATCCACCAGTGTGGGTCGCTCACGACAGTGCTCGAGGACGACGCCGAGTACGAGCTCGAGGCCGGCCACAAGGCCGAGCTGGACTCCGAGACGGACTCGATGTCGCGCGACGGCTCGACTGAAGAGAGCCTGTCGAGCTCCCTGTCCGAAGACACGAGCGACGGCGACGACGTCGAGATGACTGCGCGCATGCGGGAGCTCGTCAACCGCCGGCGCGCGCACAAGTACGCGCGGAACCGCCGCGTGCTGCATTTCCTGCGCAAAGACGTCTTGACGACCGACACGTGGTGGGAGGCGAACGTCGGCGTCGAGCACGACGAGCACGAGCCCGAGTGTGCGCCGCCGCCAGGCGACTATGCGCACATTGAGAAGATGTACGTGCGCGCGACGGATATGGCGCTGCCGTCCGCGATGATGCGGATCATGGAAGCGCCCAAGCCGATCTCGGCCTAAGCGCGTGCGCACGTGCGGCAAGTGGCTACTGCTATTGCTATTTGGGTGCGCGCTAGTGCTGCCATCGCATGCAGACTCAGCAATGGAACTGATGTCTGCAATGGCGTACGTAAAGAGGGCGGAAGCGGCGCTGGTGCGTACAGTGCGTGGCGACGCAGGATGCGAGTGGAAGCTCCTTGACGCACGTCGGTGGATGTACACTGTATGCGTACGACCTTATTTAATATCCAATGAATGACCGTTTGAAGAGCTCCGCTCGCGCATGTGTGTAGTTGCATCACGATAGTGGTTGTTTCTTATACTGTATATGCCATGGTGCTGGGCTGCTTTTGACCCCGCGGGTGAAGTAGCAGCAGTCGCCGTGCCCTGTGTCGCAGCAGCTGTATCAATTCTGACAGTCGCCCGCGGCTGCTGTGGCTCCAGCTGTTCGCCCGGGCGTAGCCACTCAGTCCGCCGGTTCCGATCATCTCATGGCGCTCGGCGTAAAGGAGAGCGTGAGCGGAAAGCTGTACCGGCTCACCAGCGACGGGGCCGAGCAGCGCGTGTGCGGCGGCAAGGGCGCCGTGTACCAGAGCGGGCCCAAAGTCGCGCTGCGCTGCTGCGGCAAGACGAGTCTCGTGGTCACGCGGCAGACAAAGCAGAGCGTCTTGCGCCAGGGCGACGTGCTGCTCGTGGGGCGGGGCGACGCCTTCTACGCCAACGGAACGCTCACCAAGTACGAAGTCGTGGACACTGACGCGAAGCCGCCGAGCGCTGCGCTGCACGTGCGGCCCACGCGCGTCCCGAGTATCACAATGAGCTCCTCAAGCCGACTGACGCGCGTCGGAGAGGCCGTTGCACCGGGTGCGAGACGCGTGTCGTCGTTCTTTGCGCGGCCTCAAAGTGGCGGAGCAGTAAATGCCGTGACGAGAGGCCAACGAGGGACGAGTGACGCGGACGCGGACGGTGTGAGGACAGTGGGCAGTACAGCGGGAGGTGTTGAAGACGAGGAGGAGGACGAGGAAGTGGCGCCAGTGCTTCGACGAAGAGAGAAACGCACTCGAGCGATTGTCGAGTCAGAGGACGACGACGACGAGGAGGAGGAGGAGGCGGTGGACGAGGCGAACCGGATGAGGGCATTGACGGTGGACTCGGACGTGTCGCTGCTTCACGAAACCGACGACGTGTTTGAGAAAGAGCTCGAGCGCTCGACGTCAGCTGCGAAGGACTGGATGGCGGCGTTCGGACGCAACTCGGTGAAGAGGCACAAGAGCGGGAGCGCGAGTGTTCGCTCGGACGAGTGGCGGGGTCGGAGAGATGGCAGCAAGAGCATGACGAAAGCCAAGTCGAGCACATTGAGGAGGTTTGCGGTCGAGGAGAGGAACGATGACGACGACTTGGATGAAGACGAGCATCACTCTCGTTCGCATGATGAAGTCGGGCAACTGCTGGTAGAGTGTGAAGGGATCGCCAGGGAATTGCGCCAGTCAGTGCGAAACTGGTCGGGCAATGCGACGAAGTCGGTGTCGACGAGTCCGTCGACTTCGCCGGTGGACGCGACGGACGAAGAGGAGGCAGGACACATGTCGCTGGCATCCATCAACGGCGGGGATCGACGTGTGGTCACACAGGCGGATATTCCGGATATTTGTGAGACGCTCGAGCTGAAGCCGTACCAAGTAGTTGGAGTCAACTGGTTGCTGCTGCTCCATGAAAACAAGGTATCCGGCGTATTGGCAGACGAAATGGGACTCGGCAAAACCGTGCAAACGATTTCGTTTTTGCTGCTCCTCAAATCGCTGGAGCAGTCCGATGACCGTGCCGTGGGGCCTCACCTGGTCGTTGTGCCCGCAAGTGTGCTAAATAACTGGACGCGCGAGTTTGCGTGGATCGCGCCAAAGCTACGCATCGTCATGTACCACGGATCGAAGGACCACCGTCGTTATCTCGAGGGCACGCTCGAGAGCAACGGGTTCGACGTCATGCTTACGACGTACACATACTTTGAGCGCGATACGTGCCAAGAAGAGCGCGCGTTCTTACGAAGCTTTCAGTTTGGATACATGATTCTGGACGAAGGCCACAGCATCAAAAACTCAAACACGTCGCGGTTCAAGCGCATCACAGCACTGCGTGCACGAACCCGGTTAGTCCTCAGCGGCACTCCGATTCAAAACAAGCTGACTGAACTGCTGACGATGCTGAGCTTTCTCATGCCACGAATGTTTGACCACGGCTCCGATGAGTTATTGACTTTTTTCGACGGAAGCGAAGAAAAGAAGTGCGACAAAGTGCGTAAGATATTGGCGCCATTCATTTTGCGGCGAGAAAAGAAATACGTGTTGAGTCAGCTCGTGCCGAAGACCATCTCCGTGGAGCTCGTCAAGGTGGGCGAGGACCAACGGACCGCCTACACTAGCTTGCTTGATTCCGTCATTCGGCGAAGAGAAGCCCAAGCTGCTATAAAAGCTGCAGCGAAGGAAAGCAAGCGAAATAAGAGCAAGGACTGTAAAGCGAATCGTCATTTGCGGGAATTGACGGACACGTACGCCGCAGTGCCTGGGAGTGAGCCGAGCGCCATTTCCATCTTTACGCAGTTGCGCAAGGCCGCAAACCACCCCGTTTTGCTGCGCAGACACTTTGTTTCTGACGAAGTGCTGGAGGTCATGTGTCGATGTTTGCATCGAGCAGAGGCGTTCGGCAACCAATGCTCCTCGAGCAGAGTCCGCCAGGAGCTCGAGTCGTACAGTGACTTTGAACTGCACGACCTCTGTGTGCAGTACGAGTCGATCGATGAGCTACGACAGCTGCAATTGCCTATGGAGACACTGCTGGCGTCTGCCAAATTCGATTTTCTGCGCCAGTTACTTCCCAAGCTTGAGAAAGAAGGCCATCGCGTCTTGATCTTCTCGCAATGGACCAAGTTGCTGGATCTGCTGGAAGTGCTGATGAGCCATATGAGCTATCGCTACCTGCGACTCGATGGGTCCACCGATGTCCAAGAAAGACAGGGTCTGATCGATACGTACAACGAAGACAAGAGTATCTTTGTCTTCTTGTTGTCCACGCGTGCAGGTGGACTTGGCATCAACCTCACTGCAGCGGATACGGTCATTTTGCACGACCTGGACTTCAACCCGACGGCTGACGAACAAGCATGCGACCGGTGTCACCGCATTGGACAGACCAAGCCCGTGTCAATCTACAAACTTGTGTCCGAGAACACTGTTGACCACGACATTTACAAGCTCGGCGAGTCCAAAACAGAGCTCAACCACAAGATTCTAGACAAGCTCAACGCGCACAGCGACGGAGAAAAGCGCAAGAAGTCGGACACCGTCACGGTCGAAATGATGCTGGCGTCCGTCATCTCCGACTACAAAAGCACTCTCGTTGACGGTGGGCAGCAGTAAACGACAAGAATGATACTGAGGACTGCATGAGTAAACAAGTTTGGCACGGAGTGGATGCAAATATGGTTTGTAGAAAACACGCTACAACCGGACAATCTCCGTGTTGCAATGCGTGCGCTTCTAATGAACTCGTAATCGTTTCTGAAACTGTGTGTGTGGCGTTGCCTTGTACAGCAGTTTGTAGTTGAGTAGACAAGCGACCGTGACGAAGTTCACCGTTTGCAGCGGCTAACAAGTCCAAAGTAGTAGCAGTATTCGATATGTAGGGAGTCAACTGCATGACCGTGCGTTACGAAAGACCGACATCGACTGTAGTCACTTTGTCGTCTATTCCAGAGCATTTGCGTTATGACCCGATAGACTGACCATTTCTCCCTTGCTGCTGTTCGTGGCTGGACAAGAAGTCGTGCAAATTCGTGTGTGAATTCTGAAGCGCACTTGGACTTCATTGCTTCACTAGGTCATACATAGTAAGAGGGATTGATGGGATCCTCAAATGCCTTCAGGACGTCGATGTTACCAGATTGAACAGTCCACCAGAGTCGTTCGCATCTCTTCTCGCGTGCGATGGTGTTCGTGAGACAAGCAGTGAACTTGGCTTGCACGCTCCACTTCATGTCAACGATCAGTCTGCAACTCTTCAGCACCTTCAGGATGGGGAGGGAGACATCTCGTCGGATGGCACAGAGAGGGCGTTCATCCAAAGGTGAGCTCCACCAGCTTCAGTGCATGTCACACTTGCGCAATCCACGACAGCATACGTCTGCTTGACGCTGCGATTGAGTCCCTTCATGCAAAAACGGTCAGCCAGCCAGCCGAGCAGCAACCACAGCAAGCAAACACTTGGAACCGCGTCGCGAGTGGGGTCTCCATTCCGTTTCCCTCCATGCTCAGCGTTCCGTCACAATAGAAGTACGTTGAGCCACGAGAGCCTTTGCCGAGTGTCACAGAGACGCAGTCTGTATTACGGCTGCATGAACTCTAGCCGAACGACTCGATGATCTACTACTACAACAGGCACTCGAACCACTTGGCGGGCTTCTGCGCCGAGTTAAAGAGCCCGTCGCCAAAGTAAAACGTCGTGTCGGCGTGATTGAGTTGCGTCCTGTAGAACCGGTCTTTGTAGTGGTCGCCAAAGTGCTCGGCCGGGAGTCCCCCGGTGCAGCTATTGAACTCGACCAGCCCGTCGTTCTCGGCCGTCTTGTGCGGCAGCGTGGATCCGAGCAGCCAGTAGACCGGGAGGTAGCGCGAAAACAGCCCGGCGTACGAGTTGCTGCACATTGCTGCAAACACGTTGTCCCGATAGGCCTCTTGAGCGGCTTCGTAGGCGTCGTTCATGGCCTTGTTGGCAAACTCCCCGCCCTGGTACAAGAGCGACTTTGTCGCATTGAGCATCGAGCACTGACTCGTGAGGTTGCCAATCACTTTCATGAAGTACGTGTGCTCGCCATTGCACGCCTCGAGCGCAAAGTCCGAGCCCATACTTCCGGACATGGGGGCACTCATGGCGACCCACGAGCTGCTGTTGGCCAGCGCGCACTTCCCACTGGCAATCGCCCCGGCGAGCGCGAGGCCGCCCATGGAATGCGTCACGACGATCGTGTCGGCGATTTTGGTCGACGAGCTCGACTTGGCCACGGACGTCGCGAGGTCGCACATGATCTGCTGCTGCGTGTCGTTGTTCCAGCCCACAACGACGGAATTCCACACCATGTACTTGAACTCGGTGCAGCACGGCGCGTGCTCGGTCAAGTTGCCCCAGTAGTCCGGCATCGAGTCCTGTAGCTCGTCTTCGGCGTAGTCGTTGCCCAGGCCGTGGATAAAGAGACACGGCCGGGGGTCGGACTTGCACGTGCACGTCGTGGACGACAGCGTGACAGGCAAACTGCTGCCCTCGCCTCGTTCTTCGCTATCGGGAACCGGTGCACCCGTGAGCAACGCCGCGGCTACAGGGGTCATGTCCGTGGCCTTGACAGCCCTTCGGCACTCGCCCATCGATCCTGCAGTCACCTTCGGCACCGGTACTTTGACTCGATACTTCAGGAACGTGACCTCAATGTCAATGTCGCTCGCGTACGCGCGAAGACCAGCAGCTCCCGAAGCACAGATGACCATCTCCATCTCCAGGCCCTGGAACGTCACTTCGAAAAGGTGCCCTGCAGCACACGTGATCTTGTCGCCGTTGCGCCGGGCCGTCGACGCGACGGTCACGTCGTTCAACGCGGTCATGATCTCCTCGAACGGCGGCAAGACGCTCACAGGTAAGCAGTGCGTCATGCGCGCCACGACTCGACCCGTTTCGTCCAGTTCAGTCCGCGTGGCGTACGCGACGCCGTCGACCATAAAGTACCGCGTCCGAGCAGTCTCTTCGACAAAGTCCACGTAGCCGTCGTAGTAGACGCGTGTGCCGTCATGTGAGACGATCGGGTTCGCGTACACGTCAAACTCGGGCTGACCGAACAACTGCATGGAGCTGCGCTTCAGTGTAAAGTGGAGCTTCAAAGACGGCCAGTGACGTGCACTGCTACTGCTAGTGCTACTGGAATGGGCAGCAGTTGTTGTCGTAACGGTGGGACGCAGCGCTCCATTGCTCGTCGCGTGGCTCGCAGTGGGCCGTATGACGCAGGCCACGAGTGCAAAGGCCCAGAGCAGTTGACGGAGAGAGGTCACTTGCGGCCGCATTGAAGAGGTGAGCATCACGCGCGTTGTTGGGCGCTTCGGACCGTCGAGTGCCGTGCGAGCGCTGGGTGGGCAATTGAGAAGTGAGCGGATCGCTGTCGCAGGTTCGGCGGGACCGTCTGGATCAGGAGAGACGCAGGGCACGAGCTGATGCGATGGTGCCAAGTCTGGTCTCGATCCTTTAGTGGTCGGAGCGGAGCTCCGAGATTGGCTTTCAATGGTCGACAGCTCCTGTTCCTCAATCTCTCACTCGGTCGATCCCTTCGAAGGTACGAGAGCAGAGAGTCCTGTGACCGCGCGAGAGATTCGTTTGCAGGGGCGTAGCATGAACATGTGCCTCTGAATTGTACGTTTTCGAGAGCGGTTTGGCTCGAGAGCCGAATCTTCTGGGCCACTGATAAGTGCCACTCGCTTTGGCGCACGACGTTCAACTTGAACGAGAGACCCACATGAACAACTGCTACAGCTGCCGCTGGTGTGCCGCCTGTTTGCAGCGATAGATTCACGCCCTGATTCCAACGTCGGCCGGTCTATTGACCATAAGTGTGCAGCCTCTGCACGCACATGTTTCTTCCCGCCCTTGAAGCTGACAGCGGACATCGCCGCCTCAACGACATCCGCTGGCCAGGTGCTCTTTCGAGCAGGAACCGACTCGACCTGAACACATTGAGATCGGACGAGTTCAGTGTCCATTAGCTCACCTGTGTGTGAGAGGCATCCGAGTGAACGGATGTTCATAATGATCCAATGTGACCATTAGCAACGTGCTCGGAGTTGACACGCATCGATGTGATCGCTGTGGTCTACTGCGTCAACACTGACACGAACATCGGGAGGTACGTGACTCATCACTTGCGGAGGTGGGTACAATTGCAGGACGCTGGAAGTATGTAGACGATAAGGAACCACTTGATGGGCGGCTGCCCCGCTAGTTCGTATCAAGCGGTGGGTGATGGAGTTGAGTGAGGTAGAACCTCTACTAAACCTTAACTCACCATTGTGTCCAGCGAGAGATGCGGACCGCCAACGAGTTCAACCAGGGTCACTTGACTTGCAGTTCACCCGCAGGCGTTCGCTATAAGGTCCGTCGCATGAATCTTTCGCTCTGTGTTGACTTCAAAGGCCAAAGTTGAAGCTCGGCGTGTCTGGAACAGCTCCAGTGAGTTGTCGTGCTTTGCAGCACGCGGACCAGACGATAGAATTTCATCGTTACATGGCCGGGAACTCCGTCGCGTCGTCAAGTACCTGCTACGGGTACTAGAAGCAGAAACACGACGGACGCTGTGTGGCTTTACACATAGCAGAGAATGGTAGTCAACAGAGCAGTAGTGGGTAATCCGATACACATATCCGAACCTAAAAACGAACAGGTATGTATTCCAACCACTTGTCGAACCTCATCGACAACGATCGATGCGCGCGTAGCTCGCAGCTGTTCATGTACAAAGTATCAAATAGACACCGCATCGGCCATCTGTGACTGAGACTGAGACTTCGTACAGCGTGCGTCCCTCTCTTCCTTCCTCTCTAGCACGTAGTCGAATGAATTGAAGATGTACGACACATCGGCAAGTGCCTTAGAGCAGGCACTCAAACCACTGCACCGGTTTGCGCGCGTCATTCGAGTAGCTGTTACCGTTCTTAAATGCAGTATCCACGTGGTTGCACTCGGACGCGTAGAATCGATTGCTGGGACTGTTGGTAAACTGAGACGCCGGGAGGCCACCTCGGCAGCTCTGGAACGTCACAATGCCATCATGTTCGCCAGTACCATGCTCGATCTTACTGCCGAGGTACAGGTACCTTGCCTTGGACATCGAGTTGATCCCAGCATTATCGTTGCTGCACATGGCGGCTGACACGTGGTCACGGTAGACTTCCTGGGCCTCCTCAAACGCTTTGTTGAGCGCTAGTGAGCTGTACTTGCCGCCCATGTACGCGATGGACTTCATCCCAGCGTCAGCCGGGCATTCGTCCACCAGCGTCAAAATCTTATTGAACGCCTGCATGTCGTCGTCCGTGCACTTGTCTTGGACGTAGTTCGACAGCATAGTGCCATTCATTGGCGCGCTCATGCTGACCCACGTCGTGCTCTTGTCCATAGTGCACTTCTCGTTCGCCACGGCGCCGGCCACAATCAGGGCCCCCATCGAGTGGGTCACGAGGATCGTGTCCTTGATGACGCCTTCGGCCGCGTCGCTCGACTCGCTCATCGACAGCGCGTGGCCGCACACCTTTTCCTGCAGCTTCTCGCTCGTCCAGCCAAAGTTGATCGTGTCCAGCGACGCATACTGGATCGACGAGCAGCAAGGCGCGTGGCCCTCCATGTCGCCAAACAAGTCGGACGACGACTGGAGCTTCTCCTTCTCCTCTTCGTTGTTCTCGCCGTGGATGAACAGACACGGACGCGGAGTGGACTTGCACTTGCACGGCGACGACGAAGAGCCAAAGCCCCAGAACTCGGCGACCAATTGGCGCTTTGGGTCCCCCCGTGGCACTGCCACTGCAGTGTCTGCACCCAGTGCGACAGTAGGGAACACGGCGAAGGCCGACAGCAGCGTGCCGACCCGCATGAAAAGAAACTAAACGATGCAGAGCGAGGGCGCGAGCGTGCGACAAACGACGTGGGAAAGAGCGGGCACGCCGAGACGCGACGTCTCTACCGACTGAACGTAGTAATGTCAAGAGCCAGGAACGAATCTCGGGATCAGCAGAGTCAGATGGAATGCGCTCGATGCCGTCGCGTGTGAACGGTCTACTTATTTGAGACTATAACCACATGCGCATTTCGAGACGTCATCCTAGAGACCGTCTCGCTAAATTGAGTGGATTCGATTGAGATGGACCGAAGTGTGCGTGGAATGAGGTGTACGTTTACTGCGGTGTTACTGACTTTTGGTTGCTAGTGGGTATCGACTACGAGCTGCTGGCGCCGACCACGCGCAGTGGCTTTGACGAGTGCAATCGGGACTATCTCGGGGTGCGCGTCTCTTTGTCGCAGCAACGAAGTAGACGTGTCGTGAGACACCGCTCGGTTTGCGCAGATCCCTGCGGTACTGCACTATTGCGAGTCAGCAGAGTGTCCGTTTGTACAGGCAGCCAGGCAGCCAAGGAACCAGCGAGGGAGCAGAACCTGTCCGGAAGATTGCAGGGACTGTCTGTCGCACGCCCAGTCATTACGACACGGCGATGACCGATAGGTTGTCCGCAAATGCAATGGCAACTGAATGTACGTGTATCTCTCTTTCTCAGCCATATTGTGTCACCCATTCGAATGATCTCGCTCTGGGATCTTCATTACAGTTCGTACAGTGGGCTACGTCGCCAACGCTCGTTCATGTGTTGTCAGGGCAGAACACCAAACGCGTAGATCGTGCCATGCAGTCGAAGCTGCACGTTTGTCTGATGACAAGATCGATGTATCCGACATTATCAGAAGGACAGGATGGACGCATCGAGCGCGCTGTTGTGATTATCCGAGCGGCCATTGTCTGAGCGCAAGGTGAGGACTTCTATTGCGTCGAATGTCCAGTCGGCGCTTCCTACATGAGTTGTACACGTAGGCATCATGTTATCACGTACGGCGATACTGCTAGTGGAAAGGCTGGCTTTCGATGGTTTGCTACCGGGCGAAGCAGGCGACCACGTCTTGTCTTCCTCTCCATTTTCGGGCAGGAATCGGCCGAGAACGTAACGTTGTCATAACTTACCGATCTTGATGAACAAACATTCCCTATTACAGCCTCCAAGTCTCATTTGATCGATAGTTCGACTGGTTACTCCATTGGCTCTTGACTATCCGTCGTGTCGATCGTGTTTTTGATAGTACGGCATGGCACCGATCATCTAGACACGCACATCGTCCATCGGGCGTGAGATCTGCAGTCAGGAGTCGGTACATGATCGTTTACGCTACTTTTTGTATTGACTTGCCACATATCACTACGGTCGATGCTACGCCACATCGACTAGCTTCGACTCGCAATAACGGCGCTCAGATTCGATCGGTATTGTTTGTGGCAGCATGGTCTCGTTTGCTTGCTAGAACGTACATTGCGTAACACGCACTTGATGCAAATGGTTTACCAACGTCGTCAAAACATCGTGTTGACACGCAGCTGCTTCTTTCTTCTTTCTCCGGCGTCCTCTTGACCACCTGTCGGCGGGATCATTGCATTGGTACGCTTGCAGGCAATCGCGAGAACAAAAAGTAGCACGGGTAAAACATCCTGAACTCCTTAGTGCAAACGCGTGGTGCTTTCTCGTAGCTCGCTGGTACTCGATCTGCCATGTCTTGGTACTGCTGGTACGCGCGGCGCGCCCAGTTGGGTTATGAGCCAACTGTTGTTGGGTCGCTTGACAATGACAGGTGGTGGCCTCGCCAGGGTAGCGATAGCATAGTCACGGGGATTCTTGACGGGGAGGGCTGACGTAGCCGATTCGAACGTGGGACCAAAGGTCAGCAATTGTGCTGGTGAACCCGCGTCGCTCACTTCACCAGACTTGGTCGTCATCCATACTGTCTTGATCGCGGGCAGAGACTTCATGAAATAATCATGGATCAACTGGGCAATCGATTGACGCACAGCGCTCATCTTCAGGTCCTGGAACAAGAGGGGAGAGCCAAAGATGCGCTCAAAATCAATTCCAACTGTTTTCTTTGCTGAGTCGTATCGGGGAAGACGCCGGCCACGAAGAACTGGTACAGACGGTGACGTCCGACAAATTCATCGCGTTGTCCGACATTGGTTCCTCCTTCTAGAAGTACCGCAAACGCATCGACAGCAGCGGCATCGTTCAAGTCGAAAGTAGGAGCAAGTCGCAACGACATTGCATCATCCCCATCAGCAGTTGTCACCATTATGGGCTGAGCAACCAATTGGCTCATGTATCGGTCTGACAAGGCAGCCACACTCGATCTATCGATGACAAGAACCGCATGGGGTCGGACAGTAAGGTGTGCGTTCCAGATCAGCTCCGTCACTTTTCCAGGAAGACCTGATAAACGCCACAACTCATTCGGAGTCTCAAAGTTACCGAACAGATCAATCACTTCCACTAGCGGAGCTGGTAGCTCGATATCGTTGACCAGACGGAGCAGGGAGTGCCATTGACTAGTAAGACAGGTCTGCGCGGGGGAGCCGGTACTGGCGAGCTTTTTGGCCAGCATCAGATAGGCGACACGTCGCAAATGCTCTTTGAGCATGACGAGCGAGTTGCACCGGTGACCTGCATCCATTCCAATCAGACCCTCGATAGCGTCAGCGCACTGATTCGAGAGAACGGTCGTCACGTCTTCCCAGTTGTACATGTCCACGTCGAAGATCGTCGCAGCTGACTCGAGACGCCTGACATCGAAGTCTCGAACCACGGGGTAAAAGGCAAACTGTAAACGGGTCGTCTTGTCACCCTCGAGCATCGGGCGGAACCCGATGGAGTCTGTTTTCTTCGGACGCTTTGTTGCTGGTTTCTTGGGTCTGCGAAGATCCTCGTGCCACACGAGCTCGCACGCGTGATCCGAGTGCTGCTCCGATAGCCGAGACATGGCCTGCTCACGTGTTTCTCCCTTCCGAGGTCGGACTGAGTGCTGGGGACGCATGTTCCGATCTACTTGGATCGACGATGTGGCCTGAGATACAAAGGTTACACTTTTTGTGCGACGGGTGTGCGACGGGTGTGAGACTTGACTTCGCTTTTGGGATTCCTTTGATCGGGATATTGTATCACCGTCTGGTGCTGTGTGGTTGTGGAAGTTGTTCGATCCGCTTGTGGTGAGACGTTCCTCTTTCATCAACCGGTTGCACCATGCTTTGGCAAGTAGGCAAACGCTTAGTAAAGCGAAGCGAATGCAGCGAATCTACGCTGTCGTGATCCAGCTTATAGGGACAGTCCAAACTATGAGCATTTCCACGATAATTCTTCTGGAAATGGAAGCTCACGTTTCTGTCCAACTGCCTGGACGCGACCGAATTTGGCTGGAAGAGATTTGTGACTCCAAGTCTTGTGCAACTTGTTGATGGATGAGTGATGAAGTTGGTAATAGTCATGATGCAACGGGGTGAGCCCGTTACATGAATATTGATATGCATGTATCAATTTTTATATTATCTATTTAGATAGGGAACCGCTAATGTGCCTTGATTTTTCGCTAATGAACCTTCACCCCGACATTAAAGAAGTCATTAAATTTGATTGTCTCAAATTCTGAAACTAAATAGATGTTCTTGAACGCTCCTAATTCCAAAAGTTTCACGGTCGATCTCTAAGACACATATCATCGTTACAAGAAGCAGAAGAATTTTTGACCAGCGACGCAGCGCAAAAGAGCGCGCACTAGGCGAAGTGGGTTTTGCTGCGTGGTGCCTGATCATGATCGTTCTCAAGAGCGCGGAACGGGGTGATAGACCACTCGAGTTTCAGCGTTTTTTATTTTGGTCAACGAAACAGCTAGGATTGTACGATATCGTCATTCCTCCTCCCGCTCGTCAGGCTTTACCGTCGCTCGTAACTTCCATCGCTCGTGCTTCAGCTACTGCCCAGAATCTGGCTGCATAATGCCGTCGATTCCATCTCCCTATTCAAGGTCAGCTACTGGGTGCCTCCATGTAAACGCGATCGGAAGCTGTTCGCCACCGATCAACGTCACGCAGGACATGAGCGGCTAAAGACAAGTCGTCGTTTTCTATACACGTGGACATCTTTGGAGGGTTTAAAAGCAGTATAGGTTGATATTAAATCGCTGGCCTGTTCAAGCACGGAAGGATTGAAGCTTGATGGTATGTAAAACGTCGGGCGCTTTGTTTCTCACCTGGGCAACGAATTTAATGCCCTCGGTGAGCGTCGATGTGACAAACGTCGTTAATTCTATCGGCTAGATGGATACGCAAGTGTTCGTCTGTGTTGATGACGTGAACGCAGCGACGAAAACACAGATGTTTGCAGGATCGATGAAGGTTTGCGATCGCTATGAATTGCTGCCAGCTATGCTGAGCAGCATGCTGCCGTTCAGCGGATTCCTGACACTTGGACACCTGATGATGGACGTGTTTTCGCGCTCCTGTTGATCCGCCATCGTCACCGGCTGCTGTCTCTGCATCGGGGTTTTGATTTGATTGTAGTCCTGGGAACGGCTGCTGCACTTTGGCTCACCCGCTCTACAGGATGAACGAAATGTGCGAACCGGTGTCCTGCCCTTAGCCGACGATGGTTTATGGCTACGGTGATATTGGACGTGAGTGTTGTGAGGCATGATGGGGATGGTGTAGTCGGATAATGAACTGATCTTTGCGCTGTGTATGTGATACCGAGAGGCGATGGTGCGCACGCTGGATCGTATTATCCTATTTATTGCTTATCTTGGATACAGTATTGTTCGAAGAGTAATTTGAGTCAACTTGAACTTGCCGTGACTGCAACGGGGTGAGCCCGTTACATTAAAATTGATATCTTTGTATCAATTTTGAACAATACCTATTTTGATAATGTTCAATTGACATTACCCGTAAGGAGTAAGGTTGAAGGAATATTACCACCAAGGGTAATTTTTCTTTGATGGGTTGCTCCACCTGGTAGT